CCTGATCGTGGTGTGCCTTGGGCTACCCGACCCTCAGACCCTGTCCGTTACAGGATTAGATGTAGGCCGTGACCACCCAGACGTGGAATATAAATATCGAGGTACCTCCCTAGCTTTAAAAGTCTATCATCAGCGACCGGAAAAGAGATCTTATCAATATATTCGTTCTACTTTACTTCTACCTTTACGAGCCTTCTTGACTATCTCTGAGACAGAAGAATACAGGGCCTAGTATATACTCGCTTGACCTTAGAGTTACCTACCCTCTAACAGCTCGCGCTCCATACGTTTTTTGTACCCTAAACAAATAATCAATGAGTTAAACAAACAACAAAAACAAATCCTTAGCTTTCAGAACATCCTCCGTCTACGCTACACCTCCAGCGATTGAAAACTCAACACCACGGTTTCGATCGTGAGTTTTTTGTTTCGTTGCGAAACTTCCCCTACCCTCCCACCCACTTCTGCCTTTAGCCTCAGCCTAGGGGAGTCTGGCTCTTCTCTCCTCTCATGCCCAGGGTATTGACTTCGGTCTACCATCGCAGGGCCCTCTCTCTCCCTGGGGGTTGGTCAATCAGAGGCCCTCCTTGGCTGGCTGGTAGGTGATGGGATCCCTTCCACTACAGTGATGCTATCTCTCCCAGAACAAGGGACTACATGAGAGATGCAGTAAAACACCTGCTATGCTTTGCCTAGGCGGCTGTTGATGATCTTTCTTACTCCTCCTTCCTCCTCCCCCCATGCGTGGTGGGGAGTCCTCTCCTCCTCCTGAGTTGGCCTCGCTTAGCCTTCTCATGGTCGGCAACCCCTTAACCACCATCGTCAGACGGCTGGGACTACAGTTGCAGTAGGGGAGAACAGCCAACAGGCTACAGTCAATCTCCCCATTCTCTTGTTCCCTTAAGTGGCTACCTAGTCAGACAAGAACACGATTACCGATAGATAATGTTTAAGGTCTTTGGGTTTACCCCTCCACTCTCCTATCTCTACGGTCGGATCGGCTGGCACCCTACTGCTACACCTTCCCCTCCTCCCAGTTATCGCCCATGGCCGGCTGGTTTCCTCCTTCCCACCCTGGTATTGTACTGTCTTCTTGGAGTGGGTCTGGGGGGGGCCCCCCGGGCCTATCTTAGCGCGCTTCGGGTGTCGCTTCCCGCTTGAATGAGTGGACTCGCCCTTTGGGGCCCTACGTGGCTTGCTACTAACCTTTCTTTTGTCTTTTTGGGATTTCTCAGCGGGTTTTCCTGGTCCTTCCTGCTTTCTTCTTAGTTAGGATTTTCTTGTTCGTCCATCTAGCCGGGCTTGGGTTTCTTTTCTTTGAGGCGAGATGTGCGGTTGGCTCCATACCAGAGGGGCTTGGGGGGTTGGCTTTTTCCTGTGGCGAGAGGAGGGATATGGGTTTTTTGTTGTCATAGCTAGCACTCCATACGTTTTTTGTACCTTAAACAAATAATCAATGAGTCAAACAAAAAATAAAAACAAAATCCTTAGCTTTCAGAATCATCAGCGAATGGAGAAGAGATCTTATCAATATATTTGTTATACTTTGATACATACTTTTGTTACGAGCTTTCTTGACCACTCTCCAAGAAACCTTACTGGCCCCAGTTATAATTCGTCTGACTTAGAATTGGCTGCTGCCTAACGATATCTATATATTATTAACTTCACAACTTGATACATCAACTCTGATCATTTTTAAGTAATATACTAACTGAACTACATATCTTATTATTATAGACATATTCTAATAACTTATTAAAGTGTTGATAATTTTGTCCTATCACTTTCAGACTACATTTAGGATAGTCAAACTTGCTTAGCCTATAGCTTTGCAGTTATTTGCTTGATTGACTCCATTCCACTTCTCAGATACTATGACCTGAAATATCCTCTTATATATCCTATAAACAACTTTTGATCAAATAGACTACAATAATATATATAGTATTATGAAGCATGCTTCATCTTTACCTGTTTATATTAATACAATATGAAAGTCCAGTAATACAATTATAGAGTATGGGCCCATCCTTGGAGCTGGAGGAGCCTGAGGGTATTGACTGAATTTTTCACACTGGTAGGTTTTAGGAGATCTATACATAGGAGAGGTCTGTGTGTTCATATATATAATATTAACAGATCTTGCAAATTCTACAATATATATTTTGGTAGTATTTTGGTAGTTACTATACTTTCTCAAGTTGATGTTCTATTGTTATAGAAATAGTAAAAATGTTAGAGGCTAAGTAGTCAGCTTATATATCAGAAATCTACTATAAGTTTAAAGAGAATTTATAATACTAACAAGAAGAGCTCTGAAATAAGACATTAGAAATTAGAACCAATACTGGTAGCCTAAACTTGAAAAATGGTTGTATACTGACTTTCTTGAATGATGGGAACAAGGAAGAATAGTATGAAGAGAATAGTTTTATATTCAAACTAGCATTTAGTTTTATAAGCTATAACCTGAAGTGGATCCAACTATCTTTTAGCTTAGCAATAGCTGGTTTACTGGATTTCTAGATTGATATTGAATTATTTTTTATAGTATAATAAGAAGGATATAAAAATTTCTAATCAAATACTAAACTTTAGTTTTAAACAGGCTTCAGTATAATTGATATAACTTATAACCTTGCACAATAAGGTTTCTATAAACAGTAACTTTTCTTACCCATTAATTAATTTTATGAATCTAAAATTTGCAACCTTGATAAGACCCTCATCTCACTTAAGTATCTAGATAACAAGACCTATAATACTATTCCAGAAAAAACAATTTGGATAAAGCTATTACAGAATAGCTGGAATAAGTAATAAGCCTCCTGAGTTCTCTGTGTTTCTACTGATAGGATACCACAAGTTCCACTAATGATCATCTTTTATGGGAAAGGAGAGCAGCTAGGATCGGAGCAGTAGTAGTATTATCTGGGAGTAGAGGTTGGATTCAATGAAAAGGCCTAAATGAATGATCATGTAATGGTTGAATAGGTATAGGAGCACAATATTATGCAGTTCAATTCGATTCAATGTGATACAATACAATACGAGCCTAGACACCGGTAGGTCTACACTGGCCCGCTTTCCCGCTTCCTTACTACTTCAGATCATAGTAGTAGGTCTCCCCCATATTCCCAGCGCTGGCACCGCCACCGGAGCGCAATAGGAGGAGTGATGGAAGCCCTTGCGGGGCGGCAGCAATAGTCTCGGAGGTGTCCACTCTGGCGGTATTGTATTCTCTTTTTTCTCTTTTTTTCCCTCAAAAAAAAAAACCCCCCCCATTAAACAGTATCGCCCCCAGAGCCCAACCATGCCGTCTCATTTTCCACCGGTTCCGATAGCCTAACGACTAAACATCTGGTCACTATAAAATTTAAGGTGAACGGGAATGGTCGAGAACTTGTTTCCCGATAAGGGGGGGGTACCGTAACCTGGTAATTAAAAAGAGAAAGTCCAAGGAACCACTTTCCTCCTCCTGGCCTAGATAGGGGTAAGGAGTACCCAATACTCAAGTATGTACAGTACCATATCCACGAAGAGTTCCGGATGGGAAAAATCGACGCAGGATCGGGAGAGATTTCCTGAGCCAATTGAGTGGGTATCGGTCCCTCACTCGGTGGGTCATTCTGCCTTCCAGCAAGTCCTTCCGGCCGTACCATATCTGCTGCTAAAGACCAACTAAAATCTCCCCCCTTTCGCAAAGTTGGGGCTACTACTGCTACTAATGTATCACATTTATCATATCATACACTCCACGACACACATAATCGTGCCCACCCCTCACTGGGGACGGGCAAAAGCGCAAGGTACAGTCACTATACGAGAAGGACAAGACCAATGCACACTCTTATCCACTGTACAAAACCAATCCTTGCCAAACTCATCATGGCGAACTCGCCCCCAAGCTGCTGATATCAAACATGACAAATCACTAGATTAACCCTGGGGCAACAGGACATGACTACACTCCCTGAGGGTGCCCGGCTGACCGCGGTGCAGGATTGGGAAGGTGTGGGGTTTAATTCTCTCGGAGGTTAGTGCTTTCATGTTGTGTCAGGAGCACAGGTATAGGATGCTGAGAGCTCTCTGGTGGCATACAATATATCCCGGTCTGTGGGTTCTGTCTGCTTCCCGGAGGATGGTTAGTTTACTAAGTGCGGGTTAGTCGATTTGGCGGCTGTGCGTTGGGAATTTGGTACAACCTGGTATCGACATTCGGTACCGTTCGTAGGTTTGGTTCCACATATGGCTGTGAGGGTGAGGAGACGCGGGATCGGAATTTGCGAGATTCACTGGTGGGAACATGCTATTGCGCCTTATCTTACAATATCTACGATAGGAGGTAGGACTTGCTTAAGCTGCCGTATGCCCGGGTAAGTCGTAAATAGGTAACGAGACGAGCATCTGCCCCCTATGGCATGACAGCGGAACTCCATTCGATCTAAATTCACAACCTCTCACTCACGACTAGAGACAAACACTCCTCGCTGCCCATCTCCCATAGTTTTCTCATAGCTTTTTCCTGTCATTAGCCATCTAACGTACATTTTTCCACCCTCACACTGCCCTCCCTCCCCAATCCATAATACACCTATTTTAGGTAAGCACTGCGAAAAAGAAACAGTGGGAAAAAAACTCTAGCAGCCAATTAAGAACCCCCCGCTGATGGGGAAAAAAGGATATAGTTATACAAACAGCGAAGAATCCTTGCCTACTCTTTCTCTACCCTTTCATAATGCCTGCTACCGTCCTACCGTGCCACAACTTGAAAGAGGAAGAAAAACAAGAGAAATAGGAAATGCCCAGTATGCAAATTACTCCGTTGATAGTTTTGAAAGAGAATAGAGAATAGACACTCAATGAGATGCGATGCCCGTGGCATTGAGGGAAGAGGTTTGTTTGGCAGGCAAAAAAGCTGAGAAAAGGAGAAAAGGTGGATATGATAGGTTTTGGATTTTTATGAAGTTGAGTTGGCGCTGCCTGCTCCCTCTTCGCCTAGAGGTCCTCCGGCTCCGACGAGGCTGCTAAAACTATCTGTTAAAGGCGATCTTAGGTCGATGAGATGCTGCGGTGGCTCAGGGGTTGGTTCGGGTTGGGAATGCTCGTTTTGAGCAATGGTGCTTTCATCCCCAACAATGCCTTCCTCATCGTCACCATTCTCGTCAGCTTCCATCTCCGCAAGCTCACGATCGAACTCCTGTGCAAAGCCATCAGAGTCGTAGTCCTCCTCTTCCTCCTCCCTTCCCACCTCCTGTAGTTCATCGAACTCCTGTTCTAAGTCCTTTTCCGAAAACCCGTCAAGGGTTCCGGACGAGGACCCTGGAGTGTCAGTTCCGGAGGGGGGTGCATAGGAGGAAGATGGAACGACGCCCTCGACAATCCTCAGCCCGCTGCCTGGACGGTTCCTAACCATCCTTTGGCGTTTTGATAGCCTAGAGCCCGGGATTGAGTCTTCGAGCGAATGCTCACCGGTTTCTTCGTCTGGGGTGGAACTTCTTGAGCGCTTGCCAACTTTCTTGGGGGCGGTGTCTGTGTTTTTATCATCAGGTGCGTTACCGTCTTCGGCTTCAGTGTCTTCATCATCGGAGCCCAGCCATTCTTTGAGTTCCTCATCCACGTCCATCCAACCTACGCCTGTCATATCCGGCATCTCGGCAGTTGAGAATTCCTCTGTGTGAACGCTCTGCATCTCGTCGTCGTCTTCCGAGTCGTCGTCCTCGGAGGATAGTATCGGACCATCTAAGCGGTGGTCATCGGCACCGTTGAGCGGTCTTGGATGACGATCTTCAGGGTGAATTGGGAGGAGATATGGCTTCTCCGGCTCCTTTTTCCAGTTTGAGATTGAATCGTAAAGCCATTGTGGCGTTACAATCTTGATATGGGGGTATTTTGAGGCTGCGCGTCTAACTTTTGCGGTCCGACTCTGATAATAGTTAGTCTCTGGAAGATCGATTGGCCGTCTTATTGGATCATATACCCTCGCAGCAATTAGATGCGTCACTTTAGAATGTACGTCACCCGCAACAACTGCGCCAAAGCTTCTACACCAGTGCGCGATATCAGAACTGTGGAAACAATAAGCTTGATTAGAAGGTTTTTGCGTGACGGGAGTGCTGATTGACTTACCTCTGAACGTCCACTCCTAGTGGGATAATTCCAGAAAAGACTAGAATGACATCTCCCAAGGCTTGCATCTTCATTAAGGGCATGATAACTTTGACATCGGGAACAGCCCGTAGATTAGTATCACTAAGGCGTCTCTTGCGGACCTGTTTCTTCGGGTCCTTGAGCTCGGAAACCCTGGTGGATACAACACTCATGTTCTTTTCGTATAACTCGTAGAAACTTCGATGCACTTCCGTCAAGTGACGTTCGAGGGAGATCAATTCAACATCTTGGTCGTGTAGAACGCTATGCTTAGCCCTGCCTGCTTCGCTTGGTGTCGTTGACTCTATTCCATTTTCACCGTTCACGCACTCGTTAGCGGCCCTCTCGTCCTTCTTGTCTTGTTCCTCTTGCTTTCTGGCCAGTGGGCGATCGGTCTTTTGAGCGCTAAGGGCCTTGTCGAGTTCTTTACTCTGGGCGTTGAGGAGATTTTCAGCAGAAACACCTTCCCCAGCGGTGACAAGCTGGTCTAGTGCCGCAAGATGGGTTGCACTACTGCTGGCTCCGATTGCATTTTGGGTCGCGAGAACTCTTTCCGCATCATCATCATCATCAACATCGCCATCGCCATCGTCGTCATTGCCATCATCACCCTTCTCTACCTTCTGGTCTATCGGCATCGCCATATCGGCGGGAGAAACCGTTGGGTTAACTGGAGCGTTTGCAACGGGCGCTGAGGGGAGGAATTCTTGACGTTTCGGCAAAAAGCTCGAGTTGATGTCTCCAATCCCGACGAAGAAATCGTACGGCCGTACTTTGACCAGGTTATCACTCCACTTCCAAACATCACCTCGGTCATCGATGATAACGACCATCTTCGTATCAACCGGGAATATTCTATGAAGGCTCTTTTGAGTCATGCTCCCGCTCTCATCTCTGCTTAATACCCGCTCGCCGAAGATTCTACCATCTGGATCAACTATCTTCTTGACCGACATCGCATACGCCCGGGTCCCCATTGTGTATATATGGAGTTCGTAAAGTTGGGATATGTGTTCCAGGAATTCCTTTAGACCTGGGCGCATCTTGACATAGTACCAGGTGCCTCGGCCACCAATTATATCCTCGTCCAGCTTGAAGGACTGAACATCCTTGACAGATTCGTGATTGATGCAGAACGGGTCATTCTTCCAATCGCCAACCGTAGGGTCGACCGTAGCATGGATAATAGTCTGATCGAGATCGACAACGAGCGATAGCTTTTTCGACTTTAGAAGTCGCCTTTTCGTCTCCTCTTCCAGCCGGGTAGCCTCCTATTAACGTCGCAAGCGCCATGTTAGAAACAAACTCTGTAAACACTTTTCCAGAGTCCTGCAGCCACACGTTGGGACGGGAAATGACGCACATCTTGACTAACTGTCAGCCCCATACTATCGTGAACCATATGTATTGTCGCGCGATCCTTGTTAGAAAAGTGGCCATGGTCTAGTCTGCAAATGTATTACCATTAGCACAAATAGCGGAAACATCTGATGGGGGGATATCGCTTACAGAGTCATGTCTTGCCCGCACATACTGCACAGCCCAGCGAACTGCACCTCGTGGGAACAGGGTTCCTCAATCTCCATAATGTCGACACTGCAGATCCCCGAATTAGCGATCCTCCTCCTGATCCAAACCGACCCCAAGATAATTGCGGGGACAGATGCGCGGAAACCTACCCGGGACCCTCGATAACAGCCCCGACCTCCACCAGCCAACGGTTCAATCTGCCCTCCACGGGGGCATGGAACTGTGCGGACAACTTTTTCTCTACCTGCCGCTCCTGACCAAACTCCGGGTATTCGGTCACAGTGGTCATGTATGTGTAGAGAAGAACGGCTTCAAGTCTGGGAATGTCATCGTTCGGCTGCTTGAGAAACGCGGTGATAGTTACCGGATATCGCACGGAGCGGGGGAGCTGGACAATCATGCCCCGGTTTCCTCGCACTTGGGCGGACGATGAGAGGGAAACAAAGGGCGACAAGGATAAAACGCAGGTGAGCCGATGATTGTTGGCGAGGGGAGGTGATTAGCGATTGTGCCGGTGGGGAATATGAGGTGAATGGAAGATGGGTGTGTCGGAGCGTGGGGTGTGCTTGAGTGTTGAGTTAAAGAGAGAGAGGGCTGGTGTTCGGGGTGGGTTTAAGCTTTATGCCCGTCGGGGGGGGGTTCGACCTTGATAGATGAATGATGATCTCGTCTCGTGAGCTGGGGTTCCTCTCCACGCGACAGAGTGAAGCCGAGATTCCTCCGGTTGACTTATACCTTAAGAGCCGATACCGTATCAAAATAAATTTGACACTGTAGTTTGCCGGTATGATACAAGGTCTACGGGCAACACTGCAGTTATGTAAGGCGGGAGACGAGGATGACGGGGGTGAGTACGGTATTCGGGGCTGTCAATTAACGTCAGGTTTTCAAGAGCCTAGAGCGGATGATGGAATGTTAATATATGTTAAACGCGGAGATGCCAAGAAAAGGTTAACGAATGGGGGGTGGGAGAGAGATAACCCTATCATGCCTTGGAGTGACCCTCAGCCTCTGTGTCGTGAGTGTCCAATCGTCAGGAGAAAGTTATCAAGTTATCATGGAAACCCTCAATATATGCGTGTGTGCGGATGAGACTTATATAGTATGCCCTGGGGCCGGGGCTTTGTCCCGATTTCTGCCCTTCAAGTTTCCTCGACTTTTCAAGTGGGGCAGACATCTTCTTCCTTTATGATGTTTGGATCCCGGCTTCTCTTTCAAAGAACTCCGATTTCGATGCTCGCTACCTGTAGGTGGGTGATACGTACTATACATATACAATACATCGCTGCCATTTCCTAGGGCGCCGTGCGCTTCGCATCGGAATAGAATAATAGTAATGCCCATGCACAACAAGTGGACAAACCCAGCGAACCAACTATTCAACCATCCGCGAGTCGGGTCGTTTCCCATGTTCCAATCTCCTAGCTCGATATTCACCTATCATAGCCCGCATTCAGGCACCTCACTGCACAGGTAACTTAAACCGCTCCCGCCTGATAGAGGCTGATGAGGAGGGCACTGCGGAGCGAATATAGCCCGGTTTTACCACCCGCCACCCTGTCAGCTCGAAATGCTTGCCGTGGAAAGGATAGGTAATGCTACAGGTACTCGCACAGTAATACTGTCTCCAGAATAGTATCGCGGTACAGTACCGTAATATATCCAATTATCGACTTATAAACTAGGTGGGACCCATTGAGACTTTCGAAGCACGGCATCAAGGCTGCATAATGGCGCATTTTTACTGACTCTGGTCTCGTAATACCCCAGCGTATCGTCAGAACAGCAAGCTATAGGAATCTTCGCAATTCTACCGTTGTAATATTGTTTACATAATATTTCTCGCGTCGTAAGTGAATTTACAATCCGATTAATCCCAAAACTCGCCTTCGCACAGCATGCCCATGAAAACCAGTGTATGTGTAGTAAAGAGGAGGAACTGAAGAATATGTGTCCGAGGGACCTTCAACCAAAAAGAGAGCAAAAAGACAGCAAGGAACGGGAGGGGGGAGGCCCGGGAATAGGGCAATAAACATTAAGAGACGCCGGAAAACGGGCGGTACCCTTCTCATCCTCCCTGAATTCATGCATCATACTCCCCACCAAACCGGCCAACCAACCAACCCTTGAATTCCTGCCGAAAAAAAGAAAAAAAAAGATAACAGAGCAAAAAGACATCTAAAATCAGCAAACCTGCTAACCGGAACCTTCTAAATAGTTGCTTGGCGATGGGGCTGTTCAGGCTCAGTGTCGTCCCCAACAAACGTCCATGACTCTTCGGATTCATCATGGGTGTCCGTCGTATGCTTCTTGATAAGAGTGCGAGCATACTCCATGTCGCGGTATATTGCTTGAATCGCAGTCTCCACTCCATTTTCCTAAACAAAAGCGTTAACCTTGTAAATCTTGATCCAATCGATCGGGAGCAACTCGCCTTCCGGATTTGTGCCCCCAGCAAACCTGCTTTGGTAATCATCCTCTCATTATGAGTTGCTTCCCAGAGCGCCTTCGAGAAAGCACTTGTGTTGAGTTTCTTGACGCAAATTCCAACTCCGAGGTCTTCGACCCTGTTGCCAAAAAAGAATTGGTCCCCAAAGAATGGTTTGATAATGGTCGGGATTCCTGCCCGAAGGCTCGCACCAGTGGTGCCAGCACCGCCGTGGTGTGCGGCCGCATCGATCTGTTTGAAGAGCCAGTCATGGGGAGCAGACTGGATCTGATGAATCTCTGGCGGTATGGAGACCTCTGGCTCTTCTGCACTCTTGCCTCTGGAAAGCCTGTCGGACCAGCCCTTGGACAAGATGCATCTCACATCTGCCTTCAATACTGATTCCACAACTGTCCGTGTCATTGCCTGTGGATCGGCCACCGTGATAGACCCGAATCCGACGTATACGAGCTTCTTTCCATCCTCACGAGCTTTCCGAATAAAATCCGTCAACTCCGCTGGCGGCGTCCAGTCACTCTTGGAGTCCAGAAACCAGTAGCCGGTGACGCGGATCCAATCGCTGTAATCGAGTGGGGGTATAACTACTGAGGGCGAGAAATTATACAGGAACGGAACCTTGTTGAGCTGTAATTTGTCCAACGAAGTGCTGGGAAGCCCCAAATGGGTTTTCCGCCATCTGTTGATTTGACCTGCTGTGGATTTCCAAAACACGTTGTCGATGATTACATACGTGAAGTAATTGTATGCTCCTCCCATCTTATGTTCCGGAACAGCAAAAGCATGAGGATAAGCCCGGGTTCGGGTCCAAGGCATAGTAAAAGCGCGGAAGTATGGGATTCCCAAGGCCTCTGCAATGTGAATTCCACTCATAGCACTGGGACTTTCGATTAGAAGGTCAGAGCCTTTGCAGGCAACCCAGGAGCTCAGGAGTAAGCCGTCAAGCCAACCTCGCATCTGTAAAAAAATAATCAGTAGGCGCTCATGTTGGACCATAAATAGGGTCTTACCGTAGATGTAGCATGTTTCATGAAATCGACAGTAAACATGCCATACTCAACGCATATCGCCATCAACTCTGCGGGGTTGCCATCAACCGGCGCAAACTCGATGCCAAAGCCCTCGATCCAGTCCTTGAACTCCAGGTGTGTTGCGATCTTGGTTTTGTGGCCCTCGGCCATAAACCCTCTGCAGAGGGCGATGAAGGGTTGGACATCACCCCGTGAGCCAATTGTTAAACAAGTAATCTTCATGGGCTCTGCAGGCTTAAAATTAATTATAGACCCATGGGGGTCATCGAAAACAATAGGTGGCGCGTTGAGTGGGCAGTCCGCTTCGTTTGTGGAAGTCGGAAGCTGGGTGTCATGGATGTTGTGACCCATCTGACGTGCATCTTGCAACATTTGATGCTCCTGCTTTGCCAATTCCGCCCCTTCCTTCTCCTCGCGCGTCAAAATCCCGCTTTGCTGAAGTACCCTTAGATCGTCTAAGCCCTGTAACAGGGTGATAGCGCAGTCATCCCTTGTCCCGATGTTCCCGAACTCGAAAAACAACTCCTCATGGCCCCGGATCGTAATCACAAGTCCTGAGTATCCAAACCGAAATCCCTCCTCCTTGCCCACGTTCTCGATGTCTTTCAGGGGCAAAATCATCTAAATATTTCATTAGCAAGATCCACCCCGCGACAAGTGATTCCACTGACCTTAGTTTTGGTCCCTGGTAGGAGGCTCCGGAAGCAAAAATTGCGGTTGCTCAGATAAATTTTTCCATATAACGGCAAGACTCGGTGTAGATACCCAAAGTACACAGCCTGCAGCCTCTCGGCGGACGGCAGCGAGAAACGTGCTCTAAACCGCCCTTCGTGGTGAGTCTCGTCGTCATCATCGAGATCCTCGACTTCCTCATTCGGCATCATACCCATGGCCCCTCCACCATAATGCCTTCTCCCCCCGACCCACATATCAGACACCTTCTCCAAGTAATTCATAGGCTGTGCAGCTATCATAACCCCCACCTTCTTAGAATGCTTCTTCATCCAATCGGCCCAATCGGCCGCACGTTGTAGAGGAAAGGTCCCCGACCTTGCAATATCCTGAAGCCTTGGAGATGCCTTTCCAGTGGCCTCGGTATCAGAGTCCGACCCCGCGGTAGATCCCAGGGTCTTTTTTCCACCGCCGAGCCTTAGTTTAGGGCGGGGCGGGAATGTTCTTGCCCCTTTAGCGGAGCTAGATCTTCGGAGGTCTTCGCCCTGAGTAGGCTTCTTGGGGGTGGGCGGTCGAAAAACGTCACTGCGATCCAAAATGTTGCTAGCAGAGGCCCCACGTTCTTCATCCGAAGATAACCTGATGGCGTCCGAGGATTCTCCAAAGGATTGAACAATCGACTCGGAGGAGAAGAGCCGATTTGGAGAGGTTGGTTGAGACACGCCGGAAGCCTGGGCATGACGATTCGATTCCACGCTATGCCTAGCGGGTGATCCTGATCGTCCGAGCGATTCCTGGCTAATATCGAGGCTGCGACGACCAAACTCGATACTAGGACGAGAAAGTTCTCCACTATATCTTGGACTCGCTCTACCACTGCCTGCTGAGGACCGCGGAGACAGAGTATCACGTACCCACTCCCTTAGAACCGGGGTTGTCGCTGGTGAAGCGCTGAGTTTGGGTGACCCAGGCGCAGAGCCCGTGAATACCTCTTTAGGTATCTTTGATGCAGGCGAGTCTTCAACCACAGATCGAAGCACATTCAGTGCGTCCTTTCCGAAACTAAAGAATGAAAAAAAGTACTAAACCGCGGCCAGTGTACTATTAGCCTAAAACTTTCACCAACGCGGATGATTGTGCCAAAAGCATTCAATTACCTCGTCAATAGCGTAGGTGTCGTCATTATCAACAACCTTCAGCTTAAAGGTATCCGCAAACTCCAAGACGGGACTTTCCTCCACTTCAATCACATTCCCAACGGGGATTGATATTTTGACACTGTCACCCTCATTATGCGATCTGAATATCACTTTCTGAAGCGCTTTGACCCATTCCTTGGCGCTTGCTGCGGAATCGGCCTTGAAGTAGTACTTCCGTTGGTCAGTAGCGACAAAGAAGGTGACTGTGCCCTCTTTGCCCTTGCCCTCCACCAGACTAGCCTGAACGCCGTATCGTAGGTCGATATTGCCATTGAGGAAATATAGGTCGGAGGGATCAGTGTAGTAAGAGAGGACATCCCCTTTGAGGATGAACCAGTACCTATTGTACTTGACATTAGATTTCCCCCGTTTTGCTAGATAGCCCGATTTCAGGATGACATTCTAACAGCGAGATGCGTCAGCACGGATCTATTCTGGGGCTTGAGGGCGGGCGATGCCCATACATCTTTCCGTGGGAGATAGGCGTAGAAACATATATGCTGAGTAGTAATGTACATATAGCCCTGCAGCAAGACACTCTTCAGAAGCCAACAAGGATACTCTACAGAAGTGATTAGCCCTCAGTTCACGCGCCTACGCATTTTTTACGGGACAGGAGTTAATTTCCTAAGGGAAGGTGTGTACCTGATATCACCTCCTCCGTCTCGGGAAGATTAAAGATCTCCATAAGTCTCTTCGCCAAATCTGGATGGTCGCCAAGTTCACCATCGTTATCCTCAAACATCTCAGCCCCTTTCAGTTGAGTGGCAGGGGCAAAATTCGCAGAGTTCATCTGCGCCTGCGCTTGCAAAATTTGGCTCATATATGGAGCCGAGCTATTAGAGACGACACGGGTCAACGGGGAGGTGTCTTCTTCATTAGAATCCACGTCATAATTATCCCTTTCCTTGCCCTTTCGTGACTCCTCTATTGAATCGAGACGGAAAAGCTTAGACCCCTTGTCGGCCAAGCGTTTATCCGCGGTTTCTCCCATAGCCTCTGCAGTGGGAGTCGTTGGTTCTGAGTGGGGAGAGCCTTCATCATCCGAATCCTCATCGCCGAACCGAGAGCTCATACGGGTGGTTGTCGCTGTAAGGATTTGGAAGAAGCTTTGGTTCATGTTGAAGGGTGTCCCCTCCGTAGCCGCACAAACGTCGGTTTGCGAGTCGTCTTCGGTGGAGAAGCGAGATGGAAGGTGCATAGACTGAGTAGCCCTTGAAGTGGATCTGAAGGGAGTGCACCTCTTCTTCTTGCTACCGCTTCTGCCTAGAGTGTGGCAAAGTTTACGAGCGGGAGAGCTCGACTTCCCATCGTCGGAGCCCATGATCACGTTGTCGGGGTTGCGTCTGGTGTTGGCGGGGGGTGAAGGGGGGTATTGGGAGGGGGGCAGGTTGAACGTTGAAGTATGGTGCTCGTGGCCAGAACGGTAGCGTCCTGGATGATGACGGCAACAAGCGGTGTGGCACCCTGGCTCTCGAGGATGACTCTCCCTCTCTGAATCTCCTCACCTTTTATGCCTCCCACGGATTTTTTCCCCTTCCAAAAAAACAACTTTCAAGGACGCGAGTGGGGGGATGGCGGGCGATGAGTGGCTGCGTTTCACCTATCGCTTGTTGTTGTCGCTGTGGAAAGGGACGCAGGCCACGGGAATTCAGAAGGGCCGCTGGATCAGTCGTAACTTACGGTATGGTAACCGTAGGCGACGGAGTCAGCAGGGACAGGAACTGGATCGTCGACCTCGGTTTTTCCACGAGTCTAGCCAACCAAAGAAGGGCTATCAGAACAAGGTAGAAAAACACTCGAACACGGGTAGGAAATATAAGCAAGGAGGTGAAGCCTCTCAGGGGCGCCGAAAAGTAATCAGAAGGAAGTGGAAGCGGAGGGTGAGCAGGAGGAGGGAGGATGAAGGGAGGGACCGAGGGGATCCGGGGGAAGATATGGCTGTGCGTATGATGCGTGAGAGGGAAAGCGGAGGAGGGAGAAATAGCATTTCGGGAAAGGAGGCTCCATTCATATACTATGGTTCACGCACCGCCGTGTCTATGAAATCGTTGGGGTTGGCCTGCATAACTCAGGGCCATGATACTGTAACCTACAATACCGGTACTCTGCGCTGGAACATGAGCCCCCCGCATCCACACCCAAATTCTGCACGCTGGCGATACTGTACTGAGTACCATACTGTATGATACTGTACTCGTACAGTACTGTGCCCCAAAGACTGCAGGCTACAGGCAATAATATCGTAAGGCACCCCCCCCTTCCGCAGATGTGGAATTCATGTACGGTACCGGTATGGCCACTCGAGGGGCTCCGAGCTTCTTCACCGCAAATGCTAGAGGACCTCCGCGGTTTGATTTCCGATTGCATACATCGCTGCGTTAAGCTATAGGCTATCTTTAATATCCTTTATATGTATGTGCCGGCACGAGCACATCCAACAACGATACCGCGCAAGGCGAGAGCACAACACGATACCCGTGCCTGTGTTTCCTCCACCCCAGGAAACTAGGCCTTATAGCCGAGACACTGCATGGTAGGATACCATCAAGGCATCGCCGGAAGGTGTGAGCTATTGATTCACACCAGCAGCCCTGTCTCCATAATTATCAGCAAGATCAGAAGCACGGTACCGGTACGAGTGCTCTGTGAAAGGAGCAACAAAGCTTTGGGACCGCCTACCGCTACCCAGTAGCCGTAACCCATGGTGGTCGAGTGCGCCGGTTGACACCCCTACTTGCTATCCATATCAGGGTCAGGCGATGGATTGATGTATGATACCGGTATGATACTGTACGGTAGCTCCGCCTCTTCCCCCCGTCCAGCTCCACCACCCGCGAGCAACACAACGGCCTACCGACAGGGGCTATGGGTGCACCCATCGGAGTTGTCTAATGAAGCCCTCACAACCGGAACGACAGCAGAAACCATCCACCACTGCGGGTTGAGCGCCACAGAACCCCGCTTGATGACTCCAAGAACGTGATGGTGGCCTGGCGGGGGATCGCTTATCACCCCGGATTCTGACTCCTTCTCCTTCGCTGATCCATAGAGAGTTCCCGTCGGGTTCGGCGATGGGGCAGCAAGGCATGATGCCAGATGGCTGCTCCTATACTCGAGTAGAGTAGAACCACCATCAATCACCCTACCTCTCCAGATGCCTTGTCCGCACCAACCAGTTTTTCTTTTTCTTTTCCTCCCTCTCTCCAGTGGGGCAAAACATATTGTGCCGGTTAGCTGACTCCACCAATGATTGCACAACTACCGGTAGAGGGCCAAGAAATCTGTTATCACAAAAGGAAAAAAGTCTGTGCTTCATCTCACTACTGCCCTCGAGTGCGGTTCTCATTGCATTTGCATCCGGCTAAAGCAACGCTGCAGCAAAGGGGGATGGACAGGAATACGGTAATAGAAGGGCATAAAAGCACCGAATTACAGCGGCAGCGACAGCAAAGCAGAGGATCACCCCACAAGATGCTTGTGCCTGCGCAAGCGCCTATACTCGAGCGCCGAAATGTAACATCTCGCAATATTTAAACCTCGAACATGCTATTCATGATTAGGGTATACCCCTTAGAATCTGCGTTTCAGGTCCCAGACTGCGTTCCCCCGTGCCTTTCAGCTCTACAGTCCCTCCCACCGGAACAGAATAAACAAGAAAGCTAATCCCCGAAAACTTTCGGGAATTCCCAACCGAGCTCTCGATCGCCACCATGAAGGTTGCATTTTACAGCTCAAAGAAGGTGAGCCCACCACTTCTTTTTTGTTAGCGACTCCGTTTAATGACTGCACATCTCACCTGCCCACTTCGGCGCCCTCCACGCGGGTTGGTTAACAGGTTGGTTGGGTGGCAACCTAACCCCGCCATCTTCTATCGATAAGCTTGTTTCCCCCTTTTGAATGAACGGAAGCGGGTCTAACTCGTTCTTCACAACAGTACGACATCGATTCATTTGGCGACGCAAACGGCAACACCGGCATCGAGTTAAACTTTTTGGAAAGCCGGCTCGAAAAGTCCACTGTTCCACTGGCCGCCGGTCATGATGCCGTTTGCATCTTTGTCAATGACTATTGCGACGCAGATGTACTGGAGGGCCTGGCAAATCTAGGAGTGGTATGCTCGAGAAGCGCTATATATTCGATCCCGTTACCCGTAAGACAAATCATGTCTAACGTGCCTTCTATTGTGTTCTAGAAATACGTTGCTCTTCGCTGTGCAGGGTTCAATAATGTTGACCTGCAAGCTGCTGAGCGTCTTGGGGTAGAGGTCTCCCGAGTGCCTGCATACTCCCCCGAAGCGGTCGCCGAGTTCGCCGTTGGAATGATCATGACCATTGTGCGCAAATACCACAAAGCGTACAGTCGAGTCCGTGAGGGAAACTTCCTTTTGGATGGACTCCTTGGTTTCAACCTTTTTCAGAAGACAATTGGTATAATCGGCACGGGCAAGATCGGACTGCTCACCGGCAAAATCCTCGCAAAAGGCTTTGGGTGCAACGTTATTGCATACGATCTCTACCCTTCCAAACAGGCCGACGAGTGTGGAATTCGCTACGTTGATACGTTGGAAGAGCTTCTTCGGCAGTCCGATATTGTTAGCCTACATTGCCCTCTTACCGATGGCACAAAGTACATGATCAACGATACCACGCTTGGCCAGATGAAGAAGGGTGTCATTTTGATCAACACCTCTCGTGGCGCATTGATTGATACCGCTGCCCTCATAAAGTGAGCATGCCCCCTGCTATGTTAACGGGGTTTCCATGTCCGCCACTTAATGACAATATCATTACCACAGCGCCCTGAAGTCAGGTCATCTCGGAGCGGTTGGCCTCGATGTCTACGAAAAAGAGTCCGCCTACTTTTTCGCAGACTCGAGCGCTAAAATCATCTACGACGATAACTTTGCTCGCCTGCTTTCCTTCTACAACGTGTTTGTCAGGTAATCAACACTCCAAACTGTTGATGCCCAATACAATTCTAATAAATCAAACAGCGGGCACCAGGCTTTCCTGACCGTGGAAGCCTTGAAGAAAATCGCCGACACAACGCTCCAAAATCTCCAGGACCGTGCCAACGGCAAAAGGTCTCCCAACCTTGTGGAGAGAAAGTGAACCGATTATTTGATTTCCTTTGAAATTTTCTGTATCCTTTTCTCCCTCCCTCTCCTACTTCCGCTCCTTTTGCCGCAATGCGAGGCAGATGTCTCTGATTAGGGATATCCGGAACCGGTTCCCTAGGGTTTCTTTTCTCCAAGGAAGCACGGATACCGTCATAAATCGATAGGACATATGCTTAGCATTTTAAATCCCATATAAAAGTTCTATTTGCGGCCAAGAGTAGGCCCTGTGCTACGAGAGGCGAGGTATCTCGCCCTTCATCAATTTATGCGTGTGTATACCTCTTCAACCTGACAATCCTTGGACCAGCAAGCCCAACCGTAACACAACCGCCGCCGCAAATCCTACAAGTTATAGGAGGTTTAACCAATTAAGCACCTCACAATCTATCTCTATACCCGCAAAGGTTCGTAATCATAACTTCGGCTCTTGGTTACAGGCACCCACTATAACCACGCTACGCTTTCTCTGCAAGCATGCAGAAAGGGTATGGAACCACCGCATGAGCGCTGTAAGGCACAAGGCCTGGAAACATGCGAAAGGCCCGTCAGAAAGACTGCGGGAGAACTATACCCAGAGCACAGCTACGGGTAAACCAAAGTCGAACATCGCTCCTAGAAAAAAAATTCTCAAAATCATCTAGGAACACCTAGCTCTGGTATCGACATTGGTGCGACGGGCGAGGAGGAGGGTGTTCTTCAGGTCTCGAAGGGTCGGGATAACCTTATAGGGCCGTGCTGGGCTCCCGGATCTGGCTGTGCTCACCTCAGCAGCCTCCTGGAATGTTTCCGAAATCCGGTCGAGGCTCACGCGCAGAAAGAAGGACGACAGGGCCCGTTGAGACTTGGGTAGGCGCAGCATTGGGATAGCGGGCAAGAATTAGGAGTCACAGTGGGTCACCCACCACCGCCCAAAGACACAAACGTGATACCGTACGGTGGCTTGGGGAAGATCTTATGTGCGTGAACACCCATAGTTGGTCACTCGGCCCTGGGAGCTACCGCAATGATCCCTTTGTGCCACATACCGGTAATAACACTAGTAATAACGCAACGATCTAATGAGTGCACACTGCACAGGTTATGATACCATAACAGCCCCTCCTCCTGGCCTTCAGCCTCTCAAACAAAAGCCCCCTCAACCACCCCACAAAAACAACCCTAAGGGCGAAGTGTGAACCTCTTAAAAAATTGGACAATCACCTCCGTCGCATTCATAGTCCCAAGAACAGCTGGCACGGTAGCAAACGTCTGGTCATCCTGCGTGTTGTCGTCGTTCGGGCTCAGGGAGGGCCAATCGTGCAAGCCATTCTTAGTGTGATAATGCAAAACCTCCACGTCCCCGTTGCAGTTGTAATACTTGGACAAGAAGGTCTCCTGCCCCGATGATGGCTGAGCTGCTCCCGGGACGGGTACGTCGAGTTCCTGCGACTCGCAGCCGTTATGGTCCCCCCAGGCGGCCGCCCACTTTGGAAGATTCGGGATGCGAGCTACTCGGTCGGGGGGGTCGCACAGGTTGCCGAGGCAGGACTCCCACCTTCCCGAGCCCTGATACTTCACCGCTTTATCAGCGTCGCCATGAAAGTTTATAACGGGGATGGGATGCGTTGGCGAGCAGGAAGGGTCGGCATCGAGGCCTGCCATGGCATAGTAGAAGGGCCCGGACACAGGTGCGATAGCGGCGATCTGGTCACCGTGATAGCACGCGAGGTAATTCGCAAATTCCGCACCGTTGCTCTTCCCGGAAACGTAGACCCTATCCAGCGCAGCCCAGGACCCGTACTCCGTCCTGACCAAGTTTATCAGCGCATCGAAGAACGCCACGTCGTCGCGGATCGTCTCCGGCGGTCCTGTTCCCGGCACTTTGGGTGTGCAGTAGGGCGCACCTTGCCAGCATGATTTTAGCGTCCCATAGCTCATCGCCGTGCTGTCCCGCCCGAGGCCATTCAATCCCGAGGGATATAACACTATGGAGCAATACTTCTGATCGTGAAATTGCGAGAGCCCGCGCATGCGCCCTGGGTTCGAACCGCGGCCGTGGTATGAGATTATGATTGGGTAGGGCACCGGTCCGCAACTGTAGGTGTCGGAGCCGGGGCCATCGGCCAGGACGGTGCGCTGGACGGCACCCACCATTATGTTGATGGTTTTCTGGCTCCAGCCCGTTGGCATGGGGTCGGTTCGCGGGCCGAGTTTGGGGCCGCTGGTCGCTGTGCCGCCGCCTTCTGCTGGACGGTCTGTGTCAGGATTTTCATCTCCAGCTACCGCGGTGGCACCGAGGGCGAGGGTGAGGACTGCGGTTGCGAGAGTGATGAGTCTCATGACCGTCTTTCTATGCTTATTCTTGCTCGTATTTTTGCTCCCGTACCGTACCTATTCCGAGGCGGATATTTTCTTCTGTGGTGCCTGACGCTCTTTATACACTCTCCATCACAATTCCCTCTCGCCATACCCCTTCCCCCCTCTCTCCGTTTCCTCCATCCCCCGCCCATCCAAAAGCCAGTCATCTCACACGGCATGAATATCCCCCGACTCACTCTTGACTCAATAAGTTCTCATCCAGAGAACGTGCGATACTAATATTTAAGACAAAAGCTCCAGACATAAATCTCACGAGCAATACCCGTAGGGCAATCCGAAGATGTGAAGGGTATGATATTATAAAAAAAAAGAAAACATGTTAGTGTCACAGCACTTTATTTCAGCCCTGCCAGTTTGTTCCCCCACCAAAGACCCGATAAGGAGATTTCTACCCCTCGGGCTGAAGTCCGGGGCCGTAAAACTTTTTTTGCTAATTTCCCTGCTGAAGAGTACGGGACTGTATGAGGTCTGGGGTTACAAGCAGTAATGCCATGATACCTATCATGCGGTACCCTATTCACGGAACCTTCCGGTAAGACATGCATGTATCATAATATTATCATCATACCAGTAACATGGTTTTTCCGCGCTGAGGGTCAATAAGCCCCCTGGATAACCCTAGCCCTAGACCATAGGGTCCCGTAAACACCACACTGGTCTCCGGTTCTCTAGAAGTTGTCATATCATAGTATCATAATGGTAGGGCACAGCATCATATTAGAACCTTGCGAGCTATGATACCACAGCACTCTCCGCTGAAATGAGAAGCCGGCCGAGGCAAAAGTTGTCCAAATACCAGAGCCGCGATCCCAGCAATACCAAGTTGGGATAAGGCATTTCCATCGCGATCGTGAAGATATAAAAAAAAGCATAGGCGATAAAGCTGCTTGAAAGCCTTGCTTTTATTATTATTATTAAATGTATGAAAAAGTAGTTCAAGATTGAAAAGTGAAAATGTTTGGTGAGAGTGAAACAAGTGATATAATATACCTAGTGACAGACTGAAAGGTACTGTGGATTGCGAGAGGAGATACCCTCACTTTCATTGCTCGACTACTGGTGAAAGAGTACTACCGGTATACTCGGTGCCTACTATGCTGAATTATAGTACCGGTATGGGGACTGCTCAATCCACTAATGTTCTGTATAAAAGTCATTGTCATATTCCCTTTACTGAAGATACTTGAGTATATTTTTCCTCTTTTAATATATTATTACAATACAGAAAAGGTATATAATTCTATTTCTACTCCACCCTCCGCTTTCCTTCGAGCCAGTATATCATTTCATATTACTCAGCATGTCTCGGAAATCCCTAGCTCAACCCCGATCGGTTGCGACAGAAATGCCATTCCAAGGAGGTTCCCGCCTCGCCTCTAGTCTAGTTCTAGGCACTTTGCACCCTACCATTTGAACGTCCCACTGTGGGACAGTTCCCACCGGACTGTGCAGTTCCTTACCCCGAGACATTCCACCAGGCAATTCATCGAGGTAAGTTAGTTGACGGTCGCCACCCGGTGTCAGTAGACTACAGTACTGTACTCGTTCAGATACTCTAGAGGATAATCCCGCCCGGGGGACTGTTATCCCGTCGCACCTGATAAAAAAAAACCCCTATGATAGCAAAAATTAACCTCCCGGATGAGAGAAATATCATATTATCTTTTTAATTCCTCTTCCCACAACAATACAGCGGCACACGACACAATACCGAACCAAACCCCCAAAATAATATCACGACAAATTCTAAAAAAAAAAAAACAAAAGCCCAAACCTCACTGCTCCATACCCGGTATCCAACGATGATGTCGACGGGGATCCGGGCAGAACGCAGGTATCGCGGGGATAAGATAAGACCAGACACTGATATGATACTATCATAATAATATTATTATGATACCTCCCCCCTCTCCCCCCCTCCTCCAACCAATCTCAAACCGCAAAACCCTCCATTGTAAAATACGATAAAACGCACCGTACCGATTGAGAAAAAGTCCCCAAATATTTCGACGATATCATGCCACCACATACCACGGCACCGCAACGCGGCGCGCACTAAGTTACCTCCGAGACCGGACACGGCTCAAATTATCATGACCAATCCACACCATGTACTAATAGTACGAGTACATTACAGCACAGTACCGCACGCAGACAACCACCCGGCTCAATACCACAAGGCGAGAAAAGAAAAGAAAAAAAGAAGAAGAAAAAAAAAAAACCTCCCTGCAGTGCACGCCGAATGTCGTATATCCATGCGTTTCCTCATCGGATAGGGACAACCAGCTTAATTAACGCCGAAATGGAAGGGGAAAAGGCGGGCGGTCATGGGGTGTCACTCGGTGGGTTGTCGGAGTTTGTTGCCAAGTTGGGGCGGGGGGTATGAGAGTACCGGTGCGCTGGTTTGGGTGGGGTGGGGGTGGTTTGGATAGAGTATGATACTCTGGGTTTAGGTGTTTGGGTGGGTGGTTGTGATTATGACAGGGGTGTTTACGCATATCATGGTTGGTGGTCGGTTTAAGTTACGGGTGGGGTTTGGATCTCTATCGAGACCTTTTACGATGGAGGGGGGGGGGATGTGTAGGGTCGGTTGGTACAGTAGTAGTGATGGTTCCTTGTCCTGTACAGTACCCCAAGAGAGAAGGGCAAACTCTCACGATTGAATTTGGATTATGGCACATATCGTACCCAAAGCAACCGCCCGCTCATGCATGAAATAAGCTCGCTCACAAAACATCTATACAGGAACCTGTACTGCACACATCGTCATCGTCGTCAAACTTGCAACCCATCCAAGAGCTCCTCCAGAACACCCTCCTTCTCTCCAGCCTCCACAAACCCGCTCCCCTTCTTTGCATCCTCTTCTTCTTTAGCCCTCGCCTCCCTATACTCCTTCCCAACAAGGCTCATGAGCTCCCCCTGCGACTTCCCCGGATTCTCCGCCTTTATCCTGCCAAAGTTCGCCTTCATGAAGGCCTGGTACCTTGCGATTGGCCTCTTCTCCGGTTGTGTCTGTAGGAGTCGCCCGCCGCGGCAGGCGCCGCAAAGCTGCTTGTTGGGGTCAATGGATTGCGAGTGGCGCTTGTAGACGTATTTGCATTGGAGGTTTTGGCAAGTCCATTGGTATTTGCACACAATTTCATACGAGTGGGTCGTGGTTACCGTTACACCGAGGTGGGAGAAGGCGCGGGAGCATTGCGCCGCCCTAGGAGGGAGGAGGTATGTTAGTGTGGGGTAGGGTAAGGTAAAAAGGGGGAGATTAATACCATTCCCTGAAGCTTTCACCATGGGGTGGTTTCCTGCAATCGCTAATCATGTAGTTTGCTAAATGGCACCACTCGTGACAAAGGACATTGTAGAGTTTTTCTGTATCAACATTAGACCCTGTCCATATATTTCTCAATCCTGGACCCAACTCACCCTCACTATCAACGACCTTCTCCGATAGCTCAATAGTCGCATGGTGTCTTACTAGGTCTGTTAGTTCATGGTCGCCCATAGCGACATGCCCATTGGGCAGCCTAAGTTTCTCCATCTTCCACTTCGCCACCCCGGCAGTGGTCCTTAAAGTCTTACTCCATATAATCCGCACTCCACCCGTGCTCGCACATTTTGACCCAACCTCACCGTTGACAATCTTGTCATCAATTCTCTTCAGAAATTCCTCGGCGAGCGCTTTCTTCTTTGCATCAAAAGGTGTCTTCATTGCGCGCTTTTCCTTCAGGTCCTTTGTGGGGGATGCTGACGGCGCCACGGTCCCTTCCGGCATTATTGGGTTGGGGGTTTGAAACAATGATCTTTGCACCGAAGGGTTTTTCTGCGGAGAATGGGTGTCTATCCAAGAACTTGTCTCGAGCTCGTCCCAGAACAGATCACTTGTTGGATGATGCGGCGACGGGGGCACCACAGGGGCTGTCTTCTTTGGCGGATCCAGCTTATGTGCATCACTTGTTTTTTGCGCTAACCCGGTGGGCCCGAGGACCCTGGAAGGCTTTGTAGATCGGGGTGGAGAACTGCAGGCACCATCAGCACTTGGTCGGCCTGACGCAAGGGGGAATTTTTACTATGAGAGAATAGCCTCGTTTGGTAGCTTGAAGCTTCCTGCACTATCCTGCGACTTGAACCCCTCGTCTTCCGATGATGCCTCCTTCCGTCGGGTAGATGAGACAGTAGGCTGCTGCTTAGTACCTTCGTCCTCTGATTCGGATGAAGAGGTTAAATCTATAGTCAGCCGTTGAAGTTTCTTAATACCCAACTGCTCAAGTTCCCCCTCACTATCCTCGTCCGGTGTATATTCATCATCCGAATCCAGGACTACTTTACGGCCTCGTCGAGCCTTTGTAAACGCCGACGGTGGTGGTGGTGGTGGTGGTGGTGAGGCCCGCGATTGTTTGGGGTGCTCCTCCTCAGAATCTGTTAAATGTTAGCAATCTATTTCCAGTGAACAAACTCAAAGCCACATCACAGACACACCAGAGCTGTCCAGAATCGCAGCTACCGCAGAGCTCTCGCGGAATGAGTTTGCCAGACTCTTCGTTTCCGCAAGGTCGACAAGCCTCTCGGTCGCAATCGCCCTCTCTACCAAAGTGCCTTTAAACTTTCTATTCGTGGTTGGGTCAGGCTCCTCCTCCGCCTCGGCCTTGTCATTTAACAATTCCGATACTGCCCTAGGTTTTCGGATAGCCGTGACAGGTGTCTTCACAATGCCCCGATCCTCGCCCAGGCCTCCAACTATACCAACCACAGCCTTCTCCGCCGTATCCCCAACCGTGGGCTTTCGAGCCCTGACTCCCAACGCTTTCGGGGGAGTAACCGGATCAAATAATTCCAACGGAGCGGTGCTCTCTTTCGGCGCCTGAACAGGTACACTATAACGTTCCAGAAGCTTCTTCAAGTCCGGAAGCTCATTGTCAAACTCATCATCAGAGGACGACATTATGGACGCTGGTGATGGTGAATTATCCGAATGTTTCGAGGGATTCGGTCCAAGAGGAATGGCGAAGAATAAGGAAAAGAGGCGGGCTCTGTCCTGTTGAGCCAACAGCGCGGTTGCTGTGGCAACACCAGGCTCCCAACCCCAAAGAAGCTTTGCTTATCGATAGCGGGCCGGGAAGTAAGGGGCTCAACTATAATAGCAACCTCGCGAGGTCAGGAAAGCGGGCACCATAATCAGCAAGCATGATATCATATCATATCATATCGCCCGGAGCCGGCTACCGTACCCTAGGCGGCCGCAGCCTATACCGCATCCCGGGGCCACTCCATCCATACCCAGATTCAGGCGCCCCTCTCTAACCCTATGCCAGCCCAGCCCTTCACATCACAGTAGCCTCAAACCATTCTAGCCCGCCAGGCACCACGCACAAGAAATCTGGCTAAGGAAATAACGAGATCCGGAAAGTGTTAATATCATTCATTCCTGAGCTGGAGAGAAAAATCACTAGAACTCCAAAATGGTGCCTGTCTTACCGATTTATCGGGCACTCTGACGGACTAAGGGATAGCAAGACCCTACCAGCCAGAAGGGCCCATGATATGAGCACAACACTGTAAGAACTCAAACAAGTAACTCAAACAAGTGGACCATGCGCTAACTTATGTAACCCGGCCCAAAATTCCCCTCCTCTGGCAAAAGGTGTGAAAAATATCATACTCCAAAGGGGGGAAAAACCCCCCAATATATATCCAAGACAAATAAGGGGTGCAAAACACCTGACTTTTGCCCCTAGAAGCAACTCCAAAATCCTAGCAACAGGGCCCGCTCATTTGAGCTTCTCACCTTACATATATACTCGAGAAAGTTCTTATCCACAAGAAACAACACGGACATAGCATCATCCTCACATACAATCACTCGGTCCCAACTCCGAGCAGGTATGATAAAGAACGTATCATAATATTATGATATAATGTCCCACTCCACCGCTCTGTACGATACACTCCCGACAGGCACAAGTAAACTAATAAGTGAACCCCGCGAACATCCCTCAGTTTTTTCCCCAATTCTGAAAGAAAAAAAGAAGAAAAAAACCACCATGTCTTCATCATTCTTCACTCGTCTTCAAAGGAGTATGATACGAACGAGTTCCTGCGCACATCACAATACGATGCTCATTTTCGAGGTTAGGTTAGGTCGGACCCTCAAATGCAATTCCTGTAGATCCCAAAACGCAAATCGCACCCTGTCATGCCTCTGATAATAAAATTTTCCCACACAACAAAATCACCAAGTCTCGGGAGTTATCGGATTCTTCCAGTAAAATAGAAGTATGATGGAAAAATCGGACATTTGCGCTTCATCTCAAGTTTTTATCTATTTATTAGTTAGACTCCGAGGATAATGTACTCACGTCTCCAACCAAACTGAAAAGAAAAAAAACCCCTTCTTCTACTGTACCTACAACCTTCATGTCTCAGTATGTGAAAGTGGTGATGCCCACTCCGTGATTTTATACAGGTTCAAAGACGTCCCAATACCTGGTCACCCCCCTCAAATATTATCATGACTTCTCCTCCTGCTCCTCAGGTCTTGGGGGGAGGGGCTGGCTATTCGAGAACTGGCACGATATACCACAACTTGTATCATAAAATCGACCTTCTGGGCTCGGATGTCTCCGAATAGTTCACTGTAAAGTTACTCTCCCGTCAGACAGCATGCAAAGCAGTGAGCAGGCGGTGAGAAAACTAACAAATATGTGGAGGGTGGGGGGAGTACCATCACCCATCCTGACCCCCTCCTCCAGACCACGGGTTATCCACTGATATTGTGGACTTCCAGGGATAGGCGGAATGGCGAAAATGTACAGTAGAAAGTGTGGATGCTTGTTTTATGGCATGAGAGACCTTATCAAACGCCACAGGGGGGGTTCCTTTCACGACTTTTAATGGAGTGGTAATTATAGTTTATCGGCTATTTCTAGGGACCCTCGAGGGAGGGCTGGAACTGGTGATGCAAGTGTGAGGGCTTGGATATAACCCCGTCACCACTGGAAATCCGTGCCCTGCAAATGGCGCTCAAGAAAATCGAGACAGCCCTGTTTACCATCTTGCGCAGGCCAACCCAAACTTCAATGTTTTTCTCGGGGTATCATACTCATCAGACCGGCCACATACTTCCCGGTCTCTCTACTCACGCGATTGCTATCCCAGATAGTGGCGAGGAGACGGTTGCGACATCACGATAGTTTGTAGTTGGGCTCGAAAAGAGGAACTCACCCGATGCACCCCACTACAGGAGGGCTATTCCCAGACTCTCTGCAGCAAGTTTGACAAAGTTAGGCTGGATAGTGGAAGATTGCACCCTCACTCTCACGAAACCAAACTTTGGGGAAATGGCTGCCCACCACGCTGACCCGAAACTAGTCCCGCTAAACGTTCCCAAAAAGAATGGATACCCCGTCCCCCGCATCGTACCCCATGACCATGTGTGCATCATCGGATTGCGCAGAGCGATGCGCTGGGATGCAGGGATTAGCCAGGTCAGATCACTGATACATGAGCTTCGGTCGGAATACACAACCATGACGAGAGATTGACGGGCCTGCCGCCTCCTCGAGAGTATGGCAGACGTAAGCACCGCAACGTGCCCAGCAGACGTATTCCACGACCACCCTTGGAGCTCCCCCCCATGACGCCGCGGGAGAGAATAATTGGCACCCGTGCACAAATTGCCAAAGCCTAGTATGATACACCACGCGGAAGTATCATACCCACAAGGGAGCCACACAGCACAGACGGAACGCAACTCATACCACGCCCACCACTGCTAGTTTGGAAACTACTAATGGCCAGGGTGGGTGGAAGTCCTGCAAGAAGTATCACCTCTTGCTGTGTTCCCCGAGATCTCCCGGGTATTGTGCAGGTGGGGAGGTGCGCGATGTTCAGGAGAATTCGAATTACAGGATTGCGTGCCTTTGGAAGGAGAAGGCAGGTCCGATTGTGGCGAATTGGACCGGGAAGTTCGCGGATATGGTGTGGAGGGTTAAAATGCGTGCCGAAGAATTTGGCGAGGAGGGTCGGGTATCGATAAAGGATGTGCGGAGGTGAGTAGGTGGGGTATGATAGCACCACACAAGGGATGAATAAATGAAGGAGGTGTGTGGGGTGTGTGGGGATGTGGCAGGAAATATGTTGCCTTTTGAGAGGTGCCCAAAACCTGCGTCGGGCTATACTGCCAGCACTTAGTGATACGTTACTGTACGGCATCATACGCTTTTCCTGTGCCTTAGTTTGACCAACGAACATATGATATCATACCTGATCATCCATGAGCTCATGAAGTCAGAGTCTTTCATATCAATATGCGTCAAAGTACGGGGTAAAAGCTAGCATCCCTAGCACTGGCCTTCTGTGGAATACTCGAGTACGATGCCACGATAATTTTCCCAAACCGAATAATTGAACCCTGCGCTAATATTTCCAGAATCCCACTCTCCAGCAGGGGGGGGAACCATTGTGCAGACAAACTAGCTTTCAGTCCCCCCCCTTACAAATAAAATAAGGAAAGAAAAGAAGAAGAAATTCAGCAGACCCTACTAGGAGGGGGAACTTCAACGCCCTAGCATGGGGTCCAACTCTTTACAGTTTTAACTCCATAATGCCTGGATTCCCAACATAGGTCATCACTCGGAATCATTAACCAAGCAACCCGTGACCCCAAATCGCTTGAATGCCAACAAATATTCCAACTTCCAAGGAACAGGCATCCAGTACAAAGCTAACCTGTTAGTAGTCACCTGGCCCCCCACCCCTCATCCGCCACCAAGCTGATCCATGCTAGGAGGGCCGTGGTCCCGAGATATGCGTCCCCATCTTCCGAGACACCATTAACCGGTTCTCGCAATTCTGTTAACATTTCTAACAAAACCTATGGTGGGCTGGCCGGTGGGTTGATCCCCGCTGATAACTGATAACGGATCTCAAGAGCTCTATCGTATGATATATACCCCAGCCCGTGCCACATTTGGAGAAGAGATACAATCATACTTGGCCGGTCCCTCTCCGTCTCCTGCGATATCGGGACACCCGACCCTGGCACTGGTACCGGTGCTCCACCACCTAAGAATCCATTCTTAGCCGTTACGCTGTGGCTAATATTGCAATCACTGATACTGGCAATCAGTACCCCCGTTACCAATTTTTTTTCTCCGAATCCCACGAACAATGCAAAGCAAGCCAGGCACCAGCAGCGATCGCGGGAAAATGCAACTCTACACGATACGGGAGAAAAAAACGACCCCAACCAAGCTGGAGACGGGACAACTACCGGCATATCTCCCAGCATCATATATAGTGGTATTCGTACCCTCGGCCCATATCCCTGCTCCTCACCTCACCGTTATCTGTCAATTACTTCCCACCCCGTCCTTCCACCCTATCAAGCACAGTACTAGTACGAGTACACACCATCCAACCCATGAATACTTCACTCAGATAACCCTCCGTGTGACACTACTTGTACGAGTACCATACAAAACCCCAATCCCACCGGCTAACCCGGTACTCGAGTACTGTTACGATACTGCAAATCCCAAAACTAACCCAAAACTACCACCCTCACCAAACTAGTTAGACCCGAAACCCCCCCCCCCATTGCGGAAAAACTCTCCCGCACCGGAGATACCCGTGCCGGCAAAGGACACCACCCACCACCCCATCTGCAGGGGTAAAAATACAATCAAATAAAATATGAAAGAATGAAACAAACAAAAAAAAAAAGTTCCTAGTGATGCCAGTACCGTACGGGTACAAGTACTCGTACAAGTAACAACAGAAGCTTACCGGTACCGAGTACTCATTCATTAATAGGCACCGGTAGATGACGGGCATCATAAGATGATGATAGCAGGGACATGAAAAGGTTTGTGGTGCGGTGAGGCGGGCATGACCACTCACTCGATTTAAAGCTTCCCGCTTCTCGCTTCACGCTCGGTTGGTTTACCGCATCGTATCATTGCTACGATACTCGTACCGGTACCTTGGTACCTCGGTACACTGTGTGGCCGCGAGTTACAGTAACGGGTATTTGTATTTGTATTGGTACAGGTAAATACGAGCACGGACACACTCTACAGTACTGGTAGGAGTACGAGTACTCTGCTCGTGCCTTCAAGGCATAAAATTTCGGACGTTTCGAAATCTGTCAAGTCACGGGTCGATAATACAGTACAGTACCTTGTTTTCGAAACGGTCGCTGGTGTCAGAACTGCGGTGCTTTATGGTTCGGTAAGTCCTCGGAGTAGTGGGGAACCTATTACCGGTACCGTAGGGTGATGATAGGTCCGTGAAAAACCACCAACCTATGATACCTGTACGATATGAAATACCAATTTATCGGTACGGTAGGGTATAGCCGAACTTCTTCAAAACTCGAGTGCGATTTCGTGATCTTTATACCCATCCACCCATTCCATTCCATTCCATCCATCCATCCAAAAATATTTTTTAATCTATCGTGACGGGTAACTATACCGTACCACCCACCCCACAGAGCAGAACAGAACAGAACAGATCTCCAGGGCAATCTCCATCGTCGATTCCCACCCTCCAAATACAGTAAACAAACAAATAAACAAATAAACAGACGAATCCCACCACCACCACACCTTCCATCTATCATATCCACACCCACACACCCACACACGGGCCACACACACTTAGCATACAGTAAGGTACCGTACCGCCGTGCACAAAGCTAGACTAAGAGTAGAATAAGAATTCACACCCAAAGGCAAAAACAGGATAAAGCACAGCCCCCCGATTAATCCGCCTTTTCTCCTGGTAGCGTACCGTACTCGTACCGGAATCTACAGTACGGTACGATATCTATTGTTCATTCATGCGGATCGGATTAACGGTCTACCGTATTGCTAAATGTAAAATACGGTAACTGTAGCTGTACGAGTACTCAGTCACGCTGCCTCAACCCCGTGAAAAGTAAATATAATACTGCGCCGCAGCCGCCGCTACTTGTAGCTAAGTCAAGTCAGGTCAAGTTATGCGCGCGCCACTGATGGCGATACGGATGGCCGTACGAGTACCGTAACCTGCGCGGTGTGTACGAGTGCTCGTGCAGTGCTCGTAAAGAGTACGGCCTCCGTCGGGGGAAGCTAGCCAACTGTTATACGAGCACGGCTATGGTAGACTGCAGTAACTGTACCGAGGGAGAGGGAATAGATGAACGGTGCGTGCGGTGTGGGGAACAGCTGAGCTGTGATGGTTACTATTAGTTACAGGTGGTGAGGGGGCACAGCCACGGTACAGTACTTGTACCAGTACTAGGACAGTAGGTACCTAATCGACGGATGGATGGACGGATGGACCGGGTACTTTCTCCACGAATTCGATACCGTAACGGTGCTCGTATCGATAGCCAGACGGATACGGTAGATGGATAGAGATCCTATCCATCTATCCACCGTATCTCGTTCTGACGAAATGGTGATGCTTTTGCTATGCTAATTATTCGAGTATGATACCGTACCGTACTATACTGTGGGTTGTGCCCTTTCCCTCCGGCACGACAACTTCCACCTACCGTACGGTATCGTGCGCACCCGCCAAGAATTGCCGTGCCGTGCTGTGCCGGTACAGTACGGTACCCTACCTATCATACTCCTACTCATAGTCGACTTATGGGTGGCTTGAGGGGTGAGCGAAAAAAAAAAACCGGAATTTGCTGTCTTAGGCTGATGTTTCGTTCAGCGCGGCCAGGATTTGATCTGAATGAGTGACATACGGTGCATGATCTCCTGTACTCGTACAAGTAGACTCGGCTTGGGTGGGATGGTGTGATTTTTTTTCTTCCCCTCTTTCCCGCCGTCCAGGCCGGCTGAGGCGAGGTGATGGCGGAATCTTTCCCATCTACTGCATGATATCCATTGATTGGGGAAATCTTTGTCTGCACGTCTGGCGTGACAACACGGCATTCCGGATTTCGGATGCTGGCCCTGGTGGCAGGCTTCTTTCTTTCTTTTCTTTTCTTTGGGTGGTGAAAGATGCTGCTTTGGGTGCGCTTGGTCGGGATCACATTCGCGCCTGCATTGCTGCAACCTCGCCGCCGCGAGATTGCTCACCTCCATTCTCGCTCGTCATTGGGTTGACGTCAGTGCTCAGCTCTTGCGGCGGCAGCTTGTGCTCGGAAGATAGGGCTGCTGAGAGCTGTCTCTCGAGCTGTCCATAGATTTCCATCCAATTGAGCGCTGCATCATACCGGTATCCAATGGTCGCCCCGGATATCCGGAAAAGTGCAATACGGGACTGCACGTTTCAAATGACATTATTGTAAAGTGCATTATTCAGCCTTAGCCTACAAAGATATCGTATGGTGAAAAGAATCAAAACAAACTGTTCAAGCAAAAACTACCCTACCCTACCCTACCAAACGCAGATCATTAGTTTTGCCCGCTTTGGCCTCTGAACATCTCAGTCTAGTTCCCGTCCCGTACCAAGGTCCAGCTCAACCCCGCTTTTTTTTCCTTCTTTTCTTTTTACATGGCCTTCGTCCCCCGACAAACCCTGATGCCTCTGCAGGCAAATATATAGAAAAAGAAAGAAAGAAAGAAAGGAAACATTAGGACCTGGTATTCACCGCCTATTTTGAGAGGGGGAAAGGACTATAATCTATACAAAAACTAAGGCTGCACCACCCAGAGCGGCCGCAAACAACCCAGCACCGATCTTGACGGCACCAACCTGAAACGCTGGAATAGTGAGACCGACAGCTGCCCCCTTGGTTCCGGTTCCCGAGCTATTGGGTGAGGATGTGACGGTGCCAGTTCCTGCAGTTCCTCCGGCCTCAGAGAGGAGGGATTTGCAAGTGCCCGAGGCAGTGGCCGGGGTTTGAGTCTTTGCGCTTCCGTCAAAGTCGCAAGAATCCGAGGCTTTCTTTTGTTTTGTATAGTACTGTTTCTCGTCCACTCATTAGCAGGCTTCAGGGCGCCATAGCCAAAGGTAATGCACGTACGGCATTCATAGCCCAAGAAACACGTTCAAGAGGGCTGCACATGGAATATGCGCCATACTCTCCTGTAGTGCCATTGGCGGTGATTCCAGTGCAATCGGTCTTAGCCTCTCCGCAAATGTAGTTGAACAATTCTCCCGTGTCCTTCTCTTGCACTTTTGTGGCGGCAACACAACCCAGAGACGATACCATGCATGAGCAGAGCTCCCTGTTAGGGGTTGGTGGGAGCACGGTCGAGGCTGACCAGTTAGAATCGGCGGTTGGGCAGGGGCGAGCAGCAGTATTCGTTGGATTATAGCTATTGCTCTGAACACCGCTCGGGGAGACCTTTGCGAGCTCGGACTTGAGATTGTTGTAGTCAACCAACTTCGTAGCTGTCCCACCGCCGCCAATTTCAACCAGACCTTTGGAGAAGTTAGCAGAGACGACGGCAATGTATGAAAGAGTCATCGGGAAACACCATAATCATTAGCTTCCTGGTGGTACATGTAAACAATTCCTCCCGAAAAGATGGGCGTCATCTGGGAACCATAGAGAGCCCCGACCTCGGTGAACACTCGGGGTTGAACCACCTACATTCACGTCAGTCTAACATGCACAAGATATGAATCCCAACCGAGCTCACATTGCACCCATACTCAGCAAAGAAAGAGGGGATGCTGTAGTTCTCAAATTCCTTGGTGCGCTGATCGTAGCCGGACTCTGTGTATGAGCTGTTACCGCACCAGGAGTAGATGTTATAGCCCCAGAAGTCGGCCGATTCACTACTGCTGCCACAGTTAAAGTAATCCGCGAGCTCGGATCTGATTTTTTGATCGTCGTTGGTGGCATATCCAACGGGGATGGCGCGATAGTTAGATTTCTTGATGTAGGCTTTCATATCACGAATGGCCGCTTTGACAAAAGGCGACGCATTGGTGTTGTTCGCCTCGTTGGAAACCTCGTTACCCGCAAAGAATCCCAGAATGTTGGCGTAGGGGGCTAGCGCATCGACGACCGAGGTATAACGTTCGAAAATCCTGTCGTCCCATTCAGGAGAATTGCGGTTGATGGACAATGTCGGCTCAGACAAATCACTGACCACGTAAATTCCAGCATCGTTCAGCAATTTCATGCAGGCCGAATGGTCCGAGGTGGTATTGATGGCATAGACACGAATTGTATTCGTGCCAAGCTCCTGGAGCAAGGGAATGTCCCGCTTGCATCCAGCCTCATCCGCCAGCGGATCTATAAAAGTTCCAGAAGTGCTGTTCGTAGGGCTGGCCTGATAGGCAACACCCTTCATGAAGCTATATTCAATTGTCAGTCCCATCCACCATGAGAAGGGAACAGCTCAAAACACTCACAATTGAGTGCCATTAGACTTGAAGAAAAATTCTAAACCGAAATCAGTCCCAAATCCTTCACGACAAAAGGCCAAACCCGGAATCCCAATACTCACTACTCCCTTTGATAACAATAGGATCAAGATCTGCGGCAGAGGCGGTGGAAAGGAGAGAACCGGCCATGAGAGCCGCCGAAGCGAGCGATCGGACCCACATAATTGTTTGTCTTAGCCCACCAAATATTTCTTATTGGTGGGAAATTGGGTCCGTCCTGTCAGTTGGAAGACGTGTAAATTGGGAAGTTCGATTGACGCACTCAGGGGTTGGCCAAGAGAAGTGACGACAGGGCCAAGAAAGCGGGTGAAGAGCAAGCGTTGATGAAACCGCCTTGGCTCGGGGACGGGTGAGAAGGAGGGCAGCGGTGAAGGAGTGATAGAGGGCAGAGAGCGAAGGTGCAATGTTTATCCAGTGAACGAGAGACACCGGAAAAGAAGGAGGAATTGAGGGAGAATGTACGATAGGTATGATACAATGAATTCTCGGAGAGAAAGGGAAAAGGAAGGGAAGGGAAAGGGAACGGATGAGAGAATTAAGAAACGGGGGCTTGGCCCGGGGGTTGAGGGAGGTTGCAGCCCCTCTCTGGAGGACTTCTGGCAAAAGGTTGCCGAGATGTTGACGCGCAAGACGATTCTCAATCGAGGGCCGCCTCAGGGTGCAGTGTTGTAAGCTGGGGAAGATAACTACTGGTTAGCCTGCTCGCCCAGGATATCCGGGCTCTCCCACTGGCCAAGTTTTATGGAGATTCCAACACAAAAAAAGATTCTATGCTCGCACTGTAGGATGCTAGCTAGGGTGCTGACTGCATACTCTGGGAATTTTTTTCCTAGCTAGAGATCCGATGGCGAGATCGGCACGAGTGGACTCTGCGCTGCGTGCAATAGACTATTGTACGAGAAAACCTTTTCTATACCATGCGCTTGGCATACAAACCTTTTGGATACCATCCACCGAGAAATATACCATTAAAAAATGTAAAACCTTCAGCTATGATCACAGTTTCTATCGCAACAGCGAATGGACCGTCAAAACAAAGGAACTCCATCCGTGCACTTAGAGATAAATAGAGTAAAAAAATAAAAACAATTGAAATATGTCAGTAGAAATTCCACACTACAAGCACACAGGACTCGAGTTTTTCATATCTTTTTTATTCATAATGAACTCGCCGTCTCCATTTCAAGTTAATGATCTTTTTCGTGATTGGTCTGTCCTACGGTCACAGATTGAAGAATGGGCGGTCAAGGACGGCTTTGCATTTAAGGTCCGAATTAAAGATAGCCAGCGGGCCGATTATATCTGCCGAATGCCTGAATGTCAATGGAGAGTCTTTGCCAGTCATAATCGAAATAAGGAAATTCAACTAAAAATCCTAAACGAGCGGCATACCTGTATTGGCCGAGCATCAACCATCCGAGAAGTTTATAATAGCCAATCGTGGCTTCGGCGGAACGTCCCAGAACACCTTTTTGTTACCCGCGATACAATGACCCGGCAAATTATCGATATCCTTCAACTCAACTATGGTATTACCGTAAATACCGAGGCAGCAAGATTAGCACGAGCTTCTCTAGTCAATGATAGAATTGAGCATCAGCGGGAACAGTTTCTAAAAATTCCAGCCTATTTAGAACTATTACGACATCGAAATCCCTGGATTCATACCTCACTTCATACCGTTGGCAGCGAGCACAATCCAGAAACCCAACATTTCCAACGTGTTTTCATCTGCCCAGCAGAATCCCAGCTCTCCTTTATCCAAATGCGTCCTTTCATTGCACTAGATGGTACCTTCCTTAAAGCGAGATTTGTTCAGACTTTACTTCTCGCAGTTGGAATCGATGGCAATGGGCAGAATCTGATTCTCGCCTGGGGGGTAGTTGAGAGTGAAAATACAGATTCTTGGACCTGGTTTTTAGAGAGATTAAAGCGGGCGATCCCTCAAGTCCTAGAAGCTACCTTTATTAGTGACAGAGATAAGGGGTTGATGGCAGCAGACCATGTCTTAGGAAATGGAATAAACCGACTTATCTGCTGCTTTCACTTGCACCAGAACTTCAAAAGATTCCGCAATGTCGAGCACCTATTCTGGCTATTAGCGAAAGCGAAATCGGAAGAAAACTTCAATACTCGAATGGATCAACTCCAGCGAATATCCCTAGATGCAGCAAATTATCTTCACAAGATTGACAAAACACTGTGGGCCGATGCCTTTGCTCAAGGAAAATCATACGGACATAAAACCTCAAATGTTGTCGAATCAACAAACAATTTCCTAAGGTTTGACCGTGAGATGTCAATTCTTGATATGTTGAATGAAATTTGGCATAAAACAATGGACTTACGGTATAAACGGTATCTTGCGGCTTGTAATACAGATCCAGGCCAGCGGTATACTGAATTTGCAATGAAGGCGATACTGGATAGTCGAGAGTGGTCCAAGCGAAACGCAGTACGAATTGCAACTCGAAACCTAGCGGAGGTTATCCAAGCCAATAACAAATCCTATACAGTAAACCTCGGACAGAAGACCTGTTCCTGTCACCACTATCAGCAAAATGATATCCCTTGTGGCCATGCCTATAGCTTCATTTTAGCACTCAATTGTGCCCCACGCGATTTCATGCCGACTGTCTTTTTAATTACAACTTAGAAGAACACCTACCATCAGAATATTCAGCCGATAAGCCTTGCCGATGTCGATAAAGTTCTGGCAGAAAACGATTTCAATCAAGGCCCCGGCCCCTTATGCCATCCTCCACTGAAACTCCGTTCAGCCCAGGGTCGACCACGAAATCAGAGACTAGTTCGTGGCACACAGAGGAAACAGACTGCACGCGCTCAAGCAGTTCTAAATCTTGAAGCAGCACCACCAGAACGAGGACGCAGGAGTCAACAGTGTAGTCGATGTGCTCAATGGGGCCATAATCGGAAAACTTGTCATGAGGATTTTGTACTATAGGTATTTGTAATACCATAACCTAAATAGAATAAAGTATTCATTTATATGTTAGTTCATATATAAAAAAAGAGTAAAAACAAAATTTGAGTGATCAGTTATGATTCTACTTACCTACAATTATACCTCAAACATGCCAAGAATATGGCCCGGCCATTGGACACACCCTATCCGAGCATGGATGCAAAACCGTATCTCATACAGCTGTATTCGCGATACTCGCATACAGTCGTACTCCATTGTCCTAGATGGCCAAAATCCTAAGAATCCGTCCAGGACAGCGAGTTATCCGGGACAATAGGTTCGGTTTTAGTGTAAAGAAATTTATAATTCATAGATATTCATCCAGGACGGTGAACAATCCGGGAGAGCGAGGTCTGGGATAATGGGGTACGACTGTACCATAAAGTAGCGTGAATTCCAGAAAGAGAGCTTTTTTTTTTCTGATTGCGATAGGAAAAAATTAAGAGGGGGCTCAGGTGGAAGCCGATAGGAAGGAGGCGTGGGTCATGGAGAGGGGAGAAACATCATAAAGGTATAGAGGTTACCTTTATTCGGCTAGTTGATGATCCTGAAATAATCCAATACTTGCTTCTGGCATCCCAGTCATGGTTTCATTTTTTTGAATGGTATATTTCTCGGTCGATGGTATCCGAGAGGGTTTCTCGCCAAGAGCATGGTACTGAAAAGGTTTGCTCACTATTGTACAAGCTCCACGCCCTTCCTTTCCATTGTCCTGGTGGTACCGCACCCGGTACAGTCAGTTACCGGCACCGTGCCGGAATAGAAGATAGAAAGGTGTGTCAGGCCCTTGGAATTCCCCTTCTCGGCTACGCGAGGGAAACGCATCACGAACTCAACCCTCGCTCGTGGCAAAACAAAAGGGATACGGTACACGGAGCGCCTCAACTAGGAATGACGGCTATCGGTACCGTGCAACATCCTAGCGAACCGCATTTTCTATTTGATCTTTCGAGATGCCGGTGCTAAATTTATATAGCTTATGGACAGGTTTTGGTGTTGATCGCGAGAGGACGCATCAAAGTCCAACTGTTGCACCACCGGTATATCGTACCGGTAGCTTGGCTTGCACACAGGTGCCGGTGCCGGCTGCAGAATCTACATTCCTCATTTTTGCAAGGGGCGAGTATAGTACGGTACCGGTGCCATACAATAGTAGCATGATCTTGGTCCTTTAAGGGACTGCACAAGCACCGGTCTCCAAGCTCAAGTCTAGCAGCTGGGCCCGCCACGTAAATTCGGTGGGTAGGTTTGACTACCGGTACCGTACAAGTAGACTACTTCCCTTCCTCCCTTCTCCGCGCCAGCGACAATTCCCCTTGCTCGCAGTAATCAGCTCAGTCTCCACACGGTACCGGTAGTACTCGTAAACGGTCCCCCGCAAAACCACCCAAAAAAGCGACTCGAGACCCTTGCTAGACCCTACCGGTAAGGGCCAACCCGCCCTGAGCGGGAACATCGATTGATAATTACTGTATCATGCGTGACATTGTGTGGTTTCTGGCACCTGAAGCTTCGTGCGGTTTGTGGGCTGTGTGTACGAGTACAGTATCGTACCGGTACCTTACTGTGCACACGGGTGCAGTAAGATTCACATTACCGGTACTCCAATGCTGGTTCCCAGTGATACCGGAACCACAGTACATTGGATACTTGGTGCAGCTCCTATCGGATGCGTTCTTGGTTGGGGAAGGGCAGGTACGGCATTTTAATTACGGCGTTAAGTTATGGCGGTTATCCGGCCGGAGGGTGGTTTAATTGGCCCGGGCACGATAGGTCAGTTGTGTTTCCCGTGCCACCTGCCTCGATGACGTGTGGCAGTGTTGATGGTCTGGTTCCTGGATCAATTAGGCACTATAAATAGGGGGAATTCTGGTTTTTAATCCAAGCAAGATCTTTGGACTCGCGAGAGCACCCATTTCAGGCGCAGGAGGGGAGAGGCTCACTCGTTCTCTGCCACACGGTGCTCGGGCACTCGTACGGGACAAGTACGGTGCTGCAGGACCGGCGTCGTATGCTGCGGGATGAACGAGATGGACCGGTCCGATAGCGGTGCTGGCAAGATAAAACGGTGCATGTATGAGTACTGTATGGTGCCGCTCCATCCAAACATGGACCGCTGTGTGTATGATGTTCAGTTGGCGGGAATACAGTGGTTTGCTGTGTTGGTGCGGCAATAAGTGTTTTTTTGTTTTTTTTAAGAAACTTACTATATTCTAAAGATACTGGTGTTCTGCCTTCTTTTCAACCTCTAGTGATTGAAGTGTAAGAAAACATATTGTGGGTGCTGTTCCTTTGTACTTACTGCGGGTAAGTTGGTAGGCGAGTGATTCCGGAGGGGGGGGGCAAGTGCCGGTACGAGTGCTAGTACGAGTACAGTACATGTTGTACCGGTAGCATATCATCCGGTTGAGCACGGCTAGATGATCTGAATGGAGTACGGGTACAGTACTTGTTAGCTGAGCTACGGTACGGTAGTGGGGTACCGTACTTGGGAGTTGTAACAAGGTCAGCTCTGCCGTTCAATGCGTGGCTAGTGCTCGTGCATTCTCTTGGGCAACGCCCTCTCTGTTCGAGGCCATACTCGTACAGGACGGAAGGTACGGTACGAGTACTCGTGCTATGCCGGTAGGTAGGTGGGGGGTACTAGTGCTCGGGTGCCGTACCGTAGAAGCCAGGGCTCCATGCTGAATTGAACTTTATGCTGGTCGCCACAACGGCTTCTCAGAAGACGACGAGGATATGTGAAACAGCCAGGCACTCCACCCTTGCAAAGTGGAGGAGTTACCCAATTAAAACGGGGTATCTCCTTCCACTGGTTCTTTCGGGAAATGGAAGCGGCGGGGGCCTTCACTGATCGGGAAGGCCGAGAAGAAACTACCGTATTTGAAACTCGAACTGTGTCCTGGAATTCTCGAAGCCGGGAATCCACATGATTGGTGGGCCAAAGGCAGTTCAGTAGAAATTGGTTGAGCATCATTTACTCGAGTACATCCTTTTAGCTGGAGGTTAGCTATCGTTCAGCGTGTCTGGATATCTCTGGGTGCATGGGTTGCAGTTGTGGGAAACCGGTAGACTATTGTCCCTCTTGCATGGGTGGCTGTCGGTGACGAGACGCCCGGATGGGCCTTCAGTACCCACCCCCATGCATTGAACAGCTTCCTCACCCCTGCCTCCTGTTTCTCCTTTTTTCCTTTCTTTTTTCCCTTTCTCCTTCTCTTCCACTCTAATTTTCTCACCTTCTCTTTTCTTTTTTTCTTCTCTCTCTCTCTCTCTCTTCCTGTCAACGTCCCTCGCTGCAAAGTACTAGTACCAGTACTCGAGTACCGTACCCTCTTTCCTCTTGCCCTGTAGCCCACCCCCCCCCCTTACCCTAGCGCCCTCCCTCGTTCTCTCCGCCGGCCCTTATCGCAGCGCGAACATCATCTTCCTCCTCCCTCTTCTCCCTTTCCTGCTGCAATCTCTCCTCGCTCTTTTCCTCCTTCTCTCTCTCTCCCTCCCTCTTCCCCATTCCACTCGCTCAGGAGGTGTGTTGTTTGCCGAAGTTACTCCGTGCAAAATAGTTTTTTTTTTTCCTTCTCTTCGCTATCGTTACCCAGAAGCTCCATTCTAAAGTGAGCTCGTCGGTTGTTGCACTAGCCATTCTTGCACGGAGCCTCCTAAGTAAGTGAACTTTCTATCCTGCCTTCAATACCCCCCGAGGTGTGCGAGCCCCTGAAAAGGTCAACAAACAAAACCCCTCGCCCGTTTGCTCCAGAAATCAACTTTCCTCAATCTTTTCTTATCTGCCTCGCATTGCTTTTGTGGGTCTGCCCATTTCGTCCCCCGTTGCTAATAATTCTTCTCCTTAAAGTTTAGCCAACGATCTTTACCTGCCGTCCTTCGTTTTTTTTTTTTTTTTTTTTTCTGCTGCTTGTCTTTTACAACTTTGTTGTTTTCCTCCATCTTTGTTTTTGGAAAACCATTCTCCCATTCTTACGCAACACTGGATTGTATCAGACAAATTGCACTGGCTCAGCAACTTAACTCCCCTTTGCAGTAGGTGTGACCAATCGGGTCGTTTACTGCTTCTTTGAATAGTTAATCTTTTACATACTATTGTTGGAGGTAAGTGATCTGTTGCGGTAGCAACTAGCTTTCATATCTTGGGTGCCTTTCAGTCCGAGCTCGACAACAAAGCTTGTTGATATATTTTTGCTCCCCGGGACGTCAACACAGAGAACTATCATCACTAACTGTGACACCCATAGGTTTTTTTTTTTGAGATCGTTCTTTGCCCGTCATGTCGGGGCCCCAACAACCGTACGATGACCATCAGGGTCATCAGTATGGAGGTCAAACCGATTCATACTACCAGGATGAATACCATCAAGGACAGGGAGGCCATTACGACCAGGCCGGGCATGGCCAGCAATACGATTATGCTCAAGGCGAAGGCTATTACGACGAACAGTACGCCATCTGAGCTGACAATGATTTGCTTCATCGGCTAACCTATCGTAGGGAATACTACAATGCTGGACAACAAGGGGGATACGGGCAAGATGCTGGATACTATGGAGACGGGCGGGGTGGTGTGTTTTGTCCCTGGCTCTTTATCTAAATGCAGTGTTGACATGTCTTCAAGGGTACGAGGATGATTACTACGGAGACCAGTACTATGACCAGAACACTCCTGCTGCCGGCCAGCAGCCCCACCAAGGGTATGACCGCAAAGGAAAACGCCGAGGTCACGATTCAGAGGAGGACTCTGAGACCTTTAGCGACTTCACTATGAGATCTGACATGGCCAGGGCTGCGGATATGGATTACTACGGGCGCGGAGACGAACGATACAACAGCTACGACCACGGACCGGACGGTCGACGCGGCTATCGCCCTCCCTCCTCTCAAGTATCCTATGGTGGCGGTAGATCATCCGGCGCTTCTACCCCTGTTTACGGCGTTGATTACACGAACAATCTACCCGCCGGCCAGCGCTCAAAGGAGCCATACCCAGCGTGGACGACTGAGAATCAGATACCCATCTCCAAAGAGGAGATTGAGGATATCTTCCTTGACCTCACCAACAAATTTGGGTTTCAGCGCGATAGCATGCGCAATATCTATGACCATTTTATGACTCTCCTCGACTCTAGGGCATCCCGCATGACTCCGAACCAAGCTCTACTCTCGTTGCATGCTGACTACATTGGCGGTGAAAACGCCAATTTCAGGAAATGGTACTTTGCGGCTCATCTTGATTTGGATGATGCTGTTGGATTTGCCAACATGAAACTGGGAAAGACAAGTCGCCGTGCTATGAAGGCTAGAGCGGCTGCTAAAAAGAACAAACCCCAAGGTGAAAACGAGGAACAGACACTGGCTCAAATGGAGGGAGATAATAGCCTAGAAGCTGCCGAGTATCGGTGGAAGACTAAGATGAACCGGATGTCTCAACATGATCGGGCACGGCAGATTGGCCTTTTCCTGCTCTGTTGGGGTGAGGCAAATCAGGTCCGTCTCATGCCGGAAGCCTTGTGCTTTATCTTCAAATGCGCGGATGATTATCTCCACTCCCCCGAGTGTCAGGCTAAGGTCGAGCCAGTCGAGGAAGGTACATACCTTAAGGATATCATCACTCCATTATATCAGTACTGTCGTGATCAAGGATACGAGATTGTTGATGGGAAGTTCGTCCGACGAGAACGGGATCACAGTCAACTTATCGGTTACGATGACTGCAATCAATTGTTTTGGTATCCCGAAGGCATTGAAAGGATCGTCATGACTGACAAGTCTCGCCTTGTTGATGTTCCCGGGCCACAACGGTATTTGAAACTCAAGGAGGTTGAGTGGAAAAAGGTGTTCTTCAAGACATACAAAGAAACGCGTTCCTGGTTTCATATGGCTACCAACTTCAATCGTGTCTGGATTATCCATATCGGCTCCTTCTGGTTTTACACTGCGTTTAATTCCCCTACGCTTTACACCAAGGAGTATCATCAGCAACTTAACGAGAAACCTCATGCGGCCGCTCGGTGGTCTGCAGTTGCTCTTGGTGGTGCTGTTTGTACGTTCATCATGATTGTTGCTACCTGTGCTGAATGGGCTTTTGTTCCTCGCCAATGGGCGGGAGCTCAGCATCTCACCAAACGCCTCTTGTTCATCCTATTCATCTTTGTTATTAACGTTGCACCCAGCGTTTACGTCTTCATGATTGATGGGAACAATGGTGGAAAGATTGCAAGAATTCTGGGTATTGTGCAATTCTTCCTTGCTTTGGCTACATTCTTCTTTTTCTCTGTTATGCCTCTTGGTGGATTGTTTGGTAGCTACTTGACCAAAAACTCGCGCCGTTATGTTGCCAGTCAAACGTTTACCGCCAGCTATCCTCGCTTGCGCGGCAATGATATGTGGATGTCCTACGGGATCTGGGTCCTGATCTTTGCAACTAAGCTGATTGAGTCGTACTTTTTCTTGACTCTTTCTTTTAGAGATCCTATTCGGGTGTTGTCAGTCATGAAAATTGACAATTGCTTGGGAGAGAAGCTTCTTGGGACTGGGGATGCTGCTAAGATGCTTTGTCAACGTCAACCTCAGATCCTGCTTGGTATTATGTATATCACTGATCTGACCTTATTCTTCTTGGATACATATCTTTGGTATATTGTTTGGAATACTGTTTTCTCCGTTGCTAGATCGTTCTACCTTGGTGTGTCTATCTGGACACCATGGCGAAACATCTTTTCCCGGCTCCCCAAGCGTATCTATTCCAAGGTCTTGGCCACTACCGACATGGAGATTAAGTATAAGCCAAAGGTCTTGATCTCTCAGATTTGGAATGCTATTGTTATTTCTATGTATCGCGAGCATCTTCTTGCGATTGATCATGTCCAGAAGTTGTTGTATCATCAGGTATAGTTTCTTTTGCAAATCATTAGCTGCTCTTGCTAACTATCGCAGGTACCATCGGAACAAGAGGGCAAACGGACCTTGCGAGCTCCCACCTTTTTCGTCTCTCAGGAGGATCACTCGTTCAAGACGGAATTTTTCCCAAGCGGTAGTGAGGCCGAGCGACGTATCTCTTTCTTCGCTCAATCGCTATCTACACCGATTCCGGAGCCGCTGCCTGTCGACAACATGCCTACCTTTACTGTTCTCATTCCTCATTACAGTGAAAAAATTCTCCTTTCGCTGCGTGAGATCATCCGTGAAGATGATCCTTATTCCCGTGTTACGCTTCTGGAGTACCTTAAACAGCTTCACCCTCATGAATGGGACTGCTTCGTCAAGGACACAAAGATTTTGGCCGATGAGACGTCCCAATTCAATGGTGAGGCCGAGAAGACCGAAAAGGAAAAGGAAGTGTCCAACAGCAAGGTCGATGATCTCCCGTTCTACTGCATCGGTTTCAAGTCTGCCGCACCTGAGTACACTCTTCGAACCCGTATTTGGGCATCGCTTCGTTTCCAGACGCTGTATCGCACGATCTCAGGTTTCATGAATTATAGTCGCGCTATCAAGCTTCTCTACCGCGTCGAGAACCCTGAGGTTGTTCAAATGTTTGGCGGCAATACCGATAAGCTGGAGAGGGAACTTGAACGTATGGCGAGAAGAAAGTTCAAGATCTGTGTTTCTATGCAGCGCTACGCCAAGTTCAAGAAAGAGGAGATGGAGAATACGGAATTTCTCCTTCGCGCTTATCCTGACCTGCAGATTGCTTATCTTGATGAGGAGCCGCCACTGGTCGAGGGGGAAGAACCCAGATTGTACTCTGCGCTTATTGATGGACATTCAGAGCTCATGGAGAATGGAATGCGTCGTCCCAAGTTCCGCGTCCAGCTGTCTGGAAATCCTATCCTCGGTGACGGAAAGTCAGACAACCAGAACCATGCTATTATTTTCTACCGTGGCGAGTATATTCAACTTGTCGATGCCAATCAGGACAATTACCTCGAAGAATGTCTGAAGATTCGAAGCGTTCTTGCTGAATTTGAGGAAATGACTGTTGAGAACGTCTCGCCTTATACCCCCGGACTCCCGCCTACAAAGTTTGATCCAGTCGCTATTCTTGGAGCTCGTGAATATATCTTCTCTGAGAACATCGGTATCCTGGGTGACGTCGCTGCCGGCAAGGAACAGACTTTTGGTACCCTTTTCGCCCGTACTTTGGCGCAGATTGGTGGAAAATTGCATTATGGACATCCCGATTTCTTGAACGGCATCTTTATGACAACACGTGGTGGTGTGTCCAAGGCCCAGAAGGGATTGCATCTCAACGAGGATATTTATGCCGGAATGAACGCTCTTTTGCGTGGAGGGCGTATTAAACATTGCGAGTACTACCAATGCGGTAAAGGGCGTGATTTGGGTTTCGGATCTATTCTCAACTTTACCACGAAGATTGGAACTGGCATGGGAGAGCAGATGCTTTCGCGCGAATACTATTATCTCGGTACTCAGCTTCCTCTGGATCGTTTCCTGTCTTTCTACTATGCGCATCCTGGTTTCCACATCAACAATTTGTTCATTATGCTATCGGTTCAGCTCTTCATGTTTGTCATGATCCATCTTGGTGCTCTCAAGAACCAGGTTGTTGTGTGTGACTACAATCCCAACAAGCCGATTACGGATGAATTGAAACCTGTTGGATGCCGCAACATTGAACCGATCATGGACTGGGTTGTGCGTTGCAGTTTGTCAATTGTCATCGTGTTCTTCATTTCTTTTGTTCCTCTTGTTGTTCAGGAACTCACTGAGCGCGGATTCTGGCGCGCCGCTACTCGTCTTGGAAGACACTTCTGCTCATGCTCACCTGCCTTTGAGGTCTTTGTGTGCCAGATTTACGCCAACTCTTTGCTTAACGATCTCGCCTTTGGTGGTGCTCGCTACATTGGTACGGGTCGTGGTTTTGCAACTGCTCGTATCCCTTTTGGTATCTTGTATTCACGCTTCGCCGGACCCTCAATCTACCTGGGCGCCAGGTCTTTGCTGATGGTGCTTTTCGCTACTTTGACCGTTTGGGGTATACACCTTCTCTACTTCTGGGCTTCCTTACTTGCTCTCTGCACTTCGCCCTTCGTCTTCAACCCCCACCAGTTTGCATGGGATGACTTCTTCATTGATTACCGTGACTACTTACGATGGCTTTCTCGTGGAAACTCGCGCGCCAATCACCAATCGTGGATTTCTTTCTGCCGTCTGTCAAGAACTCGTATCACTGGTTACAAGCGCAAGGTCCTCGGTGATCCTTCTGAGAAACTTTCGGGGGACATGGCTCGTGCAAAGTTCACAAACATTGTCTTCAACGAGATTGTTGGGCCGTTCCTTGTCGCCATTCTCTGTATTATCCCCTACTTGTTCATCAACGCACAGACTGGTGTAAGACAGGATAATCCCGGAAACGAGGATCTGCCTGAGCCCAAACCGACTGGAGCTCTTATGCGTCTTGCCGTTGTGGCATTTGCTCCTATTGCCGTCAATGCCGGTATTCTTGCGGGCTTGTTTGGAATGGCATGTTGCATGGGTCCTGTTTTCAGCATGTGTTGCAAGAAGTTTGGTGGTGGTGAGTTATTTTTCTCCGAACGTATTGTTCCTTTAGCTGACCAAGTCAGTTCTTGCCGCCATTGCCCATGGTTTGGCTGTTATTATGCTCTTTGCATTCTTCGAAGTCATGATGTTCCTTGAGGGATTCAGCTTCACCAAGGCATTATCAGGAATGATTGCGGTGGTTTCGATTCAACGATGGTTTTATAAGCTTATAATCTCTCTTGCCCTCACCCGAGAGTTCAAGACAGACCAGAGCAATTTGGCATTCTGGAACGGAAAGTGGTATGGTCTTGGTAAGTTTTTTTTCCACAAGAGTAAAGCCTTAACAATTGAGCTATCGGCTGACCCTCTCTAGGACTTCATGCTATCTCGCAGCCTGGTCGTGAGTTGCTGTGTAAGATCACGGAACTTGGAATGTTCTCGGCAGATTTTATCCTTGGACATGTTATATTGTTCTTTCAACTGCCCATTATCCTGTTCCCTTATGCGGACCGCATTCACTCCACTATGTTGTTCTGGCTGCGCCCATCCCGCCAAATTAGACCACCAATATACTCCTCCAAGCAATCGAAGCTCCGAAAGAAGAGAGTCATCCGATTTTCTGTCGTTTACTTTCTCATGCTTGTCGTTTTCCTTGCGCTGATTGTTGGACCAGTTGTAGCTAGTATGTGTCCCCTTCCAATGTATTCAAAGCCGACCGCTAATAGTTTGAACAGAGAAAATACTCATTGATGCTACCAAGTCGGTCAACATCATGCCTGATATGGGGCTTCAGCAACCTCATGACACTTACTACAATAATACCGACACGGCCTACTGGGAAGCAAATCCCGATTTGGTTGATGACGGTGGTAAGGAGTTTAGGGAGGGCGCCCACCAAAACAAGAATGCGAATAGCAAGTTCAAACTGAGGTTTTAACTTCATATCGTAGTCGTTGTTTCCCCCTTTTTTAATTTTTTTCTTTTCATTTTCTCTTTCATTGTTCTGGGCGGCGAATAAATACGGATACTTTACCCTTGAGCGCAGGTCTTGTGTATAAAGGGGCGAACTAGTAACGAAGGATCGTTGTAATGTTAGTGATTAGGTGGGACTGTTCAACGAACAGGTGGCATAGTGGGCGCTGAATAGAGGTGATAAAAAAACCAGTTGTCCTTTTTTTTTTTTGCATATCGGTTGTACTATTTTTCTTTTTTTTTTTCCTTTTCTGTTTGTATCCTTAGGTAAATAAGGAGAACTAGTGAGGGTGAGGTATTACGATTTTTCTTTCTTATCATTTCTTATTCTATATAAATGTGTAGTCTTGCGAGGGAACAAATAGTATAGTTTTTTTTCTCTCGTTACCTTTCTCGTGCTTGAATTTGGGTTTGGATTTCTCCCTCATGTTGGATCCACCTGGTAGAAAATTGCGCATACCGATAGGGTATGATAGGGATATCATTATCTACTATTTGCCTGTTGCCGAGTGATGTGGCAGTGGTCCGTGCGATTTCAAGTACGGTAGGGTTGATCATCCCATGTGATTTGGACCGTGATACCATGTCAGTCACTCGTAGCGGGTACTGGGCGCGCGGATATCCCCCAAATTGAATTGAATCGAGTTGATTTTGATGAAAAGAGACGGAACCATGGTGCGGTGGGCCGTTTACATACATACCGTATTAACTCGAGTAAGAGAACGACGCGCTAGTAGGTTGAATTAAGGTGAAACCAAGGCACACAAGGTGTCGTAATATAAAATGAGGTCAGTGCAATATCAAAAAAATGGCCCACAGCATAAGAAGGAATTAGGGACAAAATATTAAAATAAAAATAAAAAATAAGAAATCTACTCTAACACCTCCAACTCCTCCCGCAATGGTCCAGCATCATAAGAAATAAATTCATTCTCATCCTCATGTGAAGGTAATGATTCCTCCCCATCTGAATCAGCATCTAATGTCAGTTGCTCCAATCCTCCAATCCCCCAATCCTTTAAGTCTTCCACTAACCTCTCCATATCAATACCCTTTAAGGACAGTTCGGTGTCACGACACCCATCGATAGGTAAGGAAAGACCAACAGCACAAAAAGATCGTATGATGACTTCTTTTCGACTAACACAAAACCGTTCCCAGGCTTCCCCAACTGCCCAGGTAATCATCACACGACGTTGCCCTACTTTGCTTTCTCCTGGCCTATCTTTGGTGTCCATTTTCTTCAATTCAATTTCCTTCTCTTCAATTATTTCCTTTTAGTATATAGTATTGTATTAATAATTAATAAGATAAATTTTAATAATAAAGAAAGAAAATACCTTCAAAATATCTTTAAATGGACGGTTTATTAATATATCTAATGGTTGTACAATACTTGTACATCCAGCAGGTATAACAGATACCGTAATATCATGTGCCTTGAGTGCATCCAAAACATTATCTGTTTTGTGACCACCAAAGAGATCCAGAGCCAGCAATGCTGGTTTTCCATTCAACGCTGGTACCAGTTGTTCCTCAATCCATTCCTCCATGTTGACTGAATTGGTGTAGGCTGTAGGATTAAACTTCACTCGTACTCGGGGGTCGTAGAGCTGTGACTCTCGTAAAATACCAGCTCCAATACCTTTTCCTCTAAAAAAAATAAGTGGCTCAACACGCATTACAGCTGTAACCGGAACTGGAGTTCAGTCCGTTCGGTTCAAGGATTTGTTTTATGTTTTGTTTTATTTGTGGTTTCGAGTATCCTTTGATACTCAGTTTGTTTTACTTGTGGTTTCGAGTATCCTTTGATACTCAGTTTGTTTTACTTGTGGTTTCGAGTATCCTTTGATACTCAGTTTGTTTTACTTGTGGTTTCGAGTATCCTTTGATACTCAGTTTGTTTTACTTGTGGTTTCGAGTATCCTTTGATGCTCAGTTTGTTTTATTTATGGTTTTGAGTATCCTTGATACTCAGTTGTTTTATGGGTTGCTCACGGAGGATTTGGAAATCCGTCCATGCAGGACATGGACGAAGCTTGTATTTAAAGACCGCTGAATCCCTTAGAGGAACAGCAGACTTCGACGGACAGAGTATTTTCTAATATACTTGGTTGAACGGTTACCTCTTCAAGTCCCTATTCTTTATATCTTCCTCTCGGAGCCTTCCTTAGCGCAGTACGCCCACCGGTTGTAGATCAACTTGTGCGCTACTCCTATTGTACCCGGAAGCGTGATTAGTACCCCGGTGCGAACACGTTACAACAGCATCTGCAAAAACAGTGAGCTGCAATGTAGCTTGTCTCTTATCCCAGCCACTTGTAGCCCTCTTAACCCAAACAGTTTTTGAGCCTCGGGGCTCATACGTCTGTCCTGAAAGAAACTCAAATGGCAGAGGAGTTTGATCCATATTGCAAATTGCTGCCAGATTGTATCTCCCTACCTCTGCCATTGAGTCTCCAAGCCCTCTCTCATCATCTGGACGTAATTGAGAATTGCGTCGATTGAACCGCGCCCATGATAATATCGCCTCATATGAGTCTGCTGGTACCTTACTCGCCTTATTGGTACTCACTCTAAGTGAAATATTATACCATCTTAGAAAACCTATTGAATTTATTAGTATTTTGTTTATTAGTATTATGTACATATCCAAGTATGAAATAAGATATGATAGACAATGAATAAAAAAGATAAAAAATAAAAAAATAATTTCACAAGATTTAATACAGATTATATGAGAACTTAATTTATGCAAACCAGAAGGTGAATTGAAGAATAGAAAGAGATTTACCATTAAACCAGCCATTGGAGAAGCAGAATACTTCTCCAGGATAGTACTTTGACATCAGTAACTTTGATGTGACCCGAAACCATCCACGCCGGACAATTTTGCCCATGTTCCTCCGCTCCAAAAAGCCCTCATAAAGTGGCCGCTCCATTTTTGGCCACTTGCGTTGCACAGTCCGATTCCGACATTGGGTCGAAAGGGATTCAAGAAGGGTGTCTTCCTGCTTCTTCCATCGGGCAATATTAGAAGCAGGAATTTTGAACCGGCGGGCTGTTTCAGCAGCTGTAACATGACGTGTAAGGGTTGGCCCAATTGGCACTGTTGCATGGAGGAGGTAAGAGAGAACCCGCAACTTATATCGAGCTGTATAATGCCTTTTTGTTACTGAAACTGGACGAGGAAAGGCGAGTGGTCTTTGCACAATTATGGTTCGTTTGGGTCCTGGCCGCTTTTTCTTTTGTGGACAGTAAAAGGTCTCTGAATCAACAGACTTAACAAGATCGTGAGAGGAAGCCATGTTTCTTGATCCCTTCACTATTTTGTTAACTACCTACTTGCTCTATATAGTATTGATTTACCCCGCTTCTTGGCCTGTTAGTTATGGCAATTATCACACTTGACGTTGAACTCATGTGACCTCTGCTCCAAATTCCGTCACTTTTGGTGAGGTTCAATTTGCGTAATTTCTGCCAAACTCTAAATTAACCTACTAGCACGTCGTTCTCTTACTCGAGTTACTACGGTACCATACATTGGATGGTACAGTACAGCACAGCACAGCACAAGCACGATCGCAAACTCAATCCAATCCAAGTCGACCTGACAGCCGTTAAATCAAGCAGGTATCAACGGCCAAACCGTTACAGATACTGGTGTAGCATACCCTCTCCACCAAGGTATCGTAGGTAGGTTGAAAGGCTAATGATGAGACTATTATAGCTAGGAAGAAAAAAAAAAGAAAAAAAGAGTGAATAGATATAGGACCTCTTTTCTCAATCACTATGATACTTGCTTGCTCGCAAACGCCATGAAGGAAATCTAGTTTTTTTCTTTTCATTTTTTAAGGGTGAGATTATAGCTAAATATTTATTTGTGGGTACTGTAGGTTCGTACCTTCATTCGTCTGTTGATTCCTCCTTTGGCACGAATAGTTCCGGGGGCATATTGATCTTTGTCAATTTCGCGATGCACCCTCTTAGCTGCAGGAGTGTGCTCACGCCTTCTAGAATGCGCATGTGTGCGAAGCCGATTACCTATTTTATTTATTGTCGTCCGTTAATTAAGTAGGTCTTTGATTGAGGGGGGTGGGGGGAAATAAAATATAAATAAATAAAAAATGCGTACTTTGATGAATTCCAGTTTCGAATGTTCACTGAGGGTATCTATCGTCTTGGTGACTCTAAACATGGTGCTAATAATATCGATGGCGGAGTAGCCCTTCCCCCAGAGCTCCTCCAGCTTCTCCAGCGCCACGTCTATCTTTCCGGTGTAGCAAGCTTTGATCAGGGCCTGCACAGCGATGGGGTGCGGGGAGTCGACGACTTTGAAGACATTGTCCGCACTGACGAAGCCGAAGCCCGCAACCGTGCTCTGCAGGTTGTTGATGGCCTGACGCATATCCCCCTCGGCGGAGAAGATCAGCGCGGCGAGGCCCTCCTCCGAGTGCTCCACCTTCTCCGCGACGCATATCTCGAGCAGGCGACGGAGCACCTGCGAGTCCGTGAGGCGGGAGTAGCGGAGGATGGCGCAGCGGGATTGCAGCGGCTCGATGATCTTGTTGCTCTGGTTGCAGGCGAACGCGAAGCGGGTCGTGGAGGAGTATATCTCCATCGTGCGACGGAGCGCCTGCTGCGCTCCCGCCGTCATGCTGTCCGCTTCATCGAGGATCACGATCTTCTGCCTTCCGAGTGGGAGAGTAACCTTCTTCTGCGCAAATCCCTTGATACGGTTCCGGACCACATCGATCCCGCGCTCGTCCGAGGCGTTCAGTTCCAGTACCGCTTCTTTGTACGTATCGCCTAGGAGGGCCCTGGCGAGGCATAAGATTGAGGTGGTTTTACTGTGCGAAACGGAATCAATCCTAGAGCATTATGCTGTGGGGAAGTGAACGGTATCATACCCAATCCCCGGCATCCCAGAAATGATCAGATGAGGCATGTTCCCGTCCTTCCCGATAATCTTCAATCGCTCCACCGTCTCGCTGTTGCCGACTATGTCCTCTAGGAAGACCGGACGGTACTTTTCGACCCTGGATGGATGCGCAATCGATCAATTAACCATCCATTCATCCATCTGTTCAGCTATCGGAGAATGAAAGAGTTTACAAACCATGGCAACTCGTAAGCCGGTGTTCCGGAGGTATTTGTGGCGACCGTTGCGGCAATTCTTCTGCCTAGCGCGGCCTTTGATGATTCTCCGCTCATAGTTGGGTTCGCTTTTTTCTTCTCCTTCGTGATGGGGTGGATGGTTTTGACGTTTGACGTTTGGAAACCGCACGAGATGAGGGATAACGCGTTAGCGTCGGAGTGAGGGAGACGCGCTGTTTATTGGCACTTTGGGCCCTTTTTGGGTTAGCGCGGTTGTTGGGTGTGTGGCTGAAAGTTCTTGCATCATGCCGGAAATCATATCGGCCTCAACTCTTGCCAGCTACCAGCTTGGGGCGCCTTTGTTGCATTACGGCCGAAGGCGGGGGCGGGGGGAGGGGCCGCTGTAACTATCATATGGAATCTGTGGACAACTCTTTTGGGGGAAATGCTTGTGCTGTCAGACATCTTCACAGTAAGAATCAACAACCCACTAAAGGGACCCCAAATTTTTGTTCCTACATCTTAGGAAAGGTAGAAATAACTACAAAAGTGTATGGAACTCTAACCTCAAAGACCCTCAACACCAATCTAGCATACACACATAAAATAAAGCGAAGCGCACCACTTTCAGACACATCCCATAATATCACCAACAACCCCCTCCAACATCCTAAAAGAATAATGCTCCGCAACACTCTTATACACATGCAACCTTTTAATGAGCACCTCCCTCTCAACCGTAAGCACCCAGGGGCCCGAACACGAGCAATGCTCCATAAACTCGTTGACCTTCAGGGTCTGACACTTCCCACACTTGAGGTCCTGGGCATTATACTCCGCGACAAACTGATGCAGCTGTGATATCATCTTCTCCTCGAACGCCAAGCGATCGAACTCGTTGCCGCAAAAGTCAAACTTGCATTTCCAGGCACGCTCGCGGAGTTGGCCGTCGGCCGTGACTTCCGGCATCAAGTCCTCATCCTTGCACAAGTCCATGTCGCGGGGGAGAGCGCAGTTCTTGCAGATCACTTGGGAGAATTTAAGTGTCTCGCTGGGGTTCTCGAATGTGCCCTCTTTGCTAAACTCTTTGATGTCGAGCATCGCTAGGAGTTCTTTACGGAGGGTGCGCGCTTCTATGTTGATCTCTTTGGCGAGACCAAAGACCGCTGTTAGGGAGCGGATGAGCTGCAGGACGGGGTTCTTCATCTCCCGGTAGGCACCTGGAAGGGAGGGGAATTCAAAGTCGACGTTAATTTCTGGGTGGATCATGGATTCTTGCTGACGGCGGATGAGTTGGCCGATTTGTTTGCGGAGAGGTTTCTTGAATTCGCTGCCGAGGATGGTCTTGTCGCCAGGGTCTTCAGTCATTTTGAAGAAGATCTGGGTAGGCCTTGGTGTCGAGGAATCAAATTCCGATGCTGGCGGGTTCTTTTGAGTGTGCATGATCTCTACAAACTCGACTACCCAATCATGAAAGATTGTCTGCAGAGTCTGTGGAAGAAACTTTGCAAATTGCCAATGCATGATAACGTTCAATTCCTGGTTCTCCGCTTCGACGACTTTCTCACAAGCCTTTCCCCCATGATTCACCTCATCGTACCAGACGAGATAGTCCCAGTACTCATTGACCTTCAAATCGAGAAAATTGAACAACGGCTTTGCTCGGATAGCTTTAATGATGTACTCGCTATAAGCATAGGCGTTCCCAACATTCGCCTTGGTAGTCTGAATAAGGAGCTTATTGACATTCGCAAACACAACGTGCGACCCGACTCTCCGGAAATCGGTCAGAAGCTGTAGGAAAGCCTTCTTGGACATAGTCTGGACATAGTAGTGTAATGCCCGGTCGTAAAGGAATGATTCTGGGTTCTCAACCCAACGAACCAGATGCTCAACCATGATTTCTGCCACCGGCTGCCCTCGTGTAGCTAGAGCAGACCAGGCCTTGACCATCTCCCTTAAAACCGCTACTCCAGCTGTGGCGAACGCATTGTTTGCGAAAATAATACTGCTCCCGTCGGCCGGATCGCCGCCTTGAGGTGCTGCCGGGTTCATAGCAACAGAGTCGCTCCCCTCTAGCTCGTTTATTAGAGATGATGTAAGAATGGTGTTGATAGCCAAATTTCGGACCTCAATCTCAATGCAGACGGACGAGTATGACCCAGGATTGTTGATAGCAGGCATATCTACCGTTTCCATAGATCCCAAGATATCATCCTTCTCATGCCCTCCATGGTCTGGCCTGGGCGAAGGTGACCACCACAAGACAACGTTATTCTTCTGTAGTCGCCGTGCATAGTCAATATCAATCAGGAAAGTTGGATCGTCCTTCTCCAGGTTACATAGTGGGATCCTCCCATAACGCGCTAGCTCCACTAGGTGGAGTATCCATGCCCCCAAAGCCAGGTAATGTGTCACAATCCTCTTGGCTACGAATGTCTGCCAACCGAGCGGAGGCAGGTTGCTATCCGAGGAGTCCGAGCGCAGGGTGAGGATAGGGAACTCGTTCAAGATAGGTACGGTATCCACTAGAGTCCTCCGTTGCGGGGATTGGATAACAAGCGTAGTTGGTTTCGACTCCTCGCTCCGAATCTTCTTTAATAGTTCGGTCAACCCTTTCTCTAGCTTCTTTTTTGTATTGACATAGGTTGTTTGAAAGTGCAGTGTGGCCGGGTACTCGAACATACTATCTCCGGGACCGTTCGCCGCTTCCATCCTTCGGGTGAACTGCTCGGCATATATCTTGTCCATGTTTGGGAGCCCCTGGGCTTCCCGTGTTGTGTTATAAACTACAACATGTGCCTCTCCTCCGGGTGGGAAGAGACCAAAGACCTGACGGTCACCCGCAACTACATGATACAAAAACAGGTAGTCCATGCCCCCAATTTGAAGGTAAGGGCTCTTCGTCTCTCGCGATTTCAGAGAAGACAGGTCGAAGCCTTGGTCAAGGCCTTTCCCGAGCACGCCTCGCTGGGACTCATCGAAGGTGCAAATATTACCTAGTTCGAGTAGAACGCGAACGCTCATAGGGACTTGGGTCTCGTACACCCCCTCAACGCTAGCATGCGAGAAGATGATCGAGAAAGCCTTCTGTTCAGTTATGTATGTATCCTCAGGCACTACCAACTTGAAGAGATTCCCCGAAGGATGGCCGTTTGGAAGAGTATGATTGACCCTCTCTACTATGCATCCCTGAATGGTGACATCCGGAAGCTCCTCATTCTTGAAATTGATAAATATCTGACGTGGAACCTTAACCTTCAAGGTAATGATCTTCCTACCAACCAATACGAAAGCCCTAACTTCACCTGGCATATCCGTCGGCCGAAGTTGCAAAATCTCCCAGGTATTTGAAAGCATGAACTCCGTCTGATTCCTGAAGAAGCCGCCAATAGAATCCGTCTGAATGGAGCTCCTGTCTCCGAACAATTGCCTCCGCCTAGTTCGAGCGTGCTTTTGAAGCCTCCACTTCTTCTTCTGGTACTGCAACCACCCTTTATAATCCTCTGTTATCAACGGCACCACAGCGGGCAGACTAGCAAATGGGTCACCCCCAGCCGGAGCAGGTGTATCAGGCGCCTTCCTCTTCCCGGGGCGCTTCGCAGTTCCGAGTATGGGCCGGTTTGTAGGCATCGTAGTAGTGCCGCCAAAGTCCTCCATATCCTCCAAGTGCGCGGACACCCCGGAAGGGACAACCTCCAACTCGGTCCGTTTCTGAAACATATCGGTCATCTTCTTCTGCTTGAACCTGTCATCCTTGATGTTGATACGCCTCTGTAGCCAGTCCGGATGTGGCACCCTAGGTACTGGATTTCGCACCTTCTGGAGGGCAGCAGGGATGGTGATGAGCTTCTGAATGACAGATCCCAGGCGCTCAAGGTAGTAGTTCCAATCGATAATATCTCGAGGATCGAAACCATTCGGTTCCTCATGTAGCCATTTTCGCAGGAAGTGGCGTTTGACCGATTCCTCCGCAGAAAATATGGCAACCGGAAGTGCTCTCTCAGTAACAGACGCGCCTCGAGGTTTTGCGGATACAATGTATTTGCAGTTGAGGCCTTTATCCTTCACCATTTGCTCGCCCAAGAACTCTGCTAGCCGCTTCGCGGTGGTAATAGACGTCGACTTTTGAGAACCATACTCGGCCAAGGTCTTTGACATACTTCTGTTTTCACAGATCAAGTCGATGAGCTCCTCATCAGCGAGTGTTCTGCCTTGCGAATGAAGAACGTCGAGCCAACGATTAGCAGTCTTCGCCACAGCGCCATAACACTCCTCCAAACTCGTTCCCTCCAAGAAGAATTTGAAAATTTGAGATTGGAAGATCTTAATTAACTTTAGCTCGCCACGGCGCTTGACTTCGAACCCCTTCAATTCTGCCAAACTCCCATCATGATTGAACACAGCATAACGTTTCTTCAAATTCTTATCCTCCTCTTTGGATGTAGGCAGGATCATGGCCCTATAAGGCCCGTCAACCTCGAAAAAGATTGTGTTTTCGTCATGAGTATCATATTTGTGGGTGACCGGATTTACAAGTTCCGCATACTGGGTATTGGTAAACTTTGCATGGACCAGATGGTTCAACATCACACAAGGGTAAGATATCGGCAGCTTCTTCCCACCCTCAAGCGTGAACGCAAAGTTCTCCGGGAACGTCCCTGGGAGAATGCACCAAATACCGTCGGTATCTAGCTCTAATGGTCTTCCGATCTGCTCGACAATTTCTTTAGCCATTTGAATGATGTGCGCACCAGTAAGACAGGTGACACCAGCCATCTCCATGGAATACCAGCGAGATCCCTTTCTCATGACGTATCCATAGAAGGAGTTGAGAATGACTTTGTGAGCAAGCTGCATAGAGTCGAACAAGACAGTCATCTTATTCGCTTCATCTATCTCCGCAGCGGTGGCGGCACCGGAGGCCTTGAGGTCGTCTGCTTTACGCTTCCATACTTTTTGCTTCCCCTTGAAGTCATAACGACGATCACGGAAGTTCTTGACGGTATCGACATAGAACGGGTTCTCACGTTGACAGATGATAGCTTCTTTCTCAATCGTTTTGGTTTCATGGATCTTATGGTAAACCTTTTTGCTGTAGTCTGCGAGACGCTTCTTGATTGCCGAGGCCTGTTCCTCGGTTGCCAGATCATCCCATGTTCTCCGGGGCAATTTCGGATTCTTAGGAGGGAATTTCTCGTTTTCTAGTGAACGCCTGATCATATTGTACTCGTCCCTCTTGGCAGGAAGATATTCTCCTCTCCAAGACCACGGTAACCGCCGGTCACAGGTTTTTCCGGGTCGGTTGAAGTCACAGGCAGCGCAGTCCGATTCCGATATCATGGAATCTGGCTGAAGGCGATTTGTGGTCATGATGTTCGGGTACATAGAAGCAACATCCAAATGGTAGATCGATGGTCGCTCGCTTCGTGTAGGGACATCTTTCAATTGCTGGAGCTTCGACTTGATTTGTTCTTTGACCTATGCACTCCATAAGCAGAAATTCCAATCATTAGATGCAAACGTACAAACCTCATCATAATCCGTCACGTCATCCATCTCCTTTTTCCCCTCGACAACAATACTGAATTGTAAAGCAGAATCAAGGTCCTCGATAAGCTGTTGCCAAATCAGACAACCACTCAGAAACAAAATAGACCCAAAGGCCACTCACCTTATCGATGGCCTCCGTATCAATGACGAAATTGGCCGGGATATCACTTCGGAACACTCCCGCCTCGATGGACTCGACGTGACCACCCACGTATGTCTCCGACTCTAGCAAATGACCATCAAAGAACGCCTCTTCAACCTGCTTATGCTTATTCGGCAAGACAATCTCCTTCCGATACGCTTGGACCTGTTCTCGTTAGCGAGTGATATCTCATGGCCGAGCAAACCACCTACCATGAGCAACATCTCGCAAAGAGTTCCCGTCCCCTTCCGTAGCACATCATCTGGGCCTAGCGGGATAATCGTACATAGAGCAAAGATGAAGGGATGTACGTATTTCATATATAGATAGTAGGTAGCCACGGCGTCGGAAACAGAGTACTCTGCCAGGACTTGCGGCTTCTCCATGGCATACCTTGGGACACAGAATCAGTATGTTCAGGGCAGGAAGGGAAGGGGCAGTTAACTAACCTTGTCATAAGCTCGGGATCCAATTCATCGGGGTCATACCCGAGCTTTGCGGTAGTGACTGCCTTCAAACCCTGACTACCCTGGGGTAGATAGCTGTCACGCTTCACCCAGGCGAAGGCATCCATGTGGGCGGAATAGTTGCTATAATAGACGTCCTCAGAGTTTTTCCGGAAGCCAATCTCACGGTACATGTCTATACCCAATTGGGAGGCTCTGGTTTCTACAAATGGCCAATCGAAGAAGTCACCGTTGTACGTTACCATCACTGTGGGCTTTGCCTCTTTGATGTGGTCGAAGAATCGCTCGAGCACGGCTTTCTCGTCTGGTTCGTTGAAGATCATAAAGTGTCCTTCATACTCTGGTCGAGGAGTGTATTCGAAATCCTCAATGTCTTGGGAGACGATCTCTCTGTTGGTGATAAGAAACCCCTATAAGCACGTACTCAGCTTCTTTATTCCGTTCCCCAATTCTCAGTATCAGTGGACTCACTGATCCTTCGATCATATACGATATCATCATAATCTGATCGATTGAGGCGTCAGGAAACTTTAATGGTAATTTCGTAGTTTCAATATCCCACGCCAACACTACCGGTTCGGCTTGTTTTAGTCGATCCTCAATGCAAGTAAGCGATATAATGCCATGTTTGGCCTCAACGGTATACCACTTTCCAATGCGGATCTCTATATACTACTTATCAGCAACCGTCGAGTACTGCAAATATACCACCATGGCATTACCTCGATCGATAGCCACCCGCACATGATACGGCACATCGTACTCCCGTATATCAATTATAAAATCGCAAGCTTCAACCATATTCGTAGACTTTCGTACATCATTACCTTCATCAATGAAGTCAAAACCGGCGCTAGCACTATCCCGAAATCAGCTGTCACCTCCGAAACCCCCCCCCCCCCAATCCCCGATGTGCCATATATACCTAGCAACCTCGGCATAAGCGTCCATAGCATTAACGTTCTTCCTGTTCTTCTCCGCAATAGGCATGAGCACTTTCCGGGCCGCCAATAAATCCGTGACGTTTGCAAACTCCAGCTTAATGAAAGTTCTCCGGTAGCCCAGTAAATGATTTGGCTGTCACCCATATCGTTAGCCCCGACCATCCTTCCCCCAGAGTATCACCGCCGCCACTTACCATCCGTAAATCTTCCTTCGTTAACCTCGAAGTCTTCTTGATAATGCCCTCAAACTTCCGTCTCAACCACTCCTCCACCTCCGGCTCGTTACCGCGCTACCATCACCACAGCCATCAGCATCCACACCCCATGCAATGCGAGACGGGAATCCCCCAAACCTTAGCGGCGATCAAGAAATACGGATCATGCAAGACTGTCGCTTTGAACGACTCTCCGTAATCATCCAAAAAGTAAAAGTCCACACCGGCTTTTCCACCGTTAACTTGGCTGTCTTCCAGAATAGTCTGTGAAACCCCCCCAATCCGACAAACCCACATTAGCAAACATCCCTCGTCTCTTCCTCCAGCCTTCAATTGATTATGCACGGGACTTTTTTCTATATATATAAACTCACAGACTTCATATTGACCAGCCAACCAACTTTCTTAGGCCCAGCCTCAAACCTGGCGAACCCCATCCGCTCATCAATGTCATTCGCAAGTCTCAGAGACTCGAACTTCTCCTCCCCGGAGGTGCCATCGGTGGCTAGTAATGAGCCTGCAGTGATGGTTCTTGTTCTCTGGAATCGTCCTCCACCACTGCTACCACCTCTGCGGTAACCTCCACGTTTGAAGCGTGTGCCGCTGCTGCCCCGGGAGGAGTACATTGTTGAAACCGATACTGGATGTTGTCGGTGGGTATTAAGGAGTATATGGTTTTGTACAGTGTTCAGCGCTAAAGGTAAGAGAACGGAAGGAAAGAAGAAGAAAAACAAGGGTATGTATGATAGAAATAGATTAAGTAGACTATGATTACCAGAATAGAGAAAACCCGAAGGTACTCAGGGTCGTCAAACGAAGAATTTTATCCCCGGAGCATAGGGCAGATCAGTCAACACGACGGACAACGCGCAGGCAACGCGTCGGAAACTTAATTGAAAACTCCTAGCAAGCCTGGTGGAACCCAATTCGGTTACATTGCTTACATAACTCAACGAGAGGCTGAACTCAGTACTGTATGGTAACCTTAAATCTTTGGTCAGGAATGATATCACACCCCGATAAACCCACTCCACGATCCTCAGTCCCATCAAAATCCCACTCCCCAACCCCCAATCAGGCAACCAAAACCAACGGAAATGGCGGAAGACACCCGAGACCCCTCCGCAAGCCCAGGCGTAACCGACAAAACCCGCAGCATCCCCCTCGACCCAGAAAAAAGCCCCACAGCGCCGAACGCCACACCAAACGACTATGCCGCAACCCAGCCAGCCACTCTCTCGGAAGCTGTCAAAACAATCCACACGGAAGACTTCAAGAAAGTGCACTTGCAGCCATGCGTCCGGAATGCCTTTCTCTATGGGATTATCGCCGGGTTTGCGTTTGGGGGGTTGAAGCTTGTTCTTCGAGGTATGCCCCTTCCTCCATTTCCCCAAAAGGAGAGAAAGGAAGCAAGGATTTTACTGATCTGCTTTGCAGCGCCAGTACCCAATGCGGCGAATTGGGCCGCTGGAACGTTCGCGGGAGCTAGTGCGGTTACTTATGAGACCTGTCAGTACCGGAGGCAGAAGGAGAGGGCGGGGGTGCAGAAGGTTGTGGAGATTATTGATCGGAGGAAGGCTGAGAGAGAAAAGGCCCTCACAGAGAGGAGGGAGGCGAGTAGGAGAGCTGCTGTGGAGAGGGCTGCAAAGAAGGAGGCAGAGAGGCTGGAGAGCTTAAAGCCGTGGTATAAGAAGCTTTTTTGAAGACGAAATGGGGTGGGATAGTGGACGGAAAGGTAACTGTACATCAGGTGTAAATAATAATTTTGGCGTCATTGGTTTTGCTAAACTTGACTCGGATTCCAGGTCCATAGAGATGCCTGGTGCCATGGATCACGAACTACGGGCGACCGTGCGATGTAAGCCTGGATTAAGTGAGTAAACAAGAAGTATTGTAGTGAATAGCAATACCTGCTGTAATGAAATACCATATCAAAAACAATACCATATCATATCATACCGATAAGACAGATCGATGTCAAGCCAAATCGTTAATATAAACCCCCATCCCCCAAACTCTAAAACACCCATTACCATAGCCATACACCTATGAGAAGAAGCTAGAAAAAAGAAAAAAGCAGAAAAAGCCAAATCCATCATCTTTAACCCCATGCCAGTCCCGAAATATACAGCCCTACTCCAGCAACCCAATATATGAACATATACTCCAATCCGGTCAGCGACAAAAGCAAAGAAAGGAGAAAAGAAAGAAAAACCGAAACCCAAAGATACGCCATCCAGCTACCCAAACCGCATTTACAATCCCCGCACAACAAGCCTATCAGCACCAGCAAGACTAAATATCAAAATGCACTCTTTTCCTCCGTCTGCGGCAACCCTCTTCGTCCTCCTCCCCTTCGGATCTGTGCGCAAGGCCCTTCGTCACCGCAGCCACGGTCGCAGAACCACTATTAGTATTCGTGAAGCTCTTCCTCCTCCTCCTTTCCCAACTCCGTTTCTCCCGTGCTTCCTTAGACACACGGGTTTTATATTCTCGAATCTGCCGTTCAACAATTAGCTCCAAGCCACTCCTTCAATCCCGGAGCATAGGCAGAATGGAATATCATACCTGCTGCAACTTCTTCTGAGCCCTGATATAACTCTGTCTAGCAGAAGGCTTAACCCCAACCCCACTCAATCCCCAATCACTGTCCTCCTCCTCCTCCTCCTCCTCCTCCTCCCCTCCTTCTGCTGCTCCCTCCCGGCGTCCCTGCATCGAATGTGGGGCAGGAGCATTCCCAGCCTCCTCATCACTACTACTCCCACACCCGCCTCCTCTCCCCAGCGTTAACGGCGGCGATACCAGTCTTGTGCGTTTTCCAACAACCTGTTCATCCCCAGCTTCTTCCTCTTCCTCTCCCCCTTCATCCCGGTCATCCCCATCAACAACCGCCCCATCCCCACAAGCCATCTCAGCACCAAACGGGAACTTTACCCGGCCAAGCGACAACCCCTCCAGCTGCCGAGCAAGCCTTCCAGAATGGAGGGAGCCTTCAGGCTCCCTTCCTCTTCCTCCTCCCACTCCTTCTCCTTCTTCTAGCCACCCAGCCTGCAGCGGAGGCGGCGGGAGACTCTCTCGCTTGCGTTTCAGCGGAGAGAATAAGGTAGAAGTGCTCGTATATATCGCCATTTTCGCATCCGTATCTATACTCGCAGGAGGGGAGGGTGGCGGGGTTCGTTGAATGTTACCGTTCACGGTGGTGGCGGTGGTAGGTTCCATGGTTGATTGATGGAAGGTGTGCCAGCGGGCGGACGGATGAACGAATGAATGAACGAAGAGTGCAGTGACACTCTTACTCCAGTCCACTCCGGTTGAAACAGACCGGAGCAAAGCAGAGCAAAGTGCACTATGATACAGAAAGCCAAAAAAAAAAAAAGTCAAGTATGTAATCAACCAAACCCCAAGTAGACTATCACATCATATCATGCCGATATCGCCCGCTGCTTAGACTAAGAGAAAAAGCTACGCTACCGTTACGAGTACCATCGGGATTCAAGTTCTAGTCCAACATCACCTTCAGCCTCGCCTACCAACCAACCAACCAACCAACCAACCAGTCAGCCAACGTACCGTAGATCAACCCCCTTCCAGAACAACCCCCCAAATCTAATCTACAGATATTATAATAAAAATAAATCCCGTCAGGGGGGTTATGATAAATTATGTACTTTCTTTTTTTGTTTTTTATTTTCCCTTCCTTCCTTCCTTCGCGGCGCAACTGATTACGGTACGGTACGGTATCTGGAATGAATGAATGAATGAACGGTATGATACAATTTATTTTCTTTTCTTTTCTTTACTGGTCTACTCGTACCGTACGGTACGGTACAGTACACGTGTTCCTATAATATTATATTACCGCCGGTCGTAACTTTGTCGGTTCGTTGACCTTAGGCTGAGGGTTGTTATATTACGGTTCCGGATACGGCAGGTAGATACCGGTATCATAGGTATGATACGATGGGTTGAGTTAGGCCGGCCACAGTGCGGGTACTGTACCGGTATTCCTGGTGCGCTGCGGTGTGGTACTGCTCCTCACGGGGTTGTTCGGGGGGTTTTTTTTTGCCAGTGAGACGCCGTAGTGTGCCGCACTATGATACAGTGCCGGTGCTGGAAAGGGAGAGGGAGAGAGAAAGCCTTGTGGCGGCGATGGGTTGGGAGCAAGGTTGGTCGGATATCGCTGTGATGGTTTACTCTACGTGCCGGGATAGTGTTTTGGAGGTGTGTGGGGATGATATGATGGGAAGGAATTTCCCCCGCGGCATTCTTCATGTTGGGCGCGCGAAACAAGGCAAAGTTTGAGGACGGGAAATTGCGACTTGTTTAATGCATGAACAGAGATAAGCGAGTGAGAACACGTGAAGAAATGGGAATGTGACCGGAACGGGAGGTGGTGCGCGTCCACTATCAAAGTTATCAATGCTTTTAGTTTTGTCCATGATAACTATAGTATCCTCCTTCCTTCCTCCGCGACATTAACCTAATAAGCTCCGCCAAGTTTCATACCATACCAACTCGGGCGGAGCTTTTGTGAGCATCTACCGTACCTCTCGCTCCCACCCCAACCCCAAAAGAGAAGGAAAATCCGTCGCAGCGGTACGTTTCCCACCCGCCGGAGGGGAGGGAGAGCGCAAGAAAGGAAGAAAGAAAGAAAGAAAGAAAGAAACAGAGACCTCCTCGTAAGACATGACGCATTAAATGTAAGTATGTATGCATGCCTCAAGGGAAAGGAGGGAAGGAAACCAAGTCTCCGCCCCAATCCTTTGCATTAAACAGCCAACCACTCGAGCTAGACTACGGGTAGCTCACCACAAAGTTGTAATAAAAAAAGAAATACGAACGCAGGTATCAGAGCGAAAAGCACAAAAAAAAAAAACGCCAAAAGGAACGCTCAAAAGCAGCGATTTCATCATGGGCATCGAAATCGTGAGAAAACGGGTGGGCGGAGTTGGATGAAACCCAACGGACAGAAACGCTGAAAATGAAAAAGCCGCAAAAGGAAACAATGATAGTCTTCGCTAAAAGAGCTGTCCGCCGGTCAACTGCACCCACTCCGCCTGATATTGTGACAACGCGCGTGCAAATCCAAGATGGAATATAGGCAAAGGCGTGTATTAAAGGGGAAAGCAAAAAAAAAAAAAAAAAAAAGCCCGAAGCTTAAACATTCATTCGAGTTCGTGCAATTTATACGGATGTGGGGCTTCTGCTCCCATTATCGCTACCAACCATCACTCCAGTTTCGCCTGATCGAAGCTGCCCTCGTAATTGGATGGCAGACGACAAGCACTCGATGTATGTCCTGAACTTGATGATTTCCCTCAGTAGGTAGCTAGACTTCTTTTCCCAATTATTCATCGCCCTTGAAGAATTTGGGTGACGTGGGGAGAACTGATGATTGTTAGCATTGAAACCCTTGAAAGAAGGAAGAGCTAGGACTTACAGTTAGGACCATAGTAGGCCTCAAGTCATTGTGCCTGGCAAGTTCCGCCTCGATGTTGGCAACATATGTTTCCAAAGCCCTTAGCTGGTCGGCCTCGCCTAATGAGCTGGCGACCATGCTCTGACTTGGAGGTGCCCAATCCGTAATGTTCACCCGGTCACCTGGCAATCTTGGTCTGACCACAGTCCCGTGGTCAAGACTGCTCCTAATGGAAATCTGCAGGCTAGGCCTTGATTCATGGGTGTTGGAGACACTTGAGGTTAAGCGAGGGCCAATCTCGCCAAGAACGTTGTCACTCCAGCCATACTCCACGTTACTGACACCACCGATCAAAGGCTCCTTTGAGAGTCTAGCTGCCCAATAGTTGGCTGTAGAGACAAATTCCTTGACAATCTCCGCCGTGCCAACCTCGAAGAAATGAACAGCACCAGAGGGAAGTGACAAGGCCCAGACGTTAGGCCTTGCCTTCGAATAGCCGGGTGGTGGAAGTGCTGATGCGATGGTCTGCCGCAAAAGGAAAGAACCGATGGCATCTGCGTTCTCGGTCCAATTACCGCCCCCAACAACTCCAACCACAGCATCCTTACTCTTCCCGGACTGGTTGAATTGGAAAAGCCTCATCCATCCCCTCTCAATCACCGCAAAGCATTCGGTCCAACCCCTGTTCTTGGCCTTTTTGTCCATGCTTTCGAGATGGTGTTTGTGCTTCAGCATCCCTTCCTTCGCCCAAGGCGCTCCCGCAAGTTCCAATTCATCATACTCGAGCAAGGTAGACTCTCTGTCATCGGCTGAGGTCCCGCTTGCTGCCTCCTCTCGGATGATAGCATGGCTCAAAGCGTTTGCAAACCCAATAGATTGTGCATAGTCGGCATGTGTAAATGCTGAGCCCAGCGAATCAACAGACATAGAAGTCTGGGTCTTGTCAAGGGAGTATTTGCTCCAGGTGCTGGATGCGGAGGGGCTCCACATCGATCGGTCCTCGAGACTAGTCCGACTGGAGCCCGCATACGAGCCATTGTAGAGTCTGGGCCGAGACCGATCCTTGGCCGTCCACTTTGCGCCTAGTTTGCTGTCACGATTATTGCGAGCAGAGACACTAAGCTCTGAGGGGGCCCTGCTAACAGTGCTCGGCGATCGCCGCAGAACGTTGGAGCCAAAAACCGAAAGTGAGCTGTGATGAGGCGCCTCAACAGCCTTTTCCTGGGGTGTGCCATGAAGGGGGAGTGCAGATGCCTTGACCGACGTGTAAAAGTCTTTCAGCACACTCTCAATCTGGGTCTCCCAGGCTCGGATTCCACCACCACCGCCAAGTGGCGCTTTGACTAAAGCAAGCCCACCACCCATATCATGATCCGTCTTTTCGCCCGCGTCACCAGCTCCCTTAGGACTCAAATTTCCAATTCCACTCGCTTTGCTAGAGTTCTTTGTGCCCCTGGCGAGGTCCAAAGAGGTGCGAGATTCGCTCATTTTCCTCTCTCTGACGGCCAAGGGGAATGTCGCGGAAGGTGGTGCGCTAATTCCGGGGCCATCATCGTCATCGCATGGGCGAAAGGGTGTCTGCGACCTTGGGGGGAATGTATTGTGATGAACGGGTTTCGATCCCACTGGGGCCTCAGCAACAATCCTCCGGATACTGCTCATGGTATTTTTGATGAATTGGGTCCTTGTCATCTTCTGGGACTGGGGGATATCGGCTATGTGTAGATCTGTGTTGAGCAAGAGCAGGGAATAGAGAATCGTGAAAACAACATCTGGGACAAAATTAGCACTCGTGTTCAGTTCGATATCATGTAGTTATAACCCAATATACCTATCAGTCTGAATCCATGGCGAGGATTGCATTCACACCACCGCTTTGCGATCGCATCCATTATCCTGTCAACTTGCTGTGTCTCGCCCTTAAAAACAAGGCGTCCACAGAAGATTCGCAGAGTGGACAATATATTAATCCCTGACCAATCGAACAACTCCATATAAGCCTTGCGGATCCTCGTCCCAGATGCTCCACTAAAATGGTGGGCCAGTCAGTAGTAATCACCCGGAAAGCATAAATCAAGAATACTTACGTTTCACCTAGCCAGCCCGTGACCCTTCCCTTGGCAATTATTTCCTCATCACCTTCGAATACCCTCCTAGCCGTCTCACGTTCCTCCTCCGAAGGTTCCTCATTGTCTGGGTCCTCTTCCCGCAAGGGTTCGGCCTTTTCACCTGGACCATCCCTCTGCAGCATGACCGTAGGTGTCCCGGTGGTAGCGGGTGTGACTGTGCTGAGCCATGACGCTTCAGCTTCCTTACCCCCCCCATTTTCTAATTTTTTTGTATCAACCTCAAGTGCCTTCTCTGCACGTGCTTCTCTCTGCAGCCTTTCAAGCTTTGCATGATGAGCCTCGATTTCTTGCACCGTAGCTATGGGTTGTTCTTTAGCTACCACGGACCCTTGTCTGGGCTTATCGAGACTCGATGCAATCGACGCCTGCCGCTCCCGCTCGAGTGCGACATTACCAACACTCCGCCTGGTTGACAAAATCGACTTTGTTGCCAGTGGGGGCCACCGCATTTCCTTTTCTTCGTTATCCTGCAAAAAGCTCTGTTTATTTGGGGAATAAGGACTGGTTTGAGGCCTATCCCAGTCATCCCTCGTTCTGGGGCTGCGATCTGCATTCCCGTTCCCCCTTGCATATCTTGTTTCCTTCCTGTACACATTTCCCGTGCCACTATAATCGTCGTTGAAATGACTACCGCTATCCCTGTGCCGCATGCTTTCCCCAAAGAAAGTCGGGCGCTTGGGTGATATAGGGTCCGACGAAGCTACTGTCCGGATGGTTGCTCCTCTCTGAAGATATGCCGATTCATTATACTCATCCAGGTCGAAGCCCGGAGACTTCACGGGTGACCGAAGATAGGGGTTCATTGCAGTGCCCAGAGAGGTCGCCGGGCTCGGGTGGGAGTTTTCAACCAAAAGTGGCTCCGTAGAGCGCAATGGCAGAGGGGCAACGGGTTGCGATATTGCATCCGAGACAGATTTCTTCCGGCGCCTAAAGAACGATGGTTTTTTGTTGATGGTTGACTGCGGGGAACCGGAAGACTGTGAATTGGCGCCCGTGTTTGTTGTTTCCCGGCCGGTTAGGTTGGCAGCGTTTGATTTGCTCGAACTGCCGTTATTCCCACTTCCTCCTCCAACGCCAAAGACACGCCTAAAAAATCCGGGACGGCCACTGCTCTTGTTGTTGGAGGGGCTCATGGGTGCAGCAATCGTCGCCGGGGTCACGAAGGCTGGTAAGGGAGGAAGAGTGATGGGGTTGTCGGATTGAGGATTGAACTGGTGCTGCTGGTCTCTCCTTAAACTCTTTGCAGACTTGTTGGATGGGCGTCGCACAAGACGGGGAGATCTTGGTGGAGAAGGTGTTCGGTTCCTGGGTCCACTCCTTATGGAAGGAGGAGGCGCCGCATCATAAGTATCGTAAGCTGCAGCGTTTGTATACCCATGCGACGTGCCCAGTCCACAGCCTCGAGAGCGCAACTCCCTCCCGAAGTCGTATCCGGCACCGAAGCCATCAGCTCCATTATCAAAAGAGCCGACTCGCCTATTCGTCTGGCCAGCATTGCTTGTGCCTGAGAAGTTGCCTATACGCGACTGATGGTTGCTGGTGCTGTTTGAGCGTCTGCCACGCGACACAGGATCTGTTTGGGAGTAGTTCGACAGGTTGTCCTCGTCACCCAGTTCATCAACAGTTGAGAAATAAGGAGAGGTATCGAAGGCCCCTAAAGGCCCATCGCCGAACCTGTCGAACGACAAAAGGAGGTTGTCAACCAGTGACTCTCTACCGGTGCCCATTGAGAGCTGCAAGTCGTGCGAGTCTCTGTTATTGCTAGCGTCGTTCGAAGGCGACGATGTGGCCGCGCGGGAAACAGTTCCTCTGCCAGGTTTCCACACGCCGTAAACTGCCATAGACGAGGAGGGATCCGCCGAGGAGGAAGGTGTTTGGACGGACTGCAAGGAATTGGGAGGTCTGCCAGCGGATCTGAACCTCTGGCTGTTCTCCGCGTGCAGTCTGTGAGCAGCAAGACTTGGCTCGGGGAGAATCATAATTGTGGAGGGCTCTGCTTCTTGTCTAATGTACGGTACGAATTAGGCTTTGTTAACGACGCAGTAACCCTAGTTGGGCTGTTTGTCGCCTGGGACCTTTCTGCGCTGGTCTAGTATTGAAACCACGCACGGGGGGGGTGCAGACCGAGAACGAATCCAATCACGAAGGAAGGAGAGGTTTTTTTTTTTTTTTTTTTTTTCCTTAGGTGAACACCTACTTGTAGTTGAAGGGGGGAGATAAAGTGAACGGGCGAATCCGCAAGGGGGAATCAGTAATAGGAATATTCAAGAAGCGAATCAGAATCCTCTACTCGAGCACTCGAGTACCGTACACTGCGCAATTGCTTTTTAGGCCAGTCTCTGCCGTTTTCATTGCTCGGGTCTCTCTCGCATCCAGAGAATCATTGGTACGCAATTGGCTGTTCGTTGGCTGCGAGGTGATCGTTTTTCTTTGCTTTTTGTGCCTGTCTGTACTCGTAGAATACCGATACGTCCGTTCCTTTTTTGTTTTTTTTCGCAAACCTCGCCCAGCTGGGGTTTGAGGCAAGGTTGAGTGAGTCTCTTTGGGGTTTAGTCTCACCTTGCTGTCTTACAGTATCGAACTGCAAACAAGACTCAGGGGAAACCCTCTCGAGAAAAAAAAACAAATTTAAAAAAGCACCGTAGACCAAGCAAACAAGCAAGTATCACAACTTACTGTGCCGGTGCAAATGATGTATGATACCGGCAAGGTGAGAGAGAAGGGGTAGTTTTGGATATCAGATGTATTGGTATCATATCTCCTTTCTTCTTCTCCGATTGCCACTTCCCTGTTCCCCTTTCCTTCAGCCCGTCTCATGAGTTTCTTGTTCCCCCACACTCGAACTCGGTCGGCTTTTTCGGTTGTTTCAAAGGGTCCAGGGTCTCCCAATCTCTAAGACAGGGGAAAACAGAAAAGGAATTCCCTAGCTCGCTGCACACGGAAAGACAGCCGAAGGGAATAAGTCGTGCTCGTACTGTAGCACCAAGAGCCCGAGACACGTTTCTGGTACGGGATCGACCAAGTTTCTCGTCACCCAGGTGGTTTCGGCACCAAGGTCAACTCAATGAACACGATTAAGAGGTTATTCATTGAAATTTGAGTTGTAGAACCGTTGGGGATCCTGTCCGACAGCAACACAGCAGCACCATGGCTTGGGTGAATTTCTGACGCTAAGGAACGACAGCGAAAATATAAATACCCAGGAAAACTTGAATACCGTAAAAGCTTCTTGGTTTAATCGACTGCCGGTATTTCACGCACGGATTCTTGGACATCAACTGCTTCCGATAACCGGTTCCTGAGCGGTGGTGGTGGTGTCGGGTGGGGAAAGAAAAAAAAAAAGCCACAGTTCACGATGGATGATACCACTCGCCCTGACCTCTTTGCTCCTCGAGGTTTCCTGGGAACCGAGGGGGGTATCATAGGGGGCACAGTGCCGTACCGTAGTATAGGTGGCTTGTTTGGGGTGTGCGGTCAAATTTGTCACAATCAGTTCTACCCCCACCAACCTATAAAAAAATTGGAGAACCCCACTTGCAATACGGTATGAGACGATTACAATAATGCAGCGCCGTTATTGCATGATAAAAGTACTTGAGCACCGGTACTTGTACTCTACAGTGCTTGGGTACAAAATGAGCAGTTGTCGATCAAAGGGGTCTAGAAATAGCAATAATTAACCTTTCCTGGTCTCTTCATTGGGTCTGGAAGAGCATCCTTTCATCTGTCTGTGTTTCCCCTACCAGGATACCCCATCGCCCACCCGTGCATCCGAACTCTACAAGCACTAGTTCAAGTACTTTGTACTCGTACAGCCGCAGAAGGGAGAATCCTAGTGCCAAAGGGGTATCATAGCCTAGTGCTAAGGAGGTAGCCCCAAGAAATTTCTATTTTTTCCAGCTATCATACCGGCACTCGAGTGCTCGAGTACCGGTGTTCTACGAGCACAGTACTCGCGCGGCTACGGAGAAGTCACGCACCCAAAGCTATGGCCCATCTGGCCACGGAATTAGCGCGACTGATTTTATGCAGTGCGGTACCGAATTCGGTAGTACTCGAGTACTTGTAGTCGCCATGTACGAGTACTCGTAAATACCAGTATGTGATCGCAGGGGAGACCGCCATTCGATCAACTCCTGTCTCGCCACAACGGTTTCGGACCCAAGCCTATCGCAATACCGGTAACTTATGTATGTACCGTAGCCAATAGACCCGAAGGCGCTCATGGATTAGAAACCCCCCCCCCCGCCGCAAGGCTAGTGTGCAGCGGTGTTTTTGCAGTTGGCACCTTCTGAGTTTGCCAGACCTTTTTCTCCCTCCAAAACACCAAGATTGGCTGTTTCCATGATTGCACTCACTAAATCTTGGTCCAGTTTGCCTCACTTATGCTCACCTCCTAAGCACTTGCGGATGCCTTGGCACCAAGGTATCCAGAATTACACCTAATCATCCAAGGCATCCGGATATTTTTGAAATCCTCAAGTATGATACGAGGAGGTGAGCATAGGTAAGGCGAACTAATGCTCAATGCAGTCCCGTAAACCCGACAAGCTGACCACTGATGGGGATATCACCGTTATATCGGCTATTCCTCCACATGAGATCTGGCGAAAACAGCCTAGTACTGGTAGATATATGTCTTTCAATTTGACTCGAAAGCTGGAGCACAAGTGATACCACGTCCCTTGAAGAATCTTGCGGACCCCCCCAATATAAGGAAGGACAATTGAAGAAGGCAGTTGACTGGGGTAAAATCTCCTTATTAATGCGAAAGATAAGGTCTATCAGGCAGATTTGCACCGTCATCGCATGAGTCGCGCCGGGAAAGGCCTAGGCACGTGTAAAGGTATCATACTCCTACCCTAGTGCGTAAAGCGGATCAAGTGAACACACGAAGCATGCGAACGGCATTGAGGACGGAAAACCCAAAGCAACTGCTCAGAAATGTCTCTGTCGTGGGAATCCTTTCGGCATTGGGATCCATATATATCCCATCCCCACTATAAGGTCGTCAAGAAGCCCATTGAGCTGCAATGGTCGCTCTGAACGCGAGATTCACATCAGTGTTTTATCCCGAGTTTTGCCTTCACACCACTCTGCTTCTTTGCCTGGTCCAGAGTCGCACCGTAAACATGGCTCGAGTCCAGTTTATCCGTCATTTCGCTGAGCTCTTGCCGCCTGCGGTAGGCGCTGGTTCCGTGAAGTATAGTATCAATGGTTTGTGAAAGCGGTGTGATAGAAACCTATATTCGTTGGTATGATAACAAATACAAAATATATTCCCCGGTGATGTTGCTCACTAACATTTCAGGAACATGATTGGCAATGCTTTTGCCGATTTTGGCCTGCAGATCACGATTCTCCACCATGCCTAGAGATGTATCGTTACTCAATCTCATCTATGTTATATATTCTACATTATTATTGTTAGGTATGATATCATACCGTACTCGTGGAGTTGGTCGAGAAAGGGTACCCTCCCGTCCGCAAAGTTTTCGTAACACGTCAGGCACGGGCCCGGCAACCATAGAGAGCCTCGATTGGAATACTTCACCGCAGTTAGTTAGAGGATGAATATTATTAACAACTCCAGCCCAAGATAGCAAGATGGGGACGGTTCTCCCCTCGGGAGATTTTTTTAATCCGGTAACCGCAAATTCCATCAAGGATTTTCCCATTTTTTCCCCCGTTATATAACTTCTGCGATCTTCTGGCGGAAAACTGGGGAGACTTGGTGATAGATCAGAGGTTACGAGAACTTGGCGGACTTGAGTGTACTCGAGCACAGGTATCTGGTATCACGCTCGGATGCGTCCGTAGAAATCGGAAGGCACATCGGGAGTCCCCCACTACAGTAACCCCTGTCCCCGTACAAGACTTGTGTACTCGAGTAGTATCAACGGAAATACCGGTAAGTTACATAGAGACTTTGCGATTTCGCGTCCAAAGTCAAATTCTAGCGATCTCATTGGCCCAGAACCCTGTTTGACCCACATCCAGAGTCTTTTCGCAAAGTCCCTATTGCCAGTGATCCCCCGACCCGACTGACACACCCGAGCAGCCGAGTGCTCCGGTCGCTTCATGACTTTTCTGGAATCACAGATCTTGGAGTTTTCCCAGCGCTCGCCGAGCTCTATGCGGACGTTGCTCTGCCCCCTTCCCGCACAGTTTGGCCGGCAGTTTTCCCAAGGGTCCAACAGTGTAATGTCTGTGTGATCCCTGTTTATGTTTGGCCCTATTTACGGTTTGAAATTCTCGGGAAACAATACGGTAGATGCACATGGAGATAGGGCTGGGTTCCGCTCTACCGGTATGCCTATCATATAATTTTCAGTAGCGAGTTGGGTTCCCCTTGTACTCGTGCAGTACTCGTACAGGTACCGGTAAGTTACAATAGGATCGTAGTCCGGCAGTGATACCGGTATGGGATCACCCGGCGGCACCTTGTCGTTTCCGCTGCCCGTCACGGCTCCGTACCGCCTCATTCGCACTAACCAACTACCCGTATCGAGAGACTCAACAACGGGTTCAGCAACATTCCACACACTCAACTCCAGGGCTCTGCAAATCCACCTCCCTGACAGAACTCCGGGCGACACGTCGAGATATCGCTGCACGACATCATCACAATCTTCAACTCTCGGTATCGCATCACTCCCATCCCTTAACCCGAACGAACACCGGGGCGGAAATGTACGCACCCCGTACTTCACCGCCGCCCATGCGATCGGCCTTCGCTCCGCATATCGCCCCTCCACGACATGGCAGCCGCTCTGATTCAGGCTCGGGTTCACGACTACCACTGTTTTTCCGACGGATGATCAAATTCCCTCAGATGGACTTTGAGGTTTGCTGCATTCGTGTTAATAGCTCCCAAGGAAGTCATTCGAACAATATACCATCACGTAGGGAGTCCTGGTTTGATGTGTTCTAGAGAAGGTCACTAACCGATGGATTTCTTGGAAACGTACATCTCACTTCCCTTGTTAGTATTACTTCAACAATCAATCTAACGTGTTTACTTTCCCTAGAAACGAAAAACACCTGGTCTCGTGATCACCCGTCGTTCATCGTTCTCCTCACGTCTTTCCTGACGCTCACTTCCCTTGCCTTGGGGCTTGCATATACTCCGGAATTCGCTTCCATCATGAGGTTGATGTTTTCACTAGTATTTCTGCACTTTTTGCTCACCTCCGTGATGTTTGCGTTGGCAGGCTACATAATGTGCCGGAATTTTCTGAAGGTACCGGGAACGGGTGGCCTTGGAAGGGCTGGTGTTGTGGCCGGCGAAGGAGAAATGGAGTTCATGTACTGTCTCGAGATAGGTGTTGGGGCCTTCTTCCCGGTTTGGGTTTTTTTGTAAGCCCTCTATCTGTGATGGTGGCGCTCGATCGCTCGGGCATAGGACGGCTTTGCTAATAGCTCCTTGGGAATAGGTATGTTATACAATTTTTAACGATGCCGGTATTGACAGGGGATTATTGGTAAGTCTTATCTGTCCCACACCTCGCGCGGCAGTCTTCTAACACAGTAGACAGGATATCGATATTCCTGGGAAACTCCTTATATCTGGTTGCATTCTCGTTCTATTGTGTTATCACCTTCCTGGGATACAATGGTAAGTAGCTCCCAAACTGTCTCTCAATTAAGGGGTTGGCGACTGACCCGCCCGTCATCGTATGGATAGCACTTCCCTTTCTGCGTCACACGGAAGTAATGCTATTTCCCGTATTCGTCCTGGTGGTTCTGTGGGTGGTTGGTTTGTTTGGCATCAACTTGACTAAACATATCGTGCCAATTCTCCTACCTGTGATGGGGAAGATATGATATCGCTCCTTCGTCCCCCGGAGAATCGATTTTTTCCTGTCCTTTGAGCTTAGCGGAAAAACAAAAAATGATAAAGATTTGGCATTACGAGGTGTTCTAGTGTTGAGCGGATTTCCCTTTTCATTTATCTCTTTCCTTATTAACAATTTGAAGGTAATTTTTTCTATTTGTGTATTATTATACCTTCGCGGGTGGGCCGGTGGGGTTGGGTGCCGGTGTCATGAAGTGGGGTTATTCATCGTCTGTCGTATCCCCTTGGTGCATACCCGCGGCATCACGAGATGTGCGGGGCATATTGGAGAGATGGAATGCATGACGATGATGAATCACCATGGTTGCTGGAACAATGGATGCAAGTGGTTCGGAAATGAATCGGCGAATAGGCACCGGGGAACCCACTGCGGGACTGCCTCTTCTCGAGTCCGGCATTTCTACTGGGTGGCTTTGGATACCATTACTGCGATGAGTGTAATGCGATTTAATGTCGAAGCGGAAATGATACAACATTTTTTAAGATACCGGTATTCTATTTGAAATGATGGGATAAAACAATATTAGATAAATCGGTGAGGAGGTTACCTGACACTTAGGTGTGATACCGGTACTGTAGAAGACCCACGAGAAAGTTACCCCTCAACGGTTCAAGGCAGGCACAGAGTGTGCTGGCAGCCAAAGGGGAGCGCTGAGTGCGCGCCAAGAATTCAGGGATGGTACGGGTATACGGTAGGAGGGAGGGAGGAATAGGAGGGAGTGGAAGAAGTGGAAGCAGACGACGACAGCCAAAGCACTGCTCCTACCAAGTGAAAGATAGGGTTGTGCAACATCAACACAAAATCCCCCCCCGACTGATCCCGAGCCCTACCCCATTATCACACACCCACCTTACACACATCTACCTTATAACGCTCCGCACTCTCCACATACCGGTACTCCTGCCTCGTTTTTCCCTCCCCCAAACACTTGCTCATTCCCCTTTCCGTTGATCGCAAACACATACCTTCGTGATGTCAGCCACTGGGGGAACTTACAGAGGGAATCCAAGAGCTGCTCCGCCGGGTAGAGGGGCGACACCCAGCTTTTCCCCAGCACCATCTGGTCCAGGTATCCCTGTGCCTGCTCCCAGTCCCGGCGGCCCCTCGCACTCCGAAGCCGGTTCTAGTGTTAGTGATAGCAGGAAGAGACAGAGCAAGAGAGACGAGGTATTTAGGCGGACTATCCCCCCCCCTCTTATCGTTATCTCATCAAAATCGCTATTTTCACCTTCAAACACTGCTCTACTATCTCCATTCGATCATTCACATAATATACTAACGACTCCATGTTTACACGCGTATAGGCTATCCGTCGCAAAATTGAAAATGATCTCAACAAAAAGAAGCACACGGTTTCGCGCGCTCGTCAGACTCGGAAGGTTGCCCCGGGAACCGTTATGGCCCTTCGCCCATCCCAGGCTCTGCAGATAAAACCCAACACAACCGTCGCCGAGGCGGCTCAAATCATGGCTGCAAAGCGCGAGGACTGTGTTCTTGTCACCGATGATGAGGATCGCATCTCTGGTATCTTTACCGCGAAGGATCTTGCCTTCCGTGTTGTCGGGGCCGGGATTAATGCAAGGGATGTGACCATTGCCCAAATCATGACCAAGAATCCTCTCTGTGCTCGTACCGACACTTCTGCTACTGATGCCTTGGACCTGATGGTTCGCAAGGGGTTTCGTCATTTGCCCGTTATGGATGAGAACCAGGACATTTCTGGAATTCTCGATATAACAAAGTGTTTTTATGAGGCTATGGAAAAATTGGAACGAGCGTATGCATCGTCTAGAAAGCTTTACGATGCCCTAGAAGGCGTTCAATCAGAGTTGGGATCTTCTCAACCGCAGCAGATTATCCATTATGTTGAAGCATTGCGACAGAAGATGTCCGGTCCAGACTTGCAGTCGGTATTGGACGGAAACCCACCTACCGTCGTTAGCGTAAGAACTACTGTGAAGGATGCGGCAGCTATGATGAAGGAAAATCACACAACTGCTGTATTGGTTCAGGACGGTGGCAGTATTACTGGTATCTTTACCAGTAAAGATGTGGTCTTGAGAGTGATCGCCGCGGGATTGGATCCTGCAAATTGCAGTGTGGTTAGGGTCATGACTCCTCATCCCGACTTCGCTCCTATGGATATGAGTATCCAGGCTGCCTTGAGAAAAATGCATGGTGGGTGGAAATGATTGTTGGCGTTTGTTGAGGATTGAAAGAACTGATAGATATTTGGGTAGATGGTCATTATTTGAACCTCCCGGTCATGAATGAGGCAGCGGAGATTGTTGGCATGGTCGATGTGCTGAAGCTGACCTATGCCACTCTGGAGCAGGTGCTTAGGGTGTGATCTGTATAATCCGTGATACCGTACTAATATGGGTTTGCAGATCAATTCCATGGGCACAACTGATAGCGAGGGCCCTGCGTGGAACAAATTCTGGATGTCACTTGACAATGATACTGAATCAGCCGTATCGGACGGTACTAGACATACTGGCCCGCCAATCCGTCCTCATCAGCCTGACTCGCCCGTTAGAGGCTCCAGGCATGCATCCGGAATGTCTACGGACCGCCATGATAGTAGTGCTATCCTCCCTACTGACTCTGCATCTCACCATGGCGATTCCCCCCCTGCTTCTGTGGTCATGTACCAACAACACTCCAATCCCCTTGATGCCCCGTTCCCTTTTAAGTTTAAGGCTCCTAGCGGGCGTATGCATCGTTGCCAGGTTGCGGCAAGCGGTGGTCTGATAGAACTTCTCGCGGCCGTTGTCCAGAAGCTTGGAAGCGAAGTCCAAAATGTTGGCGGAGAACCTGAATTCGGTGCGGAGGGCAAGCTCGAGAAGCAAGGGTTTGCCATGAGCTACGTGGATAACGAGGGCGACATCGTTTCCATTACTTCCGATAGGGATTTGGTTGATGCGATTGAGATGGCCAGGAGTGGAGGGAGGGATAAGGTCGACCTATACGTTCATGATCCGGAATCCCCACCCGTCATTGCTGCCGTCGATACAAAGCCAACTACTGACACGCCTACTGAATCTATCGCTCATAACAGACGAAGACGTAGACATGATGAGGATACCGAGGAGTCAAGCGAGGAAGAAGAGGAGAAAGTGGCGCATAGAAAAGCAAAGAAAAGTGCCGTATCCCATTTCCCGACCGTGGCCCCCGTTCAACCGGAGGTCATTCCTGGTGTTCCGAACGAGCTACTCTTGCCTGGAGCTCTCGTCACCCTGGCTGTGGTAATTGTCGGTGTTTTTGCCATGTCCAGAAAATAGGTGGTATGAGGGATCGCGGGATGTGTTTAGTTGTACCTCTATGAACGAGGTTGCCACTGCACCGAAGTGCTTTCTTCTATTTCTTCTCTTTAAAACAGATGGGCGGGATAGGTTTCGTCTAGCGGTGAATCACAAATGTCGAGATTGTCTGACATCTTAGGGCTGCGTAGATATGTACTTTTCTTACTTTCTCCCTTTTCGTTCTTACTGGGTTGCTATGTTTACATCTGGACACGCCCAGTTGAGCTTGATAATGGCCGATTCGCATAAATGGTCCTTTGGGTCTTTTGCAATCTGGCTTTTATAGTGGTTTACATGGCCCGATGTCCCTTCAAAAAAAAATTGTCGCTGGAAGTAGTGCCAGCAGTGCATCTGTAATCCATTCTCCTTTGTTTGTTTTTCCTTCTTTACCTTCATGGCCTGCGCTTTGCATTCTTTCTTTCCCTCGTTGCCCTCTTTTTTCAGCTTGTTATTGTTTTTTTACTTCTTCCCCTTTTCTTTTCAGTATCAGCATCAACCAACGATTGTGATAACCCTACGTAGTACCGGTATTTCACATTCTCTAGTTTCTTTTTTAATCTTTTCCTTGCAGATCTCAGCCCTGTGACGAGCAATCTTACAAATTCTCTCCGTCAGAATTTATTAAAATCTAAGCAGACCTCAGCGCCACTACTATAGCTCGCCAGATCCCCGGATTGTGAGTGATACTGGTACAGTATGATATGATACGGTACATGAGATCGCCAGTGGTGGGGGAGCACAAGCAACGCCAAGACAGATACAGATAGCGCCGGCGGCAGGAGAGAGAAAGGGCTCAAGTGAATAAAAAGAGTATAGAATAAAAATATAAATAAGGGCCTGTTCGGCATGTCCCCATAAATAATATGATCATATTTTTGAAAACACCATATTTCCTGAAACCCAAATCAAATCCAACTTCAAATGAAATGAAATGTTGATACCATAGTTTGACAGTAGGTGCTCCGGGGCTCATTATGCGCAAAGGGGGAAACGGTGTAAGCCCAACAGATTGCGTAGTAAGGATGATACGGTAGTGATGTTGCGAAATATGGAGACATTGGGAGTGTCATGTTTTGCAACATCACCATTTTCTGTACGCCCCCGACAATCGGCCTCCTACCATTTCCTCCTTCACGGGGGACAGCGTGGGAGTACCTGGTATCAAACTATGGCATTATCTCCTGTTTTGTTGGGTAAATTGCTTTCTGTGTCAGGAAAATGGTGCTGTCGGGAATTTGATGATAAAAAATATGCATAAACGAAAAGTGAAATATGGATGGGGCACAGGTACGGTACTGTACTGCACTGTACTGTACGAGTACTGTACGAGTACTCTAGGGTATGATACCGGTACAGCACAGTATGATACTCTAAACGAACAAGACTTGACCACAACAACATAATACAAGTACATACCGGTAGTTTTGAAGGTATCATAATACAAGTGTCATAGCCAGTTCTTTGAGTAACCCATATTTTTTTTTCCCTTACCTTTCTGCTAAACTGCCCCACCTTATTTACACCCTCATTAACTCATCGGGAATTCTTCAATAATTTTCACGCGTAACCTTACGGAAGTGAAGGGCAGGAGAGGGTTGTGTTGACCTCGTCCTCTTCCTCTCTCCCTCTTTCCCTCCCTTCTCCCCCGCTGGTCCCAATACCAATACAGAGAGAACTCTCGCCGAAACACCCATTTCACAACTCTCGTCTTTCACCAACCTCCTTCGTCACTCCCTGACCACCACAACAACCCACCAACACTCTTCCTGTCTTCCTTCGCGCATCCGGTTTCGTTTCAGGATATAGACCGCTTTGCTCTTCTCTGCTCCTCCTTTTTTCCTTTTTCCTTTAAAATCTCTTTCCCCTCTCTCTTTCTCTCTCTCTTCTCTCTTACGTGGCTCCGCCTCTACGTGAACCATGTCCCAGCTGCCCCACGGTGTTGCGGAGAGTCTCCAGCAGCTCCTCTTGGGCCTGGAGTCCAGCGATAATAGCATTCGAAGTGAGGCCGAGAAGAGCCTGAATAATGATTGGGTTCTGGCGAGGCCCGATTTACTACTTTCTGGTCTTGCGGAGCAGGTGCGGGCGGCAGATAGTCCTGGTGTGAGTCTATCATCCCCTCCTAATCGCCTCCCCTCCCCCACTTGATCCCTGAAGTCTGTTTTTTTTTTTCCCCCCCTTCCGCCACGCCAAAACATAAACATTACAACATGACAACGGCAACCAGTTTTCATTATCATTATCATCTCTCGATTTATTTGGCTCGTCTTTTTTTATTTATTTTATTACCCGGTGGTTGGGCTAATTTTTTTCACCAATTTGGCGGTGGATAGAAACGCTCCTTTGCTGCCGTCTTGTTCCGGCGGATAGCCAGTAAAGCATCAACAAAGGATAATCAACCTAGTGAACTGTTCCTATCATTGGCCCCCGAAATTAAAATTTACATTAGGAATGTTTTGCTTAGTTGCTTCTCGGAGGAAACGGACAAGGCCGCTAGAAACAAGACTGGTGATGCCGTAGCTGAGGTGGCTAGACAGCTGAGCGATGCGGGTGTGTGTTCTCTTCTTCCCATAATTACCAGGGCCTCGGCCTGTTGGTTATTCAGAGTCAATTTTTCACCCGTTTCAATACCTCCCCTCAAAGTTGTTTAATTCTGACTATTTTTTACCCCGAGCAGAGGAGTCATGGCCGGAACTTTTGCACGCTCTTTTCCTAGCCAGCAAGCACCCAGATCCCGGCCATCGCGAGTCAGCTTTCAGGATATTTGCTACTACACCCGGGATTATAGAGAAGCAGCATGCCGAGGCTGTACAGGGGGTATTCGTGACTGGGTTCGGGGATGATGATTTGGGGGTTCGGATTGCTGCGATGGAAGCATTTTCAGCCTTCTTCAGGTCGATTAAGAAGGCGGCGCAAAAGGCGTTTTACCCGCTTCTTACCCATATCCTCAACATTTTGGTGCCGATAAGGGATTCACAGGACTCGGATAATCTCTCGAGAGCACTCATGGCCCTTATAGATCTTGCTGAAGTCGCCCCGCTAATGTTCAAGCCCCTGTTCAACAATGTTGTCAAGTTTGGAATTTCGGTGGTGCGGGATAAAGATTTGACGGATTCTGCGAGGCAGAACGCATTGGAATTGCTAGCTACGTTTGCGGATAATGCTCCCAACATGTGCAAAAAAGATCCGCTCTATACCTCTGAGATGGTTACGCAGTGTTTGAGCCTGATGACAGATATAGGGAACGATGATGATGACGCTTCGGAATGGAACGAATCTGATGATGTAGGCGTCCTGCGTTGGATATTTGTTTATATGTCAGGGTAGCTGACTTTGTGATCCTTTCCCTAGGCTGATATGGACGAAAGCGACCTCAACCACGTCGCTGGAGAGCAATGCATGGACCGTCTTGCAAACAAACTAGGCGGATCGGTTCTTCTTGCGCCCACCTTCCAATGGCTTCCAAGGATGATGACTTCCTCTGTGTGGCGTGATCGACATGCCGCCCTGATGGCTATCTCGGCTATCTCGGAAGGCTGTAGGGATATGATGGAGGCCGAGTTGGATAAGATCTTGGATCTGGTTGTTCCCGCTTTGAGAGATCCTCACCCGCGCGTGAGATGGGCCGGGTGCAATGCTCTAGGCCAGATGAGTACGGATTTTGCTGGTATTATGCAAGAGAGATATCATAGCATCGTTCTTACCAATATAATACCGGTACTTGAGTCTCCTGAGCCAAGGTGGGACAAAGATTCGCCAGTGGCACTTCTGAAAACTAATTCACTTGCTGGCAGAGTCCAATCGCATGCGGCCGCCGCTCTGGTCAATTTCTGCGAGGAAGCCGAGAAGGAGGTCCTCGAGCCGTATCTCGATGACTTGCTCCGACACTTGTTAGAGCTGTTGCACAATGACCAGAAACGTTACGTCCAGGAGCAAGCACTTTCTACCATTGCTACCATCGCCGATTCTGCAGAAGTTGCGTTTTCTAGATACTATGATACCTTAATGCCTTTGTTATTCAACGTCTTGAATCGCCCTCAGGACCCCGAGTCAAAGGATCTTCGTCTGCTTAACGCAAAAGCTATGGAATGTGCTACATTGATTGCACTTGCGGTAGGACGTGAGAGACTTGGTAATGATGCGGTTCAGCTGGTCCAGGTTCTTGGGCGCATTCAACGTTCGTAATTTTTCCTTTCCGTACGCTCCCAGCGCTAAACTTTTACAGAGAATGTTACCGACCCCGACGACCCGCAAGGGTCATACCTCCTCCATTGCTGGGGCCGTATGTGCCGTGTCATGGGCAATGATTTCCTTTCATACCTTCCTGCTGTCATGCCCCCTCTCCTAGAGCTTGCGAGTGCTAAGGCAGATGTCCAACTTCTTGATGGTAATGGCTCCACTTTGTTGGTTTATCGTTGACCTGCTAATCCGTTTCACGGTAGATGACGAACATGTGGCGCAAATTGAGCAGGAGGAAGGATGGGAGCTTGTTCCTGTTCGCGGAAAATACATTGGAATCAAAACATCAGCTTTGGACGACAAGTATATGGCGATTGAGCTTTTGGTGATCTACGCTCAACAGCTAGAAGCTGCATTTGAGCCATACGTCCAGTCAGTTATGAGGGATATCGCTGTCCCAGGTCTGAGCTTTTTCTTTAATGATGCGGTTCGGGTTGCTTCCGCTCGACTTGTCCCTCAACTCCTCAACTCTATCAGGAAGGCCAACGGTCCAGGTTCTGCCCAGTTGGTGGAAATTTGGCAGCCAACTCTCGCGAAAATACTCGATGTCCTAGCCGCCGAGCCGGCGGTCGACACATTGGCCGAGCTTTACCAGTGTTTCTACGAGTCGGTTGAGGTGATTGGACAGAACTGTTTGCCTGCCGAGGCTATGTCTACCTTTATCAATGCCGCAGAAGGGACTCTCCAGGAGTACCAACAGAGAGTGCAGGTTCGCCTCGAAGAGGCTCAAAAGCCGGAAGAGGAAAGAGAGGACAATGAGGATGCTCTATATGCCATTGAGGACGATCAAACCCTACTGTCAGACATGAACAAGTCTTTTCACACCATCTTCAAACATCAGGGCGTCTCATTCCTGCCGCATTGGGAGCGATTGCTGCCATTTTACGACACCTTCATTACCAGTCCAGATCCTACACAACGGCAATGGGCCCTCTGTATCATGGACGATGTTCTGGAGTTTTGTGGGCCCGAGGCCTGGAAGTATCAAAACCACTTTGTTCAGCCACTCGTAAGCGGCCTGTCTGACCCAATTGCTGCCAACCGGCAAGCTGCAGCCTATGGTGTGGGAATTGCCGCCAAGAATGGAGGCCCGATGTTCTCTGAGTTTGTTGCGGCCACAATTCCAAAACTTTTCGAGGTCACTCAACACCCTCAGGGTAGACAGGAGGATCATGTTTTTGCAACCGAGAACGCCTGCGCTTCCATCGCCAAAATTCTTCATTTTAATTCGAGCAAAGTGGGAGACGTGCAAGCTGTTGTTCAGGCCTGGGTTGGAACTTTGCCCATTGTTAATGATGATGAGGCTGCGCCATATGCCTACTTGTTCCTAGTGCAGTTGATTGAAGGGTATGTTGTTTGGCGAGTTTTTTTTTTTTTTTTTTTGAATGTCCTGCTAATGCCACGTCTAGAAAAAACGCCGCCGTTCTCGGCAACGTTCCTCAAATTTTCGACTACGTGGTTAGAGCTCTTGACGCGGAGACCATCCAAGGCCAGACTGCGGAAAGGGTTGTTGCCGTTACCAAGAGCCTTTTGGCTATGGCCGGCGGCTCGGCGGCTCAGGTTTTGGCTTCCATACCAGTTGAACGCCATAACGCGGCCAGGCGTTGGTTCTCATAGTGCGCGGTATTGGGAGGGGGGGGGGCGAAGGGCACTCATTGGGTCGTTGTCTTTGTTTTCCTTGTCGTCATTACGGCATCGTTGTCTTAGAATTAGTAACTCTCTTGTTATGTAACTGGACAGATAAAAGGGGGGGGGGATTTGGATGCCATACCTGTTGATTTTGCTTCTGTCGACCCCATGGGAGGGACAAGTGAAGGGCAAGTGTGCTAATTCCGGGAGCCCCACCGTTCGGGGGGAATCAAAAAAAAAAAAACGGAGAATGTAGCCCTTGTTACTCAAAAGTATCATGTTTTTCTTGCTTTTCTTTCATCCCCTTCTCTTCCTGGGAATTCCAGACCACGGTGTTAAAAAGTGGCATCCTTTTTCTTTTCATCCTTTTTCCTTTGGTTGTAAGGTGTTATTCGATGCTCCTCCTGACGATTGGAAGGAGCTGCCGGGTACTGTATTGTTACGATGTGATATGATATTATATGAATTGGAGTGATGAACACCGGGAGCCGCATGCGATACCTTTATTTTACTTTTACTTTTACGAGGACTCTAGCTTAACTAATAGTCATTGGGCCCAGCTCATCGTCGGTCAATCATTGAACAGTACGGCATAGTAACAGTACCTCGTATGCAGCAAAACGCTAAAACAACACTAGAAAGCTGGGGGTGAAAAAAGCGAGAAAGAGAAAAAAAGGCCATTCCTATCTCATTCTTTCCGCGTCTCACGAATTCTTGTATAAACATATCCACAAGTATCCCAGGAGGATCCAAAGTCCAGTCTCTGCCCCCTCGCACAATCCACACGAAAGGCTCTCAAGATTCCGGAAAGTTACTTGCCTGGATAGTGCGGCACTGTACAGAGCGGAACGCGCACCGGCCGGCTGCCTGATAATGAAAACTCGAAGTTTTTCTTTTTCTCTTTCTTTTTCCTGGGATGATGGGATAATTAATTAATTAATAGTAGATGTGGACTGCGGATTACGGTATCGTAGATTTATATTATCGTACCCATCCACGGACGGTCCAGGATTGGGTAAGATAGCTTTATTTGCTATGATATCGTGGGGAAGAGGTGGTATGGTGTAATATAATAGCAGTGACCGGTAGGTAGGTAGGCATCAAAATCGGGTGGAAGCGCTCTTTGGACTATAAAGGTAGCTTTGGATCCATCTATCTGTCCATTGGTGGTTGGTTTGCTATTTTACAAGGGAGGGGAGAGGACTTTCATGATTTCAGTACTGTACTATAAGCACGCTATATATATATATTCTATATATTCTATATATACATAGATACAAAAAAAAAAGTCGGATGCAGTAATTGGAGGTTTCTGTTTGTCGATTGGTCGAGTATCATAGAAAATGGATGGATATATGTGAAGCACCATTCCCCATTTGAGGTTCTCTCCTTTTCGAATCTGTGGTTGTGCGAGTGATGGCCCAACTGGAGCCCCATCACTGGTGTTCGGTGTTCGATATTATGATAACGACCTCTATCTTCAATCATTGGCCTGGGGTGGAGCGCGAGTGATACGAAGTGATGGATAGATCGCTATCCCTTTTACTTGAGTATGGAGCTCGGTATCGTACAAGCCGAGGGGATCTCTTGGCTGATGGTGCTTGTAATTGCGTTAATTGTGAAAGTGGGAAGGGGGAGAAATTATGATTATTATTATTATTAAAGGAGAATCGGATCGTAACCGGCGGTTCGTAAAGGAAGGAAGATGGGGGGTTGATGAAAGAGGGAAAAACTGGTGGTGAAGCTATGGTGGTGAGATATAACCTGCATTGTGAAAATGGCACTATTTTTCTCCAATTTGGCTGCTTCGTTTGATTCTCTATCTTTGCTATCGCGCCTCCGTAAGGGTTTTTTTGGGGTAGGGGATAGCGAGCTCTGTAATCATATACTCGATACTCCTAGAGAGCATCTGGGACGTTTTCGAAATTCTCGAGGACCGCAGGGGCATATACCCTACGAGGCGAGGAGTCTCGCCGTTTAGCTTCTGACTCTCCGCCTGGATGCTCGCGCCGAGGCCTTGTCCCCCCCCCGAGCTACTAGGTCCTGGAGCCTCTATGGGGTGAGTCTGCTAGAGGCCAACGCCACACTCGTCTTGAGCGGGTTCCCGGAGCGCCGTAGATTTGCTGATAGTACATAATCTAGGCTGAAACGATGGTGGTGGGGGGAGGGGAAGGAAAGATATTGTAAAAATTTGGTGCGGATTTAAGGGCTATCGAGCGGCAATGGTAACCGGGGGGGGGGGCGAAGAGTTAGACGGAGAGAACCACTAGCTCTAGGGGAGGGGGGGAGGGGGTTGTAAGTTTGAGGTTGGTTCAGGAATCTCTTCTGCATGAGCTAGACTCTGATGCGTACTTCTCGGAGCTCCATTATGTGTACTATCATACGTGAAGACCTATGAGCACAGTACAGCATTGGATAACTAGGGATAGCTAGCTAGCTAGGCACGGCTAGTCGGTCATAAAAAGTTTAAGCAAACGGCCATACAAGATGAGCTGGAGTATGCCAATAAAGGTCAACAATTCAGGGTATATATACTATTCCTGCCGAGTCCTAGATTCACGTAGGATAAGGGCGAATCAACCCAGTCGTTGTACTTGGGGGTTCAACGCTAACGGATATTTCAGAAAATCAACCGAACGCTTTTGAATCGGTCGTGGGAGCTCCTTGTAGCTGTGCCCTTGCGGTTTCACTCCTCCTTAGCCCTTTCCTGTTTTTGTCATATCTACGGGGTGCCTTTTCTATGGGAGGATGGAGTGGCCCTGCATAATACGTGATATTAGAGTTGACGAAGTGGATGCAGTCGGTAGCTACAATGTGTCGGCCCTGAAAGTTGCTAAACTGAGGTAGAACTCCAGTGAATGGGCTGGAGGTTGTTACTGGCTTCTGTTTGAGGCACATAACTGCGTCAGTATGTTTGCCCCCCTAGTCGAGATCACTCAAAGGGTAGGGTCTGGGAATGTGGAAAAAATAATATCGCCTCAGATTTAGAACTAAACCACTACTCCTTCCTCTAAATACCGGTAGGCTGCTTGTATTCCCCCCCCCAGCGAGCTAGAGCCTCGACTGCGGTGGACGTGAAGGCTAGTAAGAGTAATAGAACATGGCAGAGAATAGTGGGCTCAGCGTGATAAGAAGTTCGTGATGACTTCCCTCTGAATCCTACGCTCCTATAGATAGATACAAGAGCCTCACAGTTCTCTGATTTGTCAACCGCCTGGTTACCCTCTAGGGCTCTATGCTCTCGAGCTACAGCACATCGGTCACAAATGTCCGCGAACCACTAAGGGGCTGTTTGGCACACCGTCATATGAGATGATGGTTATCTTTTTAAAATGATGATGTGCTAAACATCATCTCAAAACACAATTTGGGCCCAAAATGGATTTTGAGATGACAGATAGCTCATGACAGTGCATAAAATAGCCCCCCTAAATTTATCTACTTTCTTACCCTCTCGTCCCTGCCCCCCCAGTCATCCCCAACAGTCGTAATATAATAGGTTGCACGAGAAATAAAAAAAACGGTACAAGTAGGGTCGGAGGAACGTTATCAGGGACTCGTGATTTGGTTGAGGTCCTTGGACCCGGTGTTGCCGTTACTGGCTATGATTGCCTACTGCCACCGCCTTCCCAGTTTGGTCCACCGTGCCAGAGACATGCAGGGATTCCAGGTCCTAGTCTATCCCTCGCACACCCTCCCCAGTACGGTATCCGCGAACGGATAGCTAGCTTAGGGAATACCCGGGAAAGGATGAGGAACCTCCGCCGGCTCACCGCTGAAAGATAGGGAATAACCGAGGGAGGGGGGGGCAATTCCCCCTCCCCCGCTCCTGTAGCGCTATACGTAGCCGCTTTGCTTCCTGGAAGGCTCCATGCAGGAACACGAGCCCACCTTCCTCTTCGCAGTTCATATGTAGAGATACATACTCTAGGATTCCGCAAACCCATCACCGTACGGTTTTCACAGAGCAGAAGGGCAAGGGAGCAGAATAGGGCAAGCGAGTGACTGTTGATGATGAACTGGGCTCTTCCCCCCTCCCTCCCGGCCAGTGGTAAAGTCTTGGTGAGCGATTGTTCAAAAGCAACACAGTGGAGGCCTATGTTGGCCACCCACATTGCATAATTTGCTCGATTGCAAGGGGGTTAGTATCCTCCCCTATCCCCTTGTATTCCTTCTACATCCGTCGTTGGCTCTCGTTCCACAATCTTCAAATCTGTTGCTTATTCGTCCACAAGGCAACTCTTCAGGCACACAAATCTCCCGGCGCACCCAGAGCCTCGGGTTTCCCGGACTTGGGTTGGGGTAAGCTTATTTATTAGTCGTCGTATTTAAGCTGTGGAACATTCGCCACATATCTGATTTTGTGTACAGCAGTATTACTGTTGTTATTTTTTTTTCTTTTTCACGTCCTCAGGTATCCTCCGAGTTTCTCCAGGGTGGCGTGTCCGGAAGTGGCCGTGACACGGAAACCCCGCATATATTATAGTCCTAATTTTACTCCCTCCCCCCCCCCCGGATTAATATACATACCGTTGACTACGGTACGGTACTCGTATCCTTACTGCAACTCTGAAATTGCCAGCCAAACGATAGTAATCACGAACTAACGATGCCGGTTGTGGTATCCCGCTACCGCTGACCCTTACGGTACCACTGCTCCAAAAGTGCTTGGGCATGAAGTTGCAAAGGAGACCGGGCCGGATGCACTGGGCTTTGTGGGGTGTTGGGAGGGGTATCATAGATTTGGTCAATTTAATGACAAGACGTATCGAGGGGATTCGAGCGATGAGATAGAACCTCAAGAAAATGCGGGGAATACTTATGTGCGTCGCTTGGCACACCAGACACAGCTCGGTCGAGCACCAGTAGTGGAGAACCGGGCTAGATCAGTTGCGAGGCGCTCTCCAATTTCAATAATAGTGCGGATCAGTCTCGTAGACGCTGCTTCAGAATCAGCACTACATGCCACCGATAATAACCAAAGACCCCGTCCCAAGATTGCAATTCTGAAGTCAATTTCCTCGACTATCGATTCCCCCCTCTCTTTTTCACATCAAGTTTTCGGAAGTGAGGGAAATACCCAAGACCCTGTTCCTAAATATAATATAATAGGATTTTCTCTAGAGTTCTCACGATGGTGCTCTCAGGCTGCGACAGAAGAAAACCGATATCCAGCACAAGAACCCACCACCCGTAACGAGCTCAACTTAGTAGCTCTCTTATTACGAACCCGAATAAATAAGGGGTAGAGGTCTATCATATGTAGCTACTAGGAAAATGCCAATGTCATGAAGTACCGGTGTATCTTATGTATAATACCAACCACCTCGTTGACATTAGCGTGAAATATCTCAATGAAATAACATTCCAGCACTGCACCATATATCCCTCTTCTCCCCTTCCTCCCTCCTCCCTTCCCCTCAGTTCCTCCCTTCCATCCGCCCATCCTCCCGCTCATTTCCACCCTCGCCAAATTCACCAAACTCCGAGGAAACCCCGCTACCAGCCGCCTGAACAGGCCCCATTCCTCACACACCAAGGTCGAGCTCCCGCTTGTAACTTCCGGGCTACCTAACCGATGAGCGTATACCGGTAGTGCCGTATAGGCCTATACTACTACTACCCGAGAAGTGAAAAGGCCATTCCCCAAGCCATGTCTGCCCGCCCCGACCGAAGCGTGATGACACTTTGGTAGCGATTCCCGAAGCCCACAATACCATGGGAAAGAGGCCCTCGGATGAAATTATCGGTGGGTGTTGGTGTGTATGCCCTGGATCAGCTATAGCAGGAACGACGGTTAGTGGCAGCCATAGCGATATCGTAGCCTCCAGGCAGGATGCTAGCTAGATCCACTGCTTTCACCCTGCTCCGCGGCTTCTGAGACACCGGCATTGGGATTGGGCCTGCACTCTATTGAGAGATTCGGAAGTTGGCGAGGCAGGAAACACGAGCCTTAGGTGTGTTTGCCCAGGTCCTTTTTTTTTTTCAGAGCCAGCCTGTAAGTCATTGAATAAGTCCAAGGCAAGCCCAATCCATTAGACATCGCTAGTATAATGTCATAATTTTTTTTTGCTACCCCTCTGACCCCCCCTAATCACCAATATCTAGTATAGAAGATACCCCACCATACACTGCTAGACAATAACCCATCACAGATAATCACTCGGGTCGCACCCCCCCCCCCTCTTCAGCACAATAACAATCCGAATCTAAAAGCACCCCTTAAAATTCTTCCCTAAAATACTGACCGGGGGCCCCACAATTCACACCCCATACTCTGCAGCCTCGCGATCCGCAAGCGGGTGGGGAAAGGTTGACGAACGAACTCTGGGAAACTCCAGCTGGCCCAGACAGAAAGGAACTGATATATACTTTATCGATCATAACACGACGTCAGCTCGCCGAAGCGATTCTAAAGCCGAAATAAAGGATGTTTTCATGTTAGGGAATCAAACCTACGACTCGAAGCTATTATATTATCTGACGCCTCCTAGGGGCGTATGATGAAACCGTATCCTCAAACATAGATAGCGGGGAGGAGGGGAAAAAAACTCCCCACCTAATTCCCTCCTTCCTTCCTTCCTTCTTCGCTACCCCAATGTGTATAAATCACGTATACACACACACATACCAGAACTCGCACCGCGAAAAAACCCCTTCCTATAATACTCATCAGATTCTCCTCCTCCTCTATCCTCAACCTCTTCTTCCCCTCCCCCCTTCACTCCACTATCGCAACCCACGAGAACTCCATTCGCAATTCCCAAGTACCCATAGCAGAGTGCTAGGCCGTCCAGATTCCCCAATTCATAAATCAGCCATTCCCGTAACCACGATGACACTGCCGTACTCTGGCGAAGAGTAAACGCCACCACGCACTGTGCAAAATCCTGGCACGGTAATGGCACCCCATGCACCTCTTAGGAAGTAATACCGGACATCCCCTTGGGATACCCACTCGAGCTGCCGGGACGACACCAGATACGAAGGTGGTGGTCTCCACCGACTGCCGTCTCCCGAGTGACGACCTGTGAGTCGAGCCGACAGGTGGGTTACACAAGCACACTTATAGGCTACTCGTAACTACCCCCTCGTTATCCTTTCCGTCGGTTCGGTAGGATGCTATCCACACCCAGCCGCAATGCCGGCCTTTATAACTTCGTAAAACAAAACGGCATTCCGGGTGTGCCGCACAGGCCGGGCGACAGGCGGGGGCGGGCATATGGCTACAACATAAATCATCCAATAATCGCCTTTTATCAATACATGGAGCAAATGCAAATAGGTAGGGAAACGAGTAGTAAAAAGCGATGGAAGTAGAAGAAAAGAAACCTCCCTTCAAAAAAAAAAATGATGAAAGGAAAGGAAACCTCCATCCATCATACAAAACATCCAAGAATACAATAAGATACAAAAACAAAGTACCACCCTTATCCGACCTCCCAATAAAAATAAAAATAAAAAAGACGGTATCATTCATTATATATCTACCCTTTCTTCCCTTCCCTTCCCTTACCTGCCTGCCTGTCTTGCCTTTCCATCCCGTTTCCCTTCCGCAACTCCCGTCCTCTTCTCCCATGTCCCGCCTAACACCAACCTCCGCCCCCATCCTTCGCACAAAAACAACGTGAAAACATCCCAAAATCTACACAACACAGAAACAAATCATAAAACAGCGGTAGTAGTAAGAGGGAAATAAAGAGCCCCGTTTGTCACAACACCCCAAACCAAGAGGATAACAGAATAAAAATATAAAAAACGAGCGAAAGGGAATAAATAAATTACACCACACGAATGTTACCAGAGCAGAAAAAAATATACAAACTGGACAATTTTCTTTGTACCAAACTGAAATAAAAAGGCAAACAAACCAGACCAAACTGAAGTGAACCGAACCAAACCCGAACGCCCAGTTTGATGAGCTGAAATATGAACTTGAGTGAACTGAACCAGACAAAAGGGTGTCGCAAGTGAAAAGATGGTAGGAAGTGCTGGAGGAGATAGTTACAAGGAGTCATAAGGGAACCAGCAAAAAAAGAAAGTGATGCGAAAGAATCCTAGAAAGACGAACAAAGAACCGACATCCCTGGCTACCGAAAAAGGATTAAAACTAAAAAAAAAAAAAAAAAGAGGGGGGAATCGGCACCCTTCCGCAAAAAAAAAATTGTTTCCCTCCTGTTTCCCTGGGTTATGAACTTATCCTCCTCCACCAACCAACGACTCCGGCGACATCATACCACCATTCCCGTCGCCATCGGCTTCCGATATCTTTGATAACGAGCGATCCATGGCCACACTCTTTGAAGGTAGCAGGGCAGCCTTTGCGGGTGGTGGTGCCGGTGGGTTCGGCTTTTTCTTCTTCTTGGAATTCCCCCCTTGGCCGTGCATTGGGCGTTTTCTCGGGGCCAAAATCTTCCCTGTCGGAGGCAATCTTGGCTTTGGTAGACGCTGTTTGACGGGAAGATCTTCGTCTTCGACGAGGGGCTCTTCGTTGTTTGCGTGGAGTTTCGCCAAGAAGAAATTTTTGACCAGGCCGATTTCCCGTTCGAGAAGCTCATGAGTGACCGGTTCGAAAGGGGGTGGCGGCTTGTAGCCGTCTGCCAACGCCACGGTACTGTAAAATTTGAGACGTAGTTAGTAATCTTCTTGTACATAAAAGAACGATAGAATATCATACCTGGTATTCTGTGTTTGATACGTGCTATGCATCCTCCCCTGAAGCAGGTGCAACGGTACGGAAAGTGAAGAAAGTCCAAACTCCTTGTCCAAGCCCAACTCCTTAAAACCAAAGAAGTCATCACCAATATCCTCAGCGAAATCGCCGCCAACGAACTGTTCACTCCCATCGTTGAACATCTTTGAGCCATCACCACCGACATCCTGTAAGGCAGGACGCTATACAACTAGTTAGTACCTGTATCTGATGCCATGCAATTAAGGAAAGACGTACTAGAAGTTCTGTTAGATGGCTCTTCATCCGTTGGTGAATACCATTCAGCTTGGAGCCTAGTCTCTCAATATCATCCTTGATATAGGTGTCCAAAGACTCGACATCCGCCCCATTTTCGTACAAAGCATGAAGTAGCATTTCCTATAGTCAGGTTAACATCTTCAGAAACTTCAAAACTATCCACCTTCTAAATCCCTACCTCTGGCTCAAACTTCCTTTCATGTTGTGGAGCTTCTTGATACACCGTCAGGGTCTTTGACAACTTCTGAAAATAATCAACAGCGATATCAGTCACGGCATCAATTGCTGTCGGCTGGAATTCCTCAAAGCCAGCATGATAAAATATCTTGCCGACAGATTTCTGCAGCGCAGCCCGTGCTACAGTTGCGCACATGATGGGACCTTCCTCAGAAACCACAAAGTCTTCAACATCAGCTTCGACAAACTCCTTTGGGTCGTACTTGGTGAACTGATTGGAGTACATCTGAACAACGCAAAGTTAGCATTCAGGAATCAGTAGATTTGAGATAACTCGTACCTGTGTCTGCACTTGCATCTGCTTGATCACACCAATTTTCGAGCACAACTTCCTGGTCTCCTGCATCTGTTTGATATTTGCATCCATCCGCTTACTGAGCTCAGACTTGGGCTGTATAAATATCCCTCTCGGTGCGATACGGAGATTGTCGTCCTGCAGATCCACCTCATCGCCATCACCATACCACGAGACACCGAAAGGAAGCTCTGGGACCGCAGCCAAAGGATCGTAGTAATCCGGAAGCAGTTCCTGAACGTCTGTTTGTTCGGTATCAACCAATTTCGTATTACCACTTCCCTGTTGCATGCTGTTGTCGTCAGCATCCTGGGCGGACCTGGCATGCTTCTCTTCGTTCCTCAAAAACCGTCCCATGTCATCCCGTGATCGCAATAAAGCTGGCTCTTCCGGGTTCAAACGATTGCCACGAAATAGTTTGTGTCTCTCGCTCTGAGTAAAATCATTAGAAAACGTTCAACGCCATCAGCAGGTCCAAGGGGAAACCCACCGCCACCTTCGCCCTCGCCTTCTTTGTCAAAGTTTTCCACGTTTGATATTCTACATCATGCGTATCATCATCGACCCTGTCATGATCAATATCCATTTGTGATATCGAGTGCGCAAGGCCATTAGGGACAGGTGTGCCGCCAGATGGTGTCGGAAAACCATTGAGGCCAACAGAAACTTGACTATCATTACCCGGAGGGTTGGAATCCGCTCGCAAAAGATTTACTACCGGTGCTTTAACTTCAGGAGTCCCTTCCAGTCGAGCACCTTTCCTAGTCTTTTTAGTTCCAGGTGCCTTCCTACCACGAGAAGACATTATGGGCTCTGTAGGCAAAAAGATAAGCATGTACGAACAGTGAGGCAGCCTTTGGTCAAGAATAAAAATCAAACAGAGTCGGATATACCATCGTCACTTTCCCCCTCGGCGTCAACCTCAAGAGCACCAGCTTCCTCTAACTCAACCTCCGCCCTATCCCTAATTACTATATCAGGAATTAAAGGTGTAAGATTTTGAGTAGCCTTCTGCATGGCTTTTGCATGTTTCCGAAGATAGTGTGACGGCTCAGCATTGTAATCGAGACAGTTTTGCCATATTAAATTAAGATCGTCGACAAAATCCTTTTTACTCTTGTAATGGTGACCCTTCAACTTCTTCATTACAGTGCCCAGATCCATTGGGTGTTTTATTACTGGAAACGGTAACCAAAGTTAAAAGCCAGGACCACTGAATGATGGGGCAGGGAAGAACTTACTGGTCAAGTAATCCGGTGCCTCTCGCTTATTGACCTTATTGAGAAAGGCAGTGGAGTGCTCCGTCAACGCTCTAAGCTCCAATACCACTTTCTCTGCAGCCTCATAGAGATCCTCCTGGCCAATTTTGTCTTCATTGGCCCATTTTGACCGATTCTTCCGGACCTCTGACATCAAATTCCGTAACTCCAAATCCGAAACCACGACCTCCTTACGTTTGGCATCGATCCGAGCGATAAGGTGCTTCAATGTTAAGCTTGAAGCACCAAGGTTTGCGCTGCTGAGCTTCCCAAGGGCGTTCGCCTGAGCGGCATTCGCTTCGGCATTGACCTGTCTGTCTGATTCCTCGAGTTTCTGCTGTTCCAGCATGGCATCCCGATCGTTTTCAAGGGTGAAGAACATGGAAGGCAGAGCGCGCTTCACGGCCTCTTCGGCCGCTTTCCTATCAGCTTCCAGTTTCTCCCTCGTCGCGACAGCACTCTTCTTGGCATCAATGATATTCCCAGGCAGTGGCTCGCTAGATTGAGACAATGAGGAAGCCGACTTGAAAGGTAAGGGTGGGGGAGCTTTAGGCCTCGTATCCTCTTCGTCCTCGTCGTCCTCAAAGTCATAATCGTCGTCGTCGAGTTTCCGCACGGGTGGCCGAGCATTGTCCGCAGCGGAATTTCCCGAAGCATTGACATTCGCCGAGGAGAAAGGGTCGTTAAGCTCCAAGGTAGCGAATTCCATATCCGGGGGAGCGCAGCAAGGACGCCGGGTGTCGAACATGATCGCTATGCGCTTTTCGAATACATCGTATCGCTGGCGAAAAGCGGCGATGGTGGGATCGACAACATCATCCTTGTCCCCACCCTCTACCCCCGTTTCAATGGAGTTTGTCCGAGTGCGTTCCGCAAGAGCAGTGACATCGTCGCGAGTGCTCAGTTGGCGTGACCATGAAGCTGGGAGAAGATTGTTGTTGTTCATGGTGCGTATGTAAGCAGGAGTATACAATGGGAGGAGGGGTGGTAGTGGTGATTCGGGGGTTTAGAAGGGGGAGGGGGAGAAAGGGTTTTGACGCGAATATGGACGTCTTTGGAGCAGGCTAAGCTGCTCGGGTCATAGCCCGAGCTTTTAGCAAGCGGCTCTGAGGAGAAGAGCGATGGAAATGGGATGAAAATCGATGAATGTCGCGATGGAATTCGTGGTGATTTCGCGGGGAATGGTACAGCGCGCACCAGGTGAGGTTGAGGCGACGCTGGGCGTTGGATGAGGCTGACTAAGGAAAAGGGAGAGATCAGAATGAAAAGCAACAAAAAACCCTTCTCTCTTTTGAACCTAACTTTTTTTCTTTTTTTTTTTTTTTTTTTTTTTTTCCTTTCCCTTTTCCCTTTTCCCTTTTCCCTTTTCTCCGCCTAGACTATCGTCCACACGACGCAACCGAACGAAGCGACCGATAACGAGAAAGAAAGAGAAATTTATTTTTTCCCTCCCCCGTAACGATCGGATAAAGGAGCTCAGAGTACAAGGTGCCGGTATCAGTGATTCCCAAAGCTCAAGAACGAGAAAGGAAAAGGAAAAGAAAAAATAGAAGCAAAAGAAAAGCAAGATCACAGGAAACCGGAAGCTATCGCGTAGTTACTTGTATAAAATACTCACTTGATGTAGGTAAGCGTTGTGTGTGTACTGGTGATTGGAGGGGAAGAGAGAAGACTAGGAGAGTGAGAGAGGTAAATAAATAAGAGGGCGGGTCCGAAAGCTTGTTAAGCGGAGAGGAAACGACACTCTCTGCCTTTCGATAACTTCCACTCCTCGCACCATGAATCCCCAATGAAATTCACCAGACGAACTCCCCGGTCAGAAAAACAAATGATGAAGAGGCAAATAGAGTGGACTGGCCGCACAATTGGATAAGGGATTGGAGAGGCAGAAAATATAGAATTCCCTGGGTTTTGGTGCCGGTTGATGGAGGATTGTTTGATAGGGGTATGGGGGATAGGCTGTGGGGAGAGAGATGGTGCCCTGGATTCCTCTGCGGTGCTGCCGTCTACCCTGTGGTACCATCGTGGTGCGTAGCTACAGTACCAGTGAACCTGCAGGTGAGCGGAGCCATTGAGTCGTGAACCATCAAGCGAGCAGGCGGGCCATGATCTGTCCTTCTTCCGCCTTCACAAGCGCATCAACCCTCCGCTCATCTCATAATTCCGAGTGATTATCCATGAACACATATACTAAGCATGACGCTCGCTACCATCACTTCTTCCTGAAGGATCAAGCCTTAAATCTTTATGGTTGATATCGCTAGCCTACAAGCGTAAACCCTGATCGAAAGAGATCAATTTTTTACTCAGCATCACCTTTGCACACGTGACCCCATCCTATGAGGCTCAAAAAGCGTCTTAGCCACCACCCTACCCTCCGTGACCAAGAGATCGCGCATGATCTGAGAAGCATGAGCGTGGAAAAAGGGCAGTCGTTGACTGCCCCCCCCCCCCCCCCCCTTTTCGCACACCCCGAGTCGGCGAGATAACCAAATGCCGTAGCTGAACCAATAGCGTATGATACCATTCCAACGCCCTGCTCTCAATCCCTCGAGTGAGAATCTGTGAGTGCAGATGTGCTCATTTGCCCGTGGTTCGATACATGTGAAGGCTACACAGTGCCGGTGCCGGTGCTCCCTCCTAATAAATTCGTAGCGAAAACCTAAAAGCGTAATTGTGGAACCCCTGCACGGAATCATGCTTCGGAAAATAGAAAGCTCCGGCCCACCACTACCGGTATCATGGTACAGCAGGCTTAGTCATTACATTCTTGGCAACCGTTACGTCCACCCCAGATCATTTGATCCACGGACTCTGTTCCACTTCTTGCTAAACCGTCGTCGCTCTCACAAACGGATGAGAGAGAACAAACATGAGGTATCCATCCCCTATCATCAAATCGCATCCTGTATTTGGTATTGCGCTGATGGGCCTTTGTTCCACAGGGTCCGAACACCCTTCGCGATAGCTTTCACTCTGCTATCGTTACTCTCGCTATGGCTGGGAACGACTAGCACTCCGATTCCAGCGAACGATAGGTTCCTCCGTTATGCCGCGTTCCTTGTTCTGACGGTTTCGCCCCTTCTCCCCTCCTTTCAATTCGTTGCCCGTGTAAAGATTCCGGAGAGCTGATGTTTGGACCAGACATCTTTCTACTGGATACTTGACACATCCCGTCGCCGAGTCTTCAACCTCACATTTTTTGTACCGCTCCCGGGCCCTCGTCTTATCGTAGTGTGCCTGCTGACCCAACTAGATATGTACCCTCTTTCTTCCCGTCTTCAGTGAATTCCTCCAGACTCTTCTATCCGTAATGTGCCCTCTTAATTACTGCTTTCCGCTTGCCCCGGACTCCACTAACCCTTCCAATAGGACCGAAAATTCGACCCATGGTACATTCTTGCCGACATCTTCGGATCACTCTCTGCCCTGGCGATCTGCGCCTGGTACCACAAACGCATGCTCGAGCGCAAGCGGCAAGCGAAGGGCTACCAAGGTGTTGCCGTGGACCCTGAAGGAGATGAGCTCGCAGACCTCGAGGCCGCCATCGTAGATAGGGAATTTGAACTGTCCGGCGATGAGGACGAAGAAGAGGAGGACCCCGTGTCTAGTAGAGGGGGGAAGTGAGGGTGAGAATAGTCAGCCGGGTTCTTCGTTGACACGAGTGGATTAGGTTGCCTGATTGATTGGGGTGCGTGACGTTCGGCGTTTTAGGGGCTTTTATATCATACGGGAGAGAATTAGGATAGTAATTATGTCACCTGCTGGAAGTTATCATATCTTTTGATTTTGATTTTTTTCTTCTTCTTTTGCTTCGTTTTTATTTCCCCCTTTTTGATATTCGCGTTTCCGAATTCCTCGGGAAGACTGTGCTGGGCTTGGACGGCAGCCGCGGGTGCTCGCGCCACATAATTAGGTTGCAGCGGGACTAACTTCTTATGCTCGCCGGTAGTCACGTGATATCATGAGCTGTCACTCGTGGAGCTAGGAGCCCGCACCCTGTGAAGGCGATGGGTGGTGGACGGCTAGTCAGCTTGCAGCCGGGGAAAGTAGCATCACTTTTGTAAAATATACGCCTTTCTTTTGCTTTATAAAAACATACTTTTTCTTGCTTCCTCGGCGGTTGGATGTCGTCCCCCCGTGTATCATACCACCCACGCCGACTGCCCTGTGTCGCTGCAACTATTGACCCCTACCAGTATCCGCTCCTCAAAAATCACCCAATGGCAGAGAGACCCCAGCAAGCGCCACTTTCTCCCCTCCCCACCCCCCGAGATCACTCGGCCATTCCCAATTGTACCGTGCGTATGATATATACATATACCGGAACCAACCACGAACCCCGATATCCGGGTGAGAACATGTGATTGTAGCATCACTTTGCAAATGAACTAATTAGAGAAGTGGGGGGATAGAAGGTTTGTTCGTCCCCATTATTATTATTATCATGAAATTGAGAAAGTATCATAAGAATACAGCCCAAAATATCATAGACGGTAACTGAAAATTACTATTCTGTCCACCCATCCTTCAATCTTTTTCCCCGGGATCATCGGTAGGTCCTTCCGGTCGATTGGGCAGTCCGCCGTGAGAGAAAGAGAGAGAGAGAGAGATCGGTTCTGGGTTCGTGTGGTGGTGAGTGACTGAGTCGGGGTTATCCTGCCATCGCGTCGTCGTCGGGTATCATGCCGTGCGAATTGTGGCTATTACTTGTGCCGTGCGACAATAGAGCACGGCGCTATATTACTGAGAGTTGGGTAAGTGAAACCCCTCCCCACATTGTGTAATCGGCGAAAAAGGAAAAAAAAAGGGAAAACCGTAAACAAGGACGAACCGGAAGGGAGGGGCTCTGGTACAGACGGTTTCTGGTCGGCGGATGGGTAGGATGGTGGTGTACGGTGCTGTACTTGCGGCGGGCAAGTCCACGGTGATCTGCGCAACCCCGGTGGTCATCGTGTGCGCGCAACGCTTCCGGGGGGAACGGGGGGATAGCCGGCGGGGCACGTTCCGATATTTCTCTGGCTTTTGACCGTCTTGTTTCATCGTTGGGGCTGTAATATAGTGATGCGGTCTCCGGGACCGTAGTGCAAGTAAGCTAGGCGGCCACCCACCCCACTACGCCTAGTAGTTGCTAGAGTAAGGACTTTCTTTCGTTCCTTCTTTCTTTTCATTTTGCGGTCTTGTCGTGTTTCTTCTTTCCGTGTTAGCACACTTTGAACTTTGCACGAGCGGAAACGGGAGGGAGGACCCGTGGAGAGGAGAAGAGGAGAAAGGCTCAATTGAATGAAAGGGTGCAATGACATGTAGGCGACTTAGGGATGGATAAATTTATGCATATTATACAGGTTTTGATTAGGTTTTGATTAATTGGGGTGGTTCATGGCTGTCATGTTTTAGACCATCCCAGTGTGCGAATCCACCTTCCGAACTGTCCACTAAAGGGTGAGGTATAAAAAGGGGCCAAGTACTCGATAGGAAATAGTAAATGGATGAAGATGGCAGGCAGGTATGGGGGGAAGAGTTCGAGTGACCATGGACAGATAGCAAGGAAAAAGCAATTTCAAACAAAAAAAACAAAAAACTCCTGTGCCTTTATCCCCTCCATTTCCCTACCGCAATCACAGAAGGAGACAAAATAAATAGGGAAAAAAATCACAATTAACCGCGAGCTGATGCAACCCAAGGGATACAAGCAAAAGTGATACAGAATAAACGCCAAGTGCAAACAGCCAAACAGAAAAGATGAAAAAAAGAGGTTGGCACCCCCGCATACTCAGACAAGAGCCGCTAGCAGAGTTAATGCAACCGCACCCCGCCTTGGCCGTTCTCGAACTCCGAATCCATCTCTGCCGGGTCATCCAAGGGAAGTATCGGCGGCGAAGCCGACTTTGCTCGCCGTTGGAACCGCTCCCTCAGTACTTGGTACAAGAATTCATACTGGACCTGACTCTGCACCATGTACATTCTTTGTTCGCGAAGCTGGTTCACCACCTCAAAAACCGGATCTTCACGCTCATCGACGGAAATAGCGCCCGCATCCATTTCGCGAAGAAAGTGGTCCAGGGTGATAAAGGTTCCTGATCGGCCAACTCCGGCGCTACCTAAAAAAAGATAAGGGTTAGGTGATGTTCAGCCTTAAAATTTTGCTCAAGAGAGTTACTAACAATGGACAATCAGCGGGTTGTGGGGGCCACTGTTCTTCTCATTGGCCAGCTTTATTGCCTCCAATAACGCGATTCGATCGTCCCCCTCGGGAACATTAAAGTCCGGCCATCCTTTAAACAACAGATGCCAGACAATCTTCTCCTTCTCGCCAACCTTCAACGAAATTTTTCGCACAGTGCATGAACTTCGCTTATCCTTGGTCTTCTCCAAAAGCCTTATCGTCGCCTTGAAACCGTCTCCAAACTCCTCATCACCATCGACAGTCCAAGGCGTATCGTCTAGCTTTTCGGGAAAGTATTGGAAGCATTTATCCCGTCCCAGTTCAAAAGTCTTCGTGAGCATGACTATCACAGCAACATCGGAAGTCTCCTGCCAGACCATTCGCCATATGTGGTTGAATTGGCCTTCCCTTGGTCCCTAAACAACGCATTAAGAAACACACGTCAGCTTAACTTCTTCAGCCCCACATCTTGGGGTAAACACCAAGGCGGCGCCACCCGCATTCCTATCACGCACCTGTGTAGCGATATACCGCTTTACCAACCCATTCCGACCCTTCAAAACTATCGGGGAAGCATTGATATAGTCACAGTGTTCCGCGGGCACCCGTAGTCGTATTCGGTTACTGTCCCAGGCTGCAATATTGGAGTATCTATTTCGCTCCGTGACTTCATCGCTATCGTCGATTTTCCACTGCGTATCTTCGCCGGGGCGGCGGCTCTCATGCAGCCGCTCTTCCTGTAATAGTTCCAGCATCCGATATTTCCGTCGGATTTCTACCGGAGTGAAAAGAAATGTTAATCTCCTGTCTTCACGTGATCAAGAACTCGGGTTTCCGGGGAAGATGGTGGAAAAGCGAAGATAAAGACAAAAGGAGGAATATCCAATTCCACTCACCGGCAATCGCTAGGGTCAAAAAAATTGGTATTCCCTTCTCTCTTGAGCGGCCCTGGCGAAATCGTGATCGAGATGAGCGTTGTGACGATCTTGCTGAGCTTGTATTGAGGGAAGCGGGATGGTGGTGAAGGGATTGGGACCCCGCCCTCAAGATATGGGTACTCATTGGCATTAGAGCGTGTAGAGGGGAAAGTGGTTCAGGCAGGTTGAGAGATATTATTTTGGTGGAGAGAATAGTAGGATTGGGACGAAGGGGGATGAAGGGATGGAGTAGGTGCTAACGGGATGGGTGAATGAATTTGATTTAATTTAATTTAAAATTATTTTTTTGGAGGGGGGGGTTTGCTGTGGGCGGATAGGTGGATGAGCGAGAAGATGGCTGGAGATAGCAGAGATGGGGTGTTCAAGATGACCGTTCAGGATCAAGATGGGACGGGGAAGGAGGCCCCTTTTGACGGACAGATCACGATGGCTCGCGGCAGATCGCGTGCGTTACTGTAGGTGTGCCAGAGGCAAAGCGAGTTTGAGACAGGTGTGGGAGGGAGAGGATCCCACGCCCCAAATTTGGAGGGTGTGGGGCGGCGAGCAAGAAGGGGCTGATTGAGGAGGACGTGCGTGCCCCTGCAAGTATTTCCTGCTTGTTGCGGGAGAAGAGCAGAGATCTGAACGGCCGGAAGGTCGACTGACTGACGCTGCCGGGGGCTACCGGTAGTCGAGGATAGAAGCTGCTGTACCCAGAAAGCGATTTCCAGCAACCCAATGATTCACGCCGTCCTCTCCCTGTATCTTCCTGCAAACAGGCTGACGGAAGAAAATGAGAGAATTGAGTGGGCGATATATCGAGACAGTAATTGTCTACCCTTCCTGCCCGTTCTGTCAGTGTCCGTGGCACTGACTGAGTAACTAGGTGACTGACTGATTGAGTGCTTTTAACGCTACTCTACTACTGCAGGCCTTTGCTTTTTTCCCCTCCCCTTCTGCCTACCGGATTTCTATTTTTTCTTCTTCTTTTCTTTTTCCCTCTTGTTGGGGGAGGAGGCTCTTGCACGGGTTCCCAGGGTACTCGTACCGTGCTCCAAGGAGGGTTGTCGGACGGATTTCGGGTGGGCACAGAGGCCAACCTTCTTCTTCTTCTTCCTGGCTGGTGAGATGGGTGATTGCTTGATTCTCCTGCTTGTTGCTGCTGCCGGTTGGAGGCCCGCACTGTAAACAACAACCAGTTGTCGTGCTCGTGGTGAATGGAATGGACCGAGTTGGGAATAGCGGTGGAGGGGTTTCTGCGGTGAAGCAAGTATGAGGATTATGGAGGGGGAAGGGAAGTGGGAATATATATACACCGTACCCCAGGGATGAGGCTAAGACGAGGAAGGGCAGGTAGGAGTGGAAGGAGGAATGGGAGGGAAACAATATCACAGGAAAAGGAGGCAGACGAATGCACTGGCGGGAGGGGAGAAGGATTGGGAGTAAACAGACCCAGACACAACAAGAAGCAACAGGAATACCGCAGTAAATGAATGAGGGCCAAATGACCATTCATGTCCTCCGAAACAGAAACCATTCCCGCTGTCGTTCCATCATCACCAGGCAGATTGCAGGGTCGCTTAGGAGCTTTCACAATCCTATCGCCACCTCCCATCCACCCATCACCATCATCATCATCATCATCAACAAAGCAGAGCCTCAAATAATTACGTCTGGTGTGGGTTTGTTACCATGGGTGGACTGCTGTGCGTTACCGCCCTCACGCTTGGGGAGAAAACGGGGATAATAACTTCACATCCTCACCAACATCGGGCCTCACATTCGCTGCCTGCTCGGGGGTGGGCAGAGAGAGAGATGGACGCCATGTTCTTTCCTTTCCCCCCTAGCCTTCTTGTCAACAGGATTGGCGGGAACGAGCCGGGGGGATGGCATCGGTCCAATGATTCGTCCCAGATGAGATGCACCGAAAAACAATTGTCCCCTCCGGCCTTCGCCCATCCCATCCTCGCCACGGTATTGTTGTTTCATTTTTTTTCGTGCGAACACAGCCTCCGACATCCGGTTCTGCGCTCACACTCTGTCCAGCCCACCACCACCCGTAGGAAAACAGTCCAGAAATTAACGGTGGTAGGAGAAGCAGCTGTTCGTCCTGCCTATCAGAGCTTGTTACAGCGTGGGGAGCTCGTATGGGTCATGGCCTTCTTACTTGTAACTACGTGTAAAGTGCAGACATCGGTTGGGTGCAGCACAGACAAAAGCACTTTTTTTTTATTTTATTTCTCCCATACCCTACCCTACCATTCCCGTGCTGGCCATCAGTCCCGAAGCCCTGGGACAGGACCCTTGCCCATCCATTTTTATTTTTTCTCCAAGGCTCTCTCAGTCTTCAGAGTCTCTGGATCCCCAAAACCGATCCGGTATCATACTGTCATACTGTAATACCGGTAGTATCGGATGCGGTTGTCCAAGGAACAGGTTACTTTCCCCCCTTCCATGCCTACTTTCCCATCCCTTCTCCCTCCCTTCTTTTGTGACGACATGCCCCGTGTGCGTAGCATGGCACTGGGCGGTGGGGCCAGTACCGTAGCGGAGCACCGGTAGGCTTTCCTGAAGTGTCAGAGGTCTCTGGTGCGGCAGGGCCCATAATATATTGTACTATGCTAGTACAAGCAGCGCACCTGCACTGGCATTCGTACTTGCGGGCACATACATTGCTCCCTCATCGTTTCGGGATACACCCGTATCTTCACTTCATCGCCATCTCACTGACCGCCTTCTCTCAAAAATCACCTCCGTCACTTTCCGCCTGCTCGAGTTGAAAACCTCATTTGCGGGGAAACTGCACGTGGCGATGGTTCGGGTGCTCCCCGTTTGGCGGGCAGTTCGACAGTCGGAAGAATCACACTAATCTACTTGTGCTTGACTCGTGCGTCCACCAATCACAGTGGCCCATGAAATGCGCGCTGGCTATGAAATAACAAGGCCATTGTGGGTTTTGATGCAGCCATGCTGTAAGGTTCCGTTGGGAAGCGTGTTTCGGGCTTTCCTGAGGCGCCCTCGTGCTGAAAAGTGCGCAGGACCTGTCTGCTTGTTTTTTTTGGTTTTTTTTTTGTGTGAGACTGTGGTCAAAAATTTTTCTTTCCGTAGGGTGATGGACTACGGTACCGTGCCTGTACTCGAGTACAGTACCGCATGATACGGTACCTTTGGCAACTCCAACCCTACCATTGCCTGATTACCATAACTTGATCACCGCCATCAGCCTGGAGTAACTCAACTCAACTTACGATAACAATTCGCAAGCCATCCACCGAGGAGCAAGTTATAGGGAGAGGAAGAACCATCATCCGGCAAAATCGACAACACCAGCCACTAATACAACACAAACCACACCAACCACCAGAAAGTGGTCATCGTCATCATCACCACCATCCCCACTGTCATCTGATCCAATTCTCCTCAAGATCCAAGGAAAGAGGATGGGCCTGTGGATACGTGTCTTCGAGGTGCGTTAACCTACCCCGCTCTTTGCCCTTCCCTTCCTACAGCAGGAACTGCGGATCTGCAATGAGGAATAAACCCCACTTCCCTCAACAGCCACAACGTAGCGCTGACGCTTCACATAACGGCTCAGGCATGGCTCGTAGCAAGAGTTGAGTTCTAACCCCTCCTTTAGAAGAGAGAAAGGAAAAGGAAAAGGAAAAGGAAAAAGAAAAGAAAAGGAATCACAACAAACCCGTCTCCCCTTCATCCCTCCAACACCTCTCTCGCCACCCAAGAGAGTCTGCCCACATTACGCATTACCGTGGGCGGTGGGCTCTGCTCTGCTGTATCATCATCACTGCCAGCCTGACCCAGCGAGCATCAGTTGCGGTGGGCTCAACCGTCTCTCTCTGTGGCCCGTGTGACGTGGGGGATATGGCTGGAGCACTGTGCTGTACGGGATAGGTTTTACTGACCGAATAGTTACTACGGAGCCCTTCCTTTCACCGGGCGGTGGCCAGAATGCACGGCCGTTTGACGGGAAAGGGGCAGGTGGAGGATTACAGTGAGTTGGGCGGTACAAAACTTCAAGGTTCGTACATTTTTCGTTTTATTCGCACCTGCCACCTGCACTTTTTCTACTGCTATAATTTCCCTGCGCGTGTTTCGCGCGTGGTCAGTTCGTTTGGCTATGCGGATGATGGATTTTGTTTGGAGGATAATTTTTTCGAAGGCCGAGGGAACTCCTTTTTTTTTTCCGGCTAACGGTTACTAATTGGTTGGATCCTATCGACGCTTAGACAAGGGCGAGCATGGCTTTAAGAAATTCATTGATATTTATATTGATGAGTTTAAGAACAACTTCAAACGATGATTAGACTGGCACTCTTACTCCGGGCTTTCCGCTTGCTTTTTATAATGGTTTAATGGGATGTTCTTATTTCTAGTGCATATGCCCTACTGGTATACTGTACTGTGCTGTGCGATGCAGTAACTGTACATATTGTATAACATGCAGGGCTTGTGGGAGTCGGGCGTTTTGGATCATTATCCGTTTGGATGCTATCTTTACCCGCACTGCACGAAACATCTCTGCTCGTATTACATTTCCCGCTTGGGCTTTTCTTTAACTCTGAATTTTCAATCATTTTCCTTTTCCTCTTTCGCCCCCCTTATTTCAGCTTGAACGGACATTAAATTGGGCTCTTTTGACCACACCCAGTCATTTGGCTCTCATTCCGTCCGAAGAATAAAACTCTCCCTCCAGGAACGCGAAGCCACCTTCTTTAATTGTTTACACTACAATCTGGAGATTTTCGTTAGGATGTTTAGATGGTCCGTTCCTGGCACATTCCGCACTGTGGGTACGGTAGGCTGTCACCGCTGACTGGCTTTTGGCGTGAGTACCAGTGCCGCGGTAGAATTAAGTTATTCGTCATACCGGTAATTGTTGTACGGAAAACAATCATTTGAAATCAAACAACCAAAAATATCGGCACCGCTTACTTTTTGACAATCGAATTGACTTGCTTGCTTTTTCTAGCGTCACAAGTGCTGTGAAAGCTCGTGTTTCGCCAGGGTGGCTCTTTTCTTTCTTTCTTTTTTTTTTTGTAGTTCAGTACTCGTAAGGATCCGGCCGATCACATCCCAGACGCGGCTAGCCCGCCCTTGCGAAATAATGCCGAGACATTCGGCTGTCGTCTATGCTGCAGATCTCGACGTTCTCACTCCTGAAGTTTACCTGTGCCTCACCGTTAACCCCATCGACGACGTCATAACGCCGTGATGCTATTTCTCTTTTGTTTATCTACAATAGACTAGCGATAGCACCGAGGTTGGATTGTAAATAGAGAGGTTCCGTCTCCACCGAGCCCCAGCGCAACAGGTCGAATTGGAACGAAGAAAGGGAGAAGAAAAAGAATATGATACCTTACGATACCACCCCGCCCCCCGAATGCACCATACCCTTTTCGCCATAACCAACCAACCAGTCAAACGCCACGGTATCATAATATTATAATACCCTAAGAAATCGTTACCGCAGCAACAGGCATAAACCATAGACCTATCACTGCCCCTCGGAAATCTCCTCGCATCTCCGATCCCGATTTAGAGTGTTGGACAAGGAGGATATTGCGACTTTTACACTCAGGACATGGAGAAACCGACGGGCGAGATGGGTTTTATAGGGGTGTTGGCCGTAATCCCATGCGGCCGCCGAATTTCTGGTGCAACTAGGGGGTTACCGGTATATTCTGTGATCGGGATTGGGTGTGTCTGTCCCGCACTGTAGCCCCCTCATGCCCCATGTTACAGGTTGTTTGCTGAATGGTTATTTTCGGTTGTGCTCGCGGCGGGTTCGTCCTTGGACTAGATACTGGAGTTTGTTTGCTAATGTGCGTCTCTTTTGCAGGAGGTTATGATACATGGATATTGGTACGGCATTGGCTGCTTGTGCAGCTTTCTGCTATGAACTGAGTGAGCTGTTGTTCTTCCGCGGGAATAAGACCTTGCTGGTTGGGACGGTAATGGCTATCCGAAGCTTGTTGCTGATGATTTCCCCCCTTCCGTGAAGAGCTTTTATGGGAGGGGAACGTACCGACTCTTGTTAATACCCCCAAACTTTGAGCCAGCTGCTAAACATCGTGAACGGTAATCCAGAAACTTGGACCTAAATCGGCCGCGCCCAGAAGCCTGCTTCGGTACCCGCACCCCACCGTATCAGTTCTCCCGTCAGGGTCCCCTACTTTCTAGTACTCCCCTGCCCCCTGCTCCACCGATTGAAGCGCGTGCTAGTATTGCCAGGCGTGTTGGTGGGATTCCGAGAACAGCTCTGGAGAACCGTGTTGTCCTTGCCAGGCGGGTCAACGAGAGGTTAATGAGGAAGATTGTCAACAGGAGTGGGGGGGAAGGTTAGGTGTGATGGGCTAGGGAAAGCCGCGTGGGGATTTGCAGACTTTGGGCTCGGAAGACGGTGCAGCATCGTTGCTAGTATGGTCGGGATTATTATGTGGGTATATGAAGTCCCCTCCAGAGCAGCGGGCCGTACTCCCCGAGCTTCTCCACAACCAATTCAGCTCTAGCCTTCCCCTTGAGCTAGATACTATGATGTGCAGTAGGGGCTGGCACTCGAGTAGAGCGCCCGGGCCACAGCTGCAAGAAAAGCTCCCCCCCTCCCGAAGTCTCGTTCAAAAACCTACTCTTGCCACCAGATAAACCCGGACATCTGGTAAATTATCCCGAGTAGTCTTTTAGTTCGACGTCTGGGCTCCTCTTTGATCAGAGGGGAAAAAGACCAAATAACCAACCAACCCCGAGTGATTTAGCGTGACCATACTAGATATCAGAGGTGGATAAAACACCACCCTTATCATTGCTCTCAGTAGAAAGGCTTCGCCCATAAACCTTGAGCAGTGTGGGCAGGCTAACTGGGTTACAGGCAATAGCTCTCGCCACAACGAGCTGGTGGTGCCAGGGGCTTGCGAGAAGAGAGAGTACGGTGAAGGGGTCAAATCCGATAGCTACGCGTTTATGAATACGGCATTCTACAAAGATATTCCACGCATGACACGCGACCAAATATTAGAGTTGTAATACTGTCCATATCGGGCACTTTTCCTCCCGAGGATTACATTGTGATCAACATCCCCCCCCAGAACCCCCTCCAACCCCGTACTGGTAGGCATCGCCCCGTTTGGGGGGGCTATTGAGACTATGCAGTATGCTTACTTTCACAACCATTTCCAATTCCCGTTGTTCACCGAAACGCAGATCAACTCATCTGGCGAGAGCTCAAGTTGCTATTCCAGAGCTATCACTTGGCTCGCTTCCTTTTTACAAGTCTGCGTGGAAAGAGGGGTTTTGTGCTCACCACAGATAGGCTACCGGTGTGTGGTTCGTTGCCCGTGAAAATCAATAGTCTGTACCCGATCCTTGTTTATACACGGACAACCGCTCCATCAAACCTTGCTTGAACGAGCCGCACTTACTTCCCATAGCCCCTCGGCACTACTGGAGACGCCGGCCTCTAGGGGTATTTGATTTTGGGCGATAGCCATCAACATAACTCTTGATTTTGGCGAGTAGTGGCACTCCGGGGGAAGGCTACCTGTTGGGTTTTCCTCCGATGGATGTGTGGCCATGAATACCGCGACTGCACACACGAGGCTTGGTCCACAGTCCAACTGACCGACTGCTCTTTGCTGACAACACTTGGGGTGACACTCGAACCCCCATCTGGAGAATACATCGGATCGAAGAGTTTGAGATAATGCAGCTGGACGCTTATCTATTGGTCATCGCCGCAATGTCTGGAAAGCTACTGACCGCTCGACGCTAGGCGTGGGTCCACAAAAACGCCCCAATAACACCCGATCAACATTCAACTACACAGACACCTGCCTCGCCCATATAGAAGCCCAAACGTCAAACTGCCGATGCAATCCCTGCTTCGTTTTTGATGACACAAGCCTAATATCTCTGCATTCGGGATACCACGGGAGAGCATCGCCGAAACGAGATGCTCGGAAACGGTCTGATATCGAAGCGACTCGCTGCCATAACCGATCACTTCGCGTGGACTATGGAAGTGAGGCGTTGTCCTCGATGGATACGATAGCAGCGAACGGGCATGATACCCGTAACGGAAAGCTCTGAGACCTGTTTGTGCAAAAACCCCACCACTAGCAAGAGCTCCCTCCCTCCGATATGTGCCGATTGTGTACAGTAGTTGGAGACTTTAATGCGGGGATTCTTGATGGCGATGCGGAATGGGGGCGGGGGCTTGGCTTTGTACTTGCTTTTTCTCTGCTCTCCTTTTGTTCTGTTTCCCCTGAGCGTGGTTGGAGGGGGGATGGATGGATGCATACGTACTCGAGTACATACACGGTGTCAGTTGACAGCTGTATTACTCGTTACGTCTTGCGTGTACGATAAGAGCATGAGGGTGAGACAGAAAGGCGGCGGTGGGCGCTCATGTGAAATCACAGTTTGTCACTCGGCTGTTTGGCTGCGAGTTGGGTGGAGATTTGGTTAGTCTGTGTTTGGTGGAGGCTGTCCATGGAAAACATATATTACGTCAATTTTTGAAAAATTTCCCGCGCTCGGCTGGTCTAGTGGTATGATTCTCGCTTAGGGTTCACTCTAAGTCTATATGCGAGAGGTCCCCGGTTCAAACCCGGGGTCGAGCCAGCTCTTTTCGCATTTTTCCCGTTTCGTATGATATCTGAATCCGTGGGGATTTTTATTTATTTATTTTTTAGTGGCCTATGGTACAGGCCGGGAAAGCTTTCTCAAGGCGTCGGCCCGATTTATCTCCAGCCTTTCCACTTTTTATTTCTATTTTTTTTGATTTGTGTTATGCGAGTGCGAGGCTCAGGGGTTAAGTATTTTGTGACGTATGTTACCGTACCGGTACCGTATGGTGCCGGCACCTTAGAATCAACCATCACGACAACCGAACTTTCCCAACTTTTCGGCAGGCAACAACAATGTCACATATCATTATTTTACTTATTCCTTCTGTATAATCCTCCTAAAACATATGAAGAACACATTTACAGAGCAGATTTTATCCAAGGGGTGTGGTTCTTTCTATAATAGCTGTTAAAGTTGAGGCAAAATTTGGGTGGAGCAAGGAGGTTGGCACTTGTGTGTGAAAAGTAAGTTTTTGCTGAGTAATACACCAACACATTGCCTAAAGCAGTATGGTCAGATACTACATTAGGACTAGTGCCCAGACCCGGATGGCACTGAGGGTCGATTCTAAGGTGCCGGCACCATACCGTTCTGAAACCTCCTCAACTTCACCCATCAACCCCCCCCCCCAAGGTAAACGTCGGCTGAGATGGCCGGCAATAAGAAACGCCGCAGCAACAACGAGGGCTTGGATCCCAAATCGATCAAAAAGAACAAGGTTTGCGCGTCCATTGACCGTTTCCGAATATCAACCGCTATTATATCTGATGATGCTGATCACTGAGCAATCGAGCCAGACCAAAGAGTACTGGAAGAACCAGGCGAAAGCCAAGTACCACAGCCTCAACAGCATTGAGGAAGGCTCGCAGGGTATATTTGCTACCTGTGACAGAGGCCGAGAAGCAAGATGCGTCGAAGAGATGTACAGATTGTTGGAGCAGGTGGGGCGCGAACCTATGATACCCCTCCTCCTTTTTCTCTCCAGTCGGAGCGGCCGAAGAGCTCACAACTGGTTTGGTGCGACTCTAGGTCGCCTCTGAGCTTTATGGCCTTGACCTGCCCGATGACAAGGACGGCGAGGGTGAGGACGAGGATGAGGATATCGAGGCGTCGATCCAGAAGGAGATTGATGACCTGAAGGGAGCCAAGTCCGAGAAGCCGTTCATCTCGGTAAAGCTCGATGTCGAGTGTGGTGGGGGATATTTTCCCTTCCCTTTCTACCTTTCACTTATCTGTCGATCGGGGTAATGTTGACGAATGGCCTGGTCAATGCTTAGTTGTCTTCTTCCGTCTGAAACCCCCTTGCGAACCAACTGCCATGGTCGGTGCGCTCTGTGCCGGCACTGTGGAGAACCGTCTCAAGAGCCGATACGTCCATCGCCTCACACCGGTCACTCGGATAGGCAGGGCGAACGCTGAAGGCCTGGAAGCCGTCGCTAAGGAGGTGCTTCCTCCCCACTTTCACCAAGGTGAAGACTGCATCAAGGTGTGTTGTGCCTTTTGTCTTTGGAAGAAAAAGAAAGAAAAAGAAAAAGAAAAAAAGTGATATCGACCCGAATTCCGTTCGTCGGGAAAAGGAAAGGGTACGAGTACAGTACTGTAGGTGTTTGATTTTTCGGTTACTGAAACTTGGGTAATTGCGCTCTTTTTGTTTTTCTTTCCCTTTTTAGTTCGCTATTAAACCGACTTCGCGCAACCACAACCATTTGAAGCGAGAGCAGATCATCAAGATTGTAGCAGACGTTGTCGGAACAAAGCACAAAGCTGATCTAAAGAATCCCGATTTACTCATCTTGGTGGACTTTTACCAGGCAAGTGACTCTCCATGGTTGTCTTTCCCCCCGTTTACCGGTACTACCATGCCACATCACATCACATCACACCCCCTTGTGATATTGCCATTAGGCGTCTTTTCCGATATATCCCTTTGATTATCTCGTTCTCCTGTCCAGAGCCACAGTACTACAGGTGCTGCAGCTGCACTATGGCGCTACTTCTGGTTCAATTCCTGCTTATGGATATTTCCCTCCTTCCCTTCTTCCCTGCTTTCCGCGTGATATCTTGTGGTCGTGCATACGGTATGAGGAAATTCGGGTTCTGGCTAACCGGGCGGCGCAGGGTATTTGCGGGATGAGTGTTGTGAGAGATTGGGAGACTCTGAAAAAGTTCAATTTGGCTCAATTGCAGGAGTCCAAGACAGATAAGAAGGAGGGCGGAAGTGAGGGTGTGACCACAATGGCGTCCAGGGTCGCAACGACGACGATACCCTCGTCGGCACCAGCAGTGGAAGTGCCCGCGGAGAAGTCTTGAAAAAGTGAGGGTAAATAATGTTGGAGAAATACTTGTATGTAGCCTAGCTTACCGGTACCCCTTTGCCCGCACTGGAAGCAAAGGTGGAACCGAAGACAAATAGCAACCAGGTTTATTATTCCTGCGGGAGTCTTGCCGTCCCGTACCCGCACATTGTGACTCCAGGGGGGAGAGAGGGAAGGAAGAGGGAAGATACTGTTCAACAATGATGGATACCGGCGGAGCGCAATTTGTCCGATACCCCATAGCTACCTTTCGGCCATATACTCATCTTATGGGGAGGAGGATACCATAACCTCACCGGCACACCAGCGACACAGAAGACCCCTTCTCATCCCATCCCCTCCAGACCCAGTCTCAAGCCCAAGAAACACGCCAGCCATTTAGCACAAGTAATCAATCACCCGCACCAAAGAAAGTGGCCACGAATTAGCAAATTTTACTCGTACAGTAGGCACTGCAAAGCATGACATGGTACTTGTATACTCCAAATATCGTATAATACTCTGTACGAGCAGATACAACCATGACCCCTTCCAGATACGGTACCGGTACTCGAGTAGAGTATTCCCTTCCACCCCCCCGGAAAAAAAAAACTGCAACGTTACACGAAAATAGACGATTCCGCCTGGGTACCCAAACCCTTATCCGGAAATGTTTGGCGAATTGGTTCGTGGTCCGCCCGCCCGCCTGCCCGGTTCGTTCTGTGTCGTTCGGCAATGGTTGGCAGCGGTACGGAATCGCTCCGGTTGGCCAACCGCCGTCATCGACGATACCTGTACTGTACGTGTACTCGCAGTACTAGTACTCGCAGTATAGTACAAGTACGGTAGCGGTAAATTGACGGGGGGGGGGGGGGGTCCAGAGTTTGAAATGGAATTTTCCTTTTTTGCTTATGATGCTCGCTTACGGTACTGTACTGTACTCATACCGGTAGTGTTTTCACCAGTTCGTAATTCGCAGGTGTGGAAGGCGGTATGAGTGATCGGCCGGAGTACGGTGCTAGTACTGTACTGTTATACAGTATGATATTCGTTCCATTTGCGCTATTAAAACTACTGGCAGTTCTTATATTATACCGTACACACCCGTTCTTTTCTCCTTTCTCCTTTCTCTTTTTTCTTCCTCACTCACTCACGATAACGTTCGTATCCGGGGGTTACGTTACTGCCGAATTTGTATGATACTCGCACTTTACGGTATACTGGTATATATCGAGTGGATGAGTGCCGTTCTTGCCTGCAACCAACTCTTGGCCGATGCTTGAAGGGTGAAAGGTATGGGTATCTCTCCTTCCCCTCCACTTACCTTTCCATATTTCGTATGTGCGGTGGGTACTTACTATAGGAATGGGGACTAGAGAGAGAGAGAGAGAACTCGGCTCGATCACAAAATCTCACCCGCGACTAGCGTACTCGAGTACTGCACGACTGGACTGGACTGGACTGGACCAGACTAGACTAGAACTAAACTTTGATCGAGACGATGGTTCAATCACCCGCTGCGAACGACGTCCCGGTGGCACCAGGTAGTAACGGTAGTAGTAGTGGTAGTGGTAGTCCCTCCGAACTCCAGCAGATCCTGAGTAAGGCTCTACAACCCACTACTACTGCTGTCCCGACAATAACAAGCGTGACGGACCTCTCGACGACACGGACCTGCAATTCGTCGTGCAAGATCGCCCTCTCGACCGGTGATTCCTACATCCTCAAGATCTCCCCGTCCCCCGAGACGCGAGTTCTCCGCTACGAGCGCGACATTCTAGAATCCGAAGCGGACGTTTTGCGACTGTTATTGCAACAACAACAACAGCAGCAGCAGCAGGGAGAAAGGAATGGGAGGAGAGAAGAAATAATCCCAACGATAGCGGTTCCGAAAGTGCTCTGCTATGACGATGCCCGCAGCATAACGGACTCGCCATACATACTACTATCCTACATCCCCGGCGTGAGGTTCAGCGCCGCGAGGGCCGACATGAGCAGCGGACAGGTGGAGAGGGTGGAGAGGGGAATGGGTCGATACCTGCGCTCGCTGGCTGACATTCCCCAGCAGCAGCAGCAGCAGGAGGTGGGGGGATTCGGGCGCGCCACGAGGGGTGCGAAACGATACCCTCTGTGGCGGGACGCTTTCTCCGCCCTGGTCGAGGCGGTGTTGAGCGATGGGGAGGAGGTGCTCGTCTTGTTGCCCTACCAGGAGATTCGCCGCCAGGTGCTTTTCTGGTCGTCCGCGCTCGACCAGGTCCTTACACCTGCGCTCGCCGTCCTGGATTTCGACGATGGGGCAGTGTTGCTGGGGACCGGGGATCTGGACATCGTGGGGGTTGTGGACTTTGAGAGGGCTGGTTGGTATGATCCGCTGCTGTGCGCTGCGTGTTTGAGGCCTTCGCCGGCCTTTGTTGAGGGGTATGGGGCCGAGGCGCTGGATGCTGGGGGGGCGAAGGTTAGGAGGTTATTGTGAGTTCTACTTTTATTGGCTGTTCTAGGTGTTTTTTTGTTTTTTTTTTGCTTTTGCTTCGTGGGGTGGGATGTTGATTGATTGATTGATGGTTGGTGTAGGTACTCTTGCTACTATGCTTGCGTTAAGGTTGTCAGCGCTTACTATCATGGAACTGGGAACTTTGACGAGATGGAGGAACGGAAGAACCTAATGAGTTCTCTGAATGAATTGGTGAACCTGGCTGGGCAATAAATACACTACCAGACAATATTCTCTGCGCTACGAAAGATCAAAAGAAACGGTGTAATGGTGAACCAAGACGGAACATACATAGTTAGATCTTGGTGAAATTCATAGAGCTTGCCTCAAGATTGCCAAAAGAGGGCATTGCACCGTACAGTACACATCCAAACACCCACCTTGAGGAAAGAGAGAAGAAAAACATGCAAATGCGGGTACCGTACAACAACTGGCTATGTTACATAAGTGTAATGATAATAAAATAGGGATCGGGAATGAACAAGTCAAGCAACCTGAGACTTAATACAATCATTAAGTTCCCTCTCCCACAAAAACATGAAATAGACCGGAGAAAGAAAAAAAGGGAAACCCAGTATTCAATATCATTAATCTAAACCTCCGCATTCTCCATCCTCCTCACTCGTTCCAACGACTTGACCAGAGAGGTCTTTAACTCTTTGTTCGCCGACCATGACCGTTGAAGTTTACTACATGCACAGATTAGCGAAAAATGTAAATCGGACGAGGAACTCGTCAGTCATCCACGACTGGGTTAAAATTTGGGGCGAACCTCATACGGATGGTGGCAATAATTGTCTGTACCACCGACCTTAATGCTGGTCGCTTCTCGCGTATATAGCGGTCAGGGAAAATCCCCATCTGTTCTATTAACTGCATGTTTGCCTCATTGCTGCAGGGAGAAAAGGTTCGTCACAAATCAGCCACCAGAACCTTTTAAGCGTGGAGTTACTCCGCGGAGCCGGCGTAATATTATCAAGGCGGGGCAGGCCATAGCAGCTGTCCATCACGAAGATAAGAGAGGAGGGAAGGGTGGATTACTCACCAGGCACTGTAGAGATTGATTTGCATTAAGAAGAAGTTCTTGCTGAAGGAGAGGTCTGCGCGGAATCCAGCCTCGCGAGCTACCTTGGCTCGGAGATATCGGATCTGTTTTGCGAGGCCTTTGATCTCGCCCCTGTGTCGCTCGTCCGCATCCTGGGCAATCTTCTCGAGAGCCTTGACTTCACTACCAGCCTTCGTATTCTCCCGCCTGCTGGTGCTTTCTGAAAACCGCACCCTCTGCTTGATCGCCTTGCGTTCCTCGTCCCAAGCGGCCTGAAGCTGAGCAGTCCTCTCAATGGCACGTTGATACCGCCGAGTGATTTTCTTCAATTCCTCGTTTACATTGGTGGATTGCGTGTCCTGTTGCTGCTTCTCCTTTCGGAGCGACCTTATCTGCGCATCGAGCTCCTTCTCGCGCTTGCGGCGGCCGCGGATTTCCTCCTCTCTGGCACTCAATTGAGATTGCAACTGCTCGATCTCAAGGGTGGCAGATTTGATGTGTTCATGTAGCTCTTGCCTCTCCTCGGCGACCTCCTGCTGTGCGGTTCGGGTAACCTCCGAGTTCTTGAGATGCTTGTTCAGTTGGACGTCATGCAGCTCCCGTTCCAGAGAATGGATCCGCTTCCTGAGGTCGCCGATTGTAGTGCTGGCTTGGAGGTTCTTCGCAACCAGGGCGTCATTGCTCTCCCGGATCTCATTGATTTCCTGTTCAAGTATTGATCTCTCGTATTCGACCTGGTCATGCAAAGTTTTTTGATCATCGACCTTTCTTTGTAATGATCTTGTCTGGGACCGGAGTTCCCGAGCTTGCCCATTGGCACTACTAAGTTGGCGCTTCAATTCCTCGACCTCGGACTTTCTGCTGGAGCGAGGTGATCTTCCGTTTGGCGACAAAGAGGCGGCAGCAGCATTCTTAGCCTCCATAAGCTCTCTCTCGAGTTTGTCGATCTGTGATCGCAATTCACGAGCAGCTTTCCTGCTTGCCGACTCCTTTTGAATTGTTTCATTCTCCCTCTTCCTCGACTCTGCCAATTCGGCCCGGAGAACCTTCAATTCCACATCTGACCCTCCTCCATCTTGCCCGTCGGCCTTAAGTAGCTGCTCCATTCTGGACTCTAGACGTGCGACATTGCGCTGGGCGGCTTGCTGATCATGATCACGGGCATCAGTGATAGCCTTCAGCTGTGCCTTTAATTCCCGGGCTTGCTTCTCGAGTTTATCCTCCAACTTCTGAGCCGAATCGAGAGCATCCCCAAGCTGGGCTTCCAAATCGCCTGCTTTTTGTTCAAGAATTTCTCGCTCGTCGCTCACTCGTTGGAGATTGAGTTCAAGTTTGTTCTTACTCTTTCTCAGTTCCATCTTTTCTTGATCATAGCCCTTTGTAACATCAACTTGATGTGACAATTGCTGCAGCTGGCTTTTGAGCTCGTCACGTTCGGACTCAATCTCCATCGATGTGGTTTTGAGAGTATGGATCTGAGAGTTAACCTTTGCGAGTTGGTCTTGGAGGTCGTGCTTGTCCTTCTGAATCGTCTCTAATCGTCGGTTGGCATCTTTGAGATCGGCCTTAAGTTGACCCTGAGCACTCGCCTCGGCCTCCAAATCTCCTTTGTAGGTTTGAATATCAGCGCGTGCACTGGCGTGCCGGTTCTCCAAGCGAGTGAGTTCTAGTCTAGTGGCATTGAGCTTCTGACGGAGTGTTTCGACTTCGGCTCTGGCAGTATTGACTTGCTCTTCTGCATCCTCGTTCACCTCATCAAGCTGAGCACCAAGTAGCTCAACCTCGTCGTCAAGGGCTTTGACCTTCTCGTCCAGCACTCTTTCGGCCTTCTTTACCACTCGGCACTCCTCTTTAGCAGCTTGAAGCTCAGCAGCCTTAAGATCGAATGCTGCCTTTCGGTCTTCAATCTCGTCTTGGAGTTCCGCAATTTGCCCTTTAAGAACATCCTCCTCCGCCTTGTGTCTCTCATTCTCAGACTTGAGAGCATCGTGTAGCTTAGCCTCCTTCCCTTGGACCGTATGCTCGACTTGCTGAAGGTGCTCAATGGTCTTCTTCAAACCATCTGCTGTTGCTTCCGCCTTCTGGATCTTGGCCTCAAGCTGACGCTTCTCGGTGCTCCAATTAGAGACTGCACGCTCACGGCGTGACTCCTTCTCCTGAACCTCCCTCTCAAGTTGCTCCAATTCGTTGTTCAGAGCATTCTTGTCGTCTTCCCATTCGCCTCTCAAAGCTTGCTCGTTTGACGCCGCAAGTTGCCTCTCCGTATGAAGCGCCACATTCACCTCTTGAACAGCAAGCTTTAGCTTCTCAACTTGCTTCTGAAGGTCTTGAGATTCATCCGTTAGAGCATCGTGGCGGATATGGAGAAGATCCTTCTCAGAGGCAAGGTTGTGAAGATCTAATTTGACCTTTCGGAGCTCGGCCTCGAGCTTAGTACGCGACCTCACCGCTTCCTCTTTCTCACGCTTGAGATTATCAACTTGCCTCTGTAGAACCGCAAACTCACCCTCAATGTCACCATCCCGTTCGCTGAGCCTTGCCTGCAGTCGCCCCACTTCCTCACTCTTCTCCCGATGCGATTGTTGAAGGTCTTCGTACTCCTGGCGGATATGCTCCAGCTGGTTCTCCAGTTCTCGGTATTGACCCTCACGCGCTCCGATATTGCCCCTATATGTAAAGCTGCGATCTCGGATGTCATCCCCCAGCTTTTCGACTTCGCTCTGGAGATTACGTTTCTCTGTGCTGAGGTTTCTATTGTCCGATTCAAGTCGGCGGTTCTCAGCTTCCACCCCCTCCTTCGTCTTGATAAGTTCTAATTTCCCAGCCTTTGCATCGTCGAGGGTGTTTTGGAGATTCAACATTTCCTACCAAAAACTATTAGTTCAAATCTCAGACACGTCTTCAGGGGAACAAATCACCCTCTCCATTTCTTTAATGGTTTGTTCGGCTTGTCGTAGGGCTTCATCCTTCCTCGCAAGAGCTCCATCTCTATCGCCAGCCCTTCCTTCCAATTCCCCTTCCAAAGCGGTGACCCTCTTTTGAAGAGTCTCTGCCTCCTGCTCCAAGTCCTTGATTCGGTCGTCACGGGCTTCAATATGTTCCTCAACACCTTCCATCTGCTCCTCCCGCTCGTCAAGGGCCCTTTCTTTCTCATTCAATTCGGTTTCCAAGTCGACCTTCTCACCCTCAAGCCTCTCGACTTCCTTCCTCAGCTTTTCCAACTCATCATTATCTTCATCCTCATCCTCAATGCTTTCCAGTCGAGACTTATATTCTTCCGCTTCCTCCCGAAGTCTCTCGTTCTCCTCAAGGATTTGCTGAATCTCCTGTTCTTTTTCATCAAGCTTTTCCTGGGCCCCCAGTAAAACCCGGGCTTGTTCCTCATTCTTCCGATCGTCAGTATATTTCGCCTGCTTGCTGCTCTGCATCTTGATCATTTTGTCGCGAAGGTCGGCAACGGCTTTCTCGGAATCCGTGAGGGATTTCCGGTAACGCTTCAATTCTGCTTTGAGAGTTGCCCGTTCGACCTTGATCTCGATGTTCTGCGTTTTTAAAGAAAGGTTCCAAATTAGCTACGGCTCTCATTCATGATAGTTATGTAAAAGACGCTCGCGTACCTCCTTGATTGCCTCCTCATGATGCTCAGGCCCCAGCTTTTGTAACCGTTGCTCCATGAACACAATCTTAAGCTTCAGGCCGAAGTTCTCCTTCTTGATCTCATCGATGATCTATCCCAAAGTCAGCGAGCTTCAAAGCCATAGCGTATATCAGAGGACCCATACCTTCTCCTGCTCCCTCAAGGTCATCTGCCCATCGTGCTCCAACACCCCACCCTTCCCCCGAGGAATCGGCGCAAGGGGAGTAGAACCCATACTCGAAGACGGGATCCCAGCAGGCCCAATCGTGGTCTCATCTCCGCGGGTCTGGTAGGTGGAGTCGCCAACATCCGAGCTTCCAGCTTGCGGCAGCGCAGGACTATCCGCAATGTTGAGCTTCCCGCCTTTCAAAAACGCTGGCGTCGGCGGTACCCCATTGCTGCTGGCTTTCCGAGCGAGGTGCGATCGCTGTACGCTCTTGAGCAGAGGCGTGAACTCGTTCTTTCCGGCACCACCTCTGTTTGCTAAACTCCCAAAGATCTGACGGGCCGGCGTTATCTCGCTTCGGCGGTTTCGCTTGCTGGTTATGGGTTGGAGGATGTCGTCACCGCCCGGCGATGCGAAGGATTCCATTCGTGAGCCGAAGTCCGCTTCCATCTCTATTGAAGATTCAGTTGGGTACTCCGTCCGTGGAGTATCGATTACTCCTGGCGCGCCCATGATGAAAGCTGGTCTCCAAGTGATGCACTCAGAACCCTTTCCTTTTTATTGGGATTTGGGTTTTGATTCCCTCAACTATGTTAACGGGGTTTGAAATTATCCTTTAGGTCCCGCTCGACAGGTTTGTATTGTTGTAACTCGATAACGTTGTAACCTTAGATAGGCAACTTGAGAAAGAAAAGGCCCTGACGACCGAGGCGTTGTTTTTGTTTACTTCGTGACGCCCCCAGGAACCACTTTGTTCCTAAAGTCTTGGCAACAACAAACCTTGCCATCCCCACCATCTCAGACCCACAACAAACACCAAGCCCGCACAGCACCAGCACAGGCCAACAATTTGCCCTAACCCAAGCACTTCTCAAAGCAGCAAAGTTGTAGTGATATACTATGACGCTGCTGTTAGACCCCTTCTATGATAATTATGATATTTACAACTCTTATCCACCAAACTCTGTGCCAGTCCAATTCGTCACCGAGCCACAAACTCGAAAAACTCGACCTCAGAAAGCCGCCCCAATAGCAACTAATTACAAGCGAAAGGAAACAGAAACAGAAACGAGATTAACAGGACCCAGTAATCCAGAATCAGGATATAATGCCTCCGAACATGCTCCTATTGCCTCCGTAACACTTTTCGGCCGCAGATGAAATCAAAAGAAGTCTAGACAAACCCCATCAATCAGGAAACCACTCAGCAAATCTACACCTCACATATGACCATAATCGCCCTTATTAATGATTGCTGCCTGACATTCGGCCAGGATCTTAGCTTGTCTGCCAACTTCGCCCAAATGGCCGATTACTTTCCTGTTGCCATCGTAGAATCCGTAAAGAGCATACGGCACACCCGATTTCTTGCAGAACTCCATAACAAGCTTCTGAGCTGTTCGGAGGTTGTGTCTCGGGATGCGTGGGAAAAGGTGGTGGACTGCCTTTGGGCCAAGTTAGTATGCGGTTCTTCAATCCACTAGGGCCAGTTAAGTGAGAACATACCTGGAATTGCAATCCTCCGTGCACGAAGTCCAACCACCGCGGGCAGTCAACATCCATGGTAGTCCTCAACATTCTCTGCGCAAAGCTCTCCTTGACTCCCAAATCGGACGTCGACATAGCAAAGTGCGACAATGTGATCTGCACATGTAGAGGCATCGTCACTGCATGGCTGATCATGACAAATAGGAATCGATCCCAATTTGTGGGTATAGATTTATACAAAAGCTGGTACCCAAACCAATACCAGAAGACCGCCATGCCAGCAATTTCGAGCCATCTTTGGTATGCAGCAATTCCCTTACGAGGACCAAGCCCGAGAATAAGGTACTCCCAGGAAAGGCGGTATAAATTGAACCTGCCAAAGCAAAGGATTGGGTAATAGAGATAATTCTGAAACCTGACAAGTACCCTAGCAGCCGCATCAAATTGCATCACGCGATCATAGTAAGTTGAATATAGACTGCCGAAGAAGAGATGACTAACGGCAAAGAATGGAAGATGCTCGATATCGGGATCATGTTCTGGGTCGTTTGTAACAATATGGTGTACCTAAGAATTGAGGCGTATTAGTAAATGCATTCGCAAGGTTATACTCATCAATTCTTAGGGTATCCGGACATGAAATTCCAAAAACTTCTGTTTCACGCCAAAAATTCGGGGATTCCGGCACCCCTATTTCCGGATACTCTACGAATTGGCAAGTACTGTACGCACGATAGGGGGAACTATACATTGTGACTTCTCTTCCACCATCCCAATGAGAGGCCCCCACAAAAATCTGCAATGAAGATACCGACACATGTGTCGATATGAAAGTTGTGGGTTATTCCCATATGGCCAGCGTCATGAGCAGTGAAGGTGATCTGGTGCCAGAACACTCCCAGAAAGAATGCCGACATCTTGTACCATCCATAACGCAAAAGGACCAACGAAATTGAGAGATACGTTAGGTAGCGCATAACTTCCCTCGCATACCGAACATAGTTGCAATTGTAAAGCCCAGCTGCCCGTACCTGCTTGTCCAATTCTCGATAAAGATCGACAATTTTTCCCTGTGTCTCCGCGTCAAGGGCTGGGTACGCGGCAAGATCATACTCCATTCCCTTCCTCGTCAATTCTTCTTCCATGCTTGTTTCATCATGGACGGACACTGAGGTCATTGAAGACGATGACGAAGCAACAGCAGACCCCTGGTGCCTACGACGAAGGCTGGGATCCAATAGAAAACTATTGTCCTCACTGCTGACGGATGATGATGACGAGGATCGAGCCCCCTCACTTTGTGGGCATTCGGATTCGGATAATTCTCCATCTTCCTCACCCTCAATGTACGGACGAAACCTCCCGCCATGCAGAGGCGGTGTAAAGCTTTCCCAAGGTTGCTGGACCTTTCCAATCATAAAGCTTCTCATTCGAGCCAGAGCTTCAACCGAATGTAAACTACAACCGCTATCAGTCTCCAAACAACTCAATTCCTCACGACGTTCCGGAGTGCGGAGCTTGGGAGAAGAAGAAATGATAACGTACGCATTCATCTCATCAGTAGCATCTCTACCGACCATGTGCAAAATAGGTTTATCGCCCCCCGGATGAAACTTCAACCAAGCATCAGCCCGTACAACATTCCCGTCAAAGATGAAAACAGCTTTCCCTTCGGCAATCAATCCCTCAACCTGCCTCCTTGACAGCACTCTGTCCGCCAACCGTGTCATGGCGGATAAAGAACGTTGGAGTTGTTAACGGTAGGACAGGAACGAATAGGGTATGATACCCCTCGGAGCGAGACGTAAGAAACCCGGAAGGAGTCGAGAAGAGGACGCTAAAGGAGGAAACGGCTGTATAGATGTGAGGTGTTTAAATATACGGAGGAACAGAGTGAGATGACTTTTAAGCCAGGTGTATTTCGAAAAGCACGATCCTGAGGTGCTATAAAGCTACAAAGGGGTAAAAGAGTAGAGTAGGGTTGAACGTTGTTGATTGGTTGAGTTGACAATGGGGTGGCGGCGACTGTGGGTAATGACAATGCACCGGCAGACACGGTAACCGCTCTCGATTTGAAAGTTGATCTCTAGAGAGCGTTTACCGTAACGGTGGATGAGTTTCTCTCTGCAAACACAAGTGGTACGGTATTGTTTCCAGCCTATTTCTTTTTTTTAGAAGAAGACGGGAGAATAAATCGCCCAACCAAAATAGATTGTCATTCGGCCAGGGGGGGAAACTTCATGCAGGTGGTTCCCCCTTTTAGAAATGAAAGGGATGTGGCCTTCGCAAGACGACAACCTCTGTTGAGCCACTTGTGTTGAGCCTCTCTCCACCCAAGTTACGGTAACGTACTTGTACTCGTGCCGGTACTGTACCGTATGATAATACTAGTATGGTTCGGGATCTTTTATGACACAAGTATGATAGAATCAGCCATGAAGGAATGGGCTCCTCTACTGGCAGTAGGGTGTCCGTGAGAGGGGACTTACGGTACTCCATCTGATATCAGTCTAAACTATCATAAACGTCCTCACCCCAACGATCAAACAGCGCGGTGCAGCATGGGGTAAATATCAATCAACCGCTCCATGAGAATTCTCACCACTCCCATAGAGCACCGATTCCGCCCATGAATTGTCCGTTCCGTGATCATGTCTAACTAAGCCATGGTATGTACCACACCGCGCACCGCCGATAAACCCAATCAGCTGAGCTAATCGCTGAGCGCCGAACGAGTATCGGCGGATCAGATAGTCTGCCGTGGTCTCTTATCATGCATCAGTAGTGCAAGGCCCAGATCAGCTCGATCCGCCGGTATCATACTGTACGAGTACAGTAGCCTTCTGCAGAGCCCCATTATGGGTTAGGGCTTTTTCTCTTTCACCCAAGGGGGGGAATCTTCCTCCATCCCAATAGGGAGGTTCTGTTGGGAGCCATGAACGTGAACTTGAACGTTGCTGTGCGCTGGGAAAGGACTAACTTAGTGTGCTTATCATGAAAAGGAGGTTCTGTCGTCTACTCGAGTAGTGTGAAAAACCTTGCACTTGAACTACTCGAGTATGTTGAACATCTTGTGACCAGCAACAGCCAACAAACCGCTTTGTTCACGCTTTCAGGTTCACGCCAAATTATGAATTATACAAGTTCGCACTTGGACTCCTATCTGGTCTGAACTTCATTTAGTGTATCAGACTTATGAAATTAGGAAGGTTGAAGACCATTGCTGTAGCAACAAGTTCAAGTTCACGTTCACGCCCGTCTGCAGAACCTCCCTAGTCGCTGAAAGACCGCACCGACAAATACCGGAACAAGCGGCACTTTTATCATAACCTCACCCCACTGTGGATTCTCTCAGCCAACTCACGTATGAAATGATAGAATAATATAACACAGGAATCTTCCATAAGACCACGCCTTGCTTCCATAAGTTAACCAAACAGGTCCTCCTCCCCATCGCCAATCCCCGCTTTTCCCACAGCGCAGTGCCGGCGAGCCCCGACCTTTCCCTCTCTTAAGGCTTCAAATATATGATATTATAGCCCTCCCCCCCCCTTCCCCCGCTTCATATACGAGCACTGCATAGTAAGATAATAGGGATTCGTCGACTCGCTAATGGTCAATTTGTTTTATTTCGATTGACACGCCCTCAGCCCTATTGATCGGATCCAGGCGACCCTTGAAAACCCCACCACTGCCCCGTCCTGAGTTGAGGCGCAGGCAGCGCTGATGACATCGAGTGGGCTTGCGAAAAGCCACTCTGCCAGCGCATGCCAGTATCATACGGTAAGCGACGTCTAGAGCAGCCACAATTCGATCATCCTCTATCAAAAAACTCTCCCCGTGCTTCAAGTTCATCGATAGCTGCATCATAACCCGGCCTATCATCACGTGGGGGCTGTCTGTGGCACATCGAAGCGGAGCCCTATCGTTAGGTGTCCATGTTGTCAATAGATCGCACAGTGCCCCAGGCACCACTACACTGTACTGCTGTATCTACCCACCCCGCTCCACCACACTGTCAGTCTATGATTGTTGTTGTCGGATCGTGTAGCCTGCCTCGGCTGGTTCAATTACTTTGTGAGGCTTGAGGCGGCTTGTGCTTGCGCTCGGTTTTCACCGGCAAGCAGATTTTTAAGGTTGTGTTATTATACCATTCTAAGTATCCAAATATCCTGAACCCTTTCTACCAATTTTTCTCCCAATATATGCGGTCAACCGGGCCGGAGAAGGATGCATCTCGATAAATGGAGAATTAATTGTTGCAATCTGCTGTGCTCCCGCCTATTCGTGCGTCAAGCATGTTGGCTCCCACTTTCCAAAGGAGTGTTCAGAGCAGTCTGCAGAGTGACATAAGGAACGGCTAGTTATCATGTGGATGGATGCCTTTTTATTTTTTTTATTTAATACCGGTACGGTAAGCTTTTTCCCCCTTTGCACGTCACTAATACCAGACTTGTAAACACTGCCGTACTATAGTCTACCGTACTTAGCAGATCATCGTAGTCGAGTCCAAAGCGACTGCCCACCTTCACGGCACCAGCCGAAGAGAAGTATGACGGAAAACGGCATCCATCCGCTTTGGAGAGTCACTACCAGAAGAAGTTATCGGTCCGATTGGTTGGGTGCGATGGGATTGGATCGGCCCAGCTTTCTGGTTCGGATCTCTTATCGTGATATCTTCGGGTGGTGGCGCAGTCGAGTCCGCGGCCCATCCGCGGGTTGCGGCTGTACCGGCACTATACTGTATGGGTATCACCATACACCAGGAGAACCCCGGAAAACCAAACCAGAAAATCACTCTCAGGCCGGACCCGCGCATTGAATCTGAGGTTGGTGTCGGTAAAGCCGAGGTAAAGCCGAGGTACAAGACTGAAGGGGGGGGGAATGCCGTTCCCTTGGGGTTTTCTACTACGGTACGGTAAGGTAAGGTTTTATGTTGTATGATATCCATGTGCGATTTTAGTGGGAGAGCCTGCCCCCTGCCACGGAATTCCAGGAACCCCATTTGCTCCCCGCTCCGGCTCACCGGCAATCACTCGTACTGCGCATGTCGGCGGAGAGGAATGCCTTGCCAGCGCAGTGGCAAAAGAGTTAAGTGAGCCTTGTACCCTCCTAGGACCTATATTGGGCCATGGAAACTTTTGTTGACCACCTCATTAGTTGATTGTATTATACAAGGGGGGGACTTTGGTCGTTGTTAAGGCGAGCTAGGGGAAATATTGGTGCGAAACTGAAAGAAAGAGAGGGAGAGAGAGAGAGAGAGAGAGAGAGAGAGAAGGAATG